ATGAGCCAGGTTTGCATCGAATCGAATCATTCGAATCGAATACATGTATGCATACCGTACACTTGTATGGTGTATGGCATAGTATACAACTGTGAAGATTTTCGCATGAACGTTCCGAAGAAGGTCAGGTTTTCGTGTCTGGTACGGTACCGGTACATTTAAAGCTATTATACAGGGTAGTTCCAGCGTCGAGCTTTCGGAGCAGGCCTCTGCCTCTGAATGCTGATGGATGATGCTATGGGTGTTACTATTCCGATTTGCTTTCTTGAGTCGCTGAAACAAACTTCTCCCTCCTCCCTCCTACTGTTCAAGTTGAACTCCATTCTCCATTCTTCTGTTAATTTCGCACTCGCTTGTGCATGGTTGCTTTATCAGCAGTATTTGTTCATCTCTGCTTGGCTTCGAGCTGGCTATGGGCTTCGGGTTGCATCGAAAGATGAATCAATCAGTGGTATACGTACCCCAAGCATGGTACGCTGTCACCCACAGCGACGTGGCCTGATTGAGGTTTGACCTTGCTTGTCTGCGTCAACAGCTCTATAATAGTAGTACAAAGAAGCTTCCGAGAGGTATTGGTCAGAATGCAGTTGGGCAATTTGGTGGTGAATGGTTGCTGTGCTGTCAAGTGAATTAGCAATTACGTACATGTAGTTGTACAACTCATCATCCACAGCAAAGTCTCGTGAAAGATGGATATTGAATAACCCAGTCAGCTTGTTCGCATCCAGGAGCTCCATTCTTGACCGCTCATTGTGGCCGTAAAACTCTTTCTTGCAACCGTGACACTTGCAGCTCGTGGCGTCAAGGTAGCACTGGTGCCCCAGAGCAAACAATACTTTTGGCTGCTTCACCCGCTTGGCTTCATGCACATCAATGCCATCAACGCTCGCAATTGGGACAGGAAAGGATGTGGTTGGGGATCAAATGAACCGATACTATGGGATACTAAATAGATACGTTAAGGAGCGAGGGGGGCGAGGCTAGGCAAAGCAGTGGCTGCGGTGGTGGGTGGCTGTTGTGGTGGGCATATGGGGAGAGCAATGAGGACGCGGGCAGGGCAAAACAAGGGGGGGCAAATGGCGAGGAATACCAACAACCAAAGGCTTCACGCGACACCCAAGCAAAATGTTTGACTTATCCTTCGCCATTCTTTGGCTTGATGTTTGTCCAGTCATGAGAGGTAAAGAATCCTTTTCCTTAGCTGGAAATGGCATTTCGAGTGGTAGCAATGAAACGACGCTGAGCTACACAAAAGGGTGGACCACATTTTCCCTTGCTCCAACAATGGAGCAAGGCGTTCGATGACACAATGACAACAGCAAACAACAAAAGCAATATCGGCACAGTGAGATGACTTCTTTTGATATTGCTTCGAGTATTAGTGTGGGTGCATTGACGACTAACCTTTACTAGTACCCCATCATTGGCATTGCTGTCAAACTATTGATGCCAATACGTAGATTGCTACAAGTTTGACTATGCCTGCACCGATTCTGTTGACAAGTTTGACCATGCAAGCACCGGCGATCAAATACCAATCGGGATTGGATTTGCTTCCATCCGATAGCTTGCTAGAGAGTTTGGAGCCCCCCTGCTCCCATTTGTTTACAGTGTCGCTAAAGGCCGGTCTCTACCGGAGCGACTAAAGTAGCGACTAAGCCATATTTCATAGTTTAGTCGATAGTTTAGTCTCTGGGGGTGGTGTCTACCATAGGGACTAAAGGTCATACAGACTAAAGGCTTTAGTCGAAATGTTCGTTCACCGACTAACCGGAGGCTGGTTAGTCCGTGAGCGAGCCTAAGGACTAAAGCTTGTTTAAGAACTCTTTAAGAAAGAACAGCATCAGCCTCATTGCACAGCCTCGCTATCAGAGCATCGCGACAGAGCTGATAGAGTAGAGGTGCGATCGAACGATCGAAGAGGAGTACGGTATCGGCCGATAGTAGAGGTGCAACCGATACAGTAGTAGAGGACGAAGAGGAGTATCGGCCGATAGTAGAGGTGCAAACGATCGAACGATCGAAGAGGAGTAGTAGAGGTGCAAACGATCGAACGATCGAAGAGGAGTATCGGCCGATAGTAGAGGTGCAAACGATCGAACGATCGAACGATCGCACCTCTATTGCACTTTATCAAGCCGACAGTCTTCGGTTGAGAATAGAAAGCCATCCCTCATTGCAGACTATGGAGTGCGGGATGGCTTTCTATTCTCAACCGAAGACTGTCGGCTTGGTCAATTGACTGATGAGCTGAGGTGCGATCGACTGATGAGATTTAAGTCTTGTTAACTCCAAAAAATAATCACTTCTGTTAAGGCTTTTGTTTTTGAGTGCTTTAAATCTACCATCATGAAGCAATCACTTTTGTTAAATCGTTTTTGAGTCCTTTAAGTCCAGCACCCTGCAATGGATTTAGTCGCGGTGTTTGTTTAGTCCCACGGTAGACACCACGTTTTGACTAAAAACTCGACTAAATTGTTTAGTCCGAGATTTAGTCATCTGCTGGTAGACACCACCATTACTAAAGGATAATGACTAAATCTTGAACTAAACAACCACCTAAAGGATTCCTTTAGTCCCTACTTTAGTCCCTCCGGTAGATAAAGGCCAGTCTCTTTAATAGAGGAAACACTTGCTGGACCCCTACCGTAGCGGCACTGTGTGTGTACAAGCGTAGTACCTGGTACCGGTACGCAGGGGCGGCTGTGGTACCCGTATCAGATGGCTAGAGGAGTTCTGCATGGTTGAATGACAGTGTTCCTGTTACGCAGTGTTACTGTGTACAGCTACATGAACGCTACGACCGCATCAGCCGTGGAATCAGGCAGTGATTTGACAGTCAGCTGGTCCTTTTCAATTGTTCAGCCGATCCTTCGTCTGCGTGATACACTTGGTCGCATTCAGCAAAATGTCTTGCCGAGCCACATCATCCATCATGCTTTGGAGATCCATCATTTCTCGTCTGATACATCGACCCAGGTCCCTGTGATCATACTGGTGTTCTTGGTGGCCCACACGGGCGAGTGCATCATCGAGTAGTGTGTCATTGGTGTTGGCAGAGACAGTCTTGTCGCCAAGAAGGACTGCCACAATAAGCAAAAGAACCGAGGATGCAAAGTTCATGGTAGTTAACTGCCAAAAGAAAAATGAATGGTGGTACCGGTATGGAGGAAGAAGCTAATGATGTTGGCAGAGAGATGCTTGTAGAATGCAGGAAGCCCTGGTATACATTTGAGGTGACTCGAGGCTTCACATATTGTGCCTGTATTGAGACTATGACCGCGGCTCAATGCGACATTGCGAGGCCGTTGAAATATGTGAGAATCAACCTGAAAGGGTCCAATGCGCACCTAACAGTAATTAGCACACAAGATTACAAATGGGATTCATTCGTCGTCCGTTGCCTTGCTACCACTCTCCTCTCGACTCTGTTCCGAAAGTGGTGCCGTACCACTGTGGACGGTTGTTGTATCATACATCGGTGGCTGCCTCAAAAGTGCTTGAACTGCTGCAACTGCTATTTCTGGGATGGCTACGATGGGGTTATCATAGCAGCTGCAACGCAAATCAGTCGATGCAAGGAAGAAAAGAAGAATTGTGAGAGGATCCTGCCAGGAACCAGTACGGAAGTACGGTAGTACGGTAGTACGGTACGGTACGAAGTTGCGCACCGTTCATCTCCAGTGTACTATTGGATACAGCGTATCCGTTGGATTTTAAAGGAAACGGAACCTCTTGAGAACACCGCCGGGGGCTGGCGGTTCAAACATTGGGTTCGGGATAAATATGTCAGTCATGGATACTAATGACTGGCAGTGGCGTCGTTTCCGAGCGAAGAGCAAGGGAATTCGAAGAGCGATCGAAGAGGAAAGGCAAACGAAAGAGGCATCAGGAAGAGACTCAAGTTGGTACATTTTTAAAATAGTCCGTCTAACTTTAGCTACCTATATGTCCACTCTAACCAATGATGATGGTGCCATGCTACAACTCCCAGCCACCCTGGCGGCTGGATGTGCGGAATCCTATGGATGGACCGAAGAGTTCACGGCAAGGGCCATTACGGGGTATCGCCAGTTCATGAAACTGAAATTGAATCTGGAAGATTGGGATGCGACCCAACTGGCTCCCTCGGCTGCCGTAGAGGAAGTTTGGCAGCAGCACATTTTGTATACAACCCACTATGCCAAAGCCTGTAAAGACTACACGGGAGGTCACACTATGGAGCATCATCCGGAGGTTGGTTTGGACAACAACAACGAGGCAGAGTCTACCAATAAGACGGAACGAATCAAGACCACACAATTGGGGATGAAATCTCTATTTGGCCGCAACAAGATGGATGCCGAGATTTGGGCCTTGGATAGTGTTGGTGATGGTGAACAACAAAATATCTACAAAAGTAAGAAACGACGACGACTGGAAGCATAATTCAAATTCCGATATACGATGATTCTATATCGTGGCCGACCTGGAAGGCGGAGATTGCCACCCTGTCGCAAGAGGACTTGAAAAGCAAAGATTGGCTCACTCCTGAGCTCATGGCCAAAATTGAACGCTGCAATCCACAACCGGAACACTATTTGACATCCTGGACGACCCATCAGATTGAGTTGGAGGCAATTTTGTCGGACGCCTTTCCCGTGGGCACCAAGTTTGCGAGTTGGTTGCAACTGAAACAAGTATTGGACCAGATTGGAGCCAATTGGTCCTTTAAAGTGACCCATACCACCAGCAAGTTGGTTTGTGTGTTGGGTCCCAGCCGATTCTACCAAGCCAAAAAAGAAACCAAAAGAGTATCGTCCAATGTCCCTGTATTGTGGCCTATTCCTACCAGAATTTCACCCGTGCGGCCCGCAGAGACAAAGTACCCAGTCTGCGTTTCGTGGCTTCCATTTCCAGTGCCAACTATAAGCATACATGCGGATGTGCTCCAGCCAACCCGCCGTCAGGATTAGACGAATGATTGAATCAGCCCAAGCTATACAGCTAGTAGCAAGCTCTACTGCTGGACGCGGCAGTACCAAATCCACGATTATTCATTAGCCAAAGGTCTATAGCTACCGGCGCAGAGTGGGGTAGTTATTATCTATGGAAGCCGGCAGTTGGCCAGGCATAGGAATGTAACAGACAACATTCGGGAGTGGGTTCGGTGGGATCAGGGTGACAAACTGGGGATCCAACCAACACGAGAGGCAAGTATAGTGGGATCCACGGAGACTTTATCAAGGGCGAGCGAGAGTCCTGTCTTTATAGAAATCATTGGGGCATAGGAGTATTGAGTTTCTTTTGTTGGTGTCGACAGCAGCAAATAAGGGGTTGCAAAACAAGTGTAGCTTTGGGGAGACGTGCATAGAGGAAGGGCTGGCTCATCGTGAGACTTGTCTTGCCTTGAGGCTGAATACAGGCTTTTCTAAACTAAAATTCAATCTTTTTAAAATCAAGTTACCAACAATCACAAACGATACAGTCCAGCAGGGATTCATCTGAACAGTCCACTTCCACCCACCCAGCCATGGTGCCACAATCTCCAGCAACCATCACCGACCCATTGGTATCACTAGCATACTCTGTCACAGAGCACTGTTGCCTTGTGCAGTACCAGGGGCACAAACTTTGGGGCAGAGTGCCACTAAAGTTGTTGCCCCACAGCATGATTCGGCTGACAGAGGCATTCAGATTCCCCAGCTCACTGGGAATGGATCCTGTGAGGCTGTTGACTGACAAGTCCAGAGTTTCCAGGCTTGTCAGAAGGCCAAGCTCTGATGGCAACCATCCACTCAGCTGGTTGTTACTCAGATCAAGTGTTTGGATCAGGGGTGTCTCCTTCTCATCAACATAGATGACATCAAGTGTAGCATTGTATTTTGTAAGAGTGGTCATGAGCTGCCCAAATTCGGATGGGATAGGACCGGATATCTTATTGAAGGAAATGTCCAGCACTTCTAATCCAGTCAATCTTGCCATCTCGGTTGAAAGTGAGCCAGTCAGTGAATTGTTATGAAGGTCCAGAAGAAGCAACATAGCACAGTCGGATTCATAGGCGCCAAAGAATAAACTAGTCCTCCAACAGCTAGATGAGTTCTCAACATTTCCAATTTCTGAAGGTATGCTCCCAATCAAGCCATTTGATGACAGGTCCAGCTCAATGAGCTGCTGCAGGAGACCAACTTCCGATAGAACGCTGAAGCTCAGCAAGTTGTGAGACAAATCCAGAGTTCTCAGTTCCGTCAAGAGGCCAAGCTCCGATGGCAACCAACCACTTAGTAGATTGTTCCCCAAATTGAGTATTTTAACCCTTGGCACCTCCTGTGGAACATATTCACCGAGTGTCTCATTCCACCTTGAAACACTTCCCACGATCCCACCCAACTCAGAAGGTATGCTCCCAACCAAGACGTTTGATGACAGATCCAACTCGGCAAGATCAATTAGGAGGCCAAGTTCGGATGGAATTGTAGAATTTAGCATGTTGTGAGACAGCCGAATTGACTGCAAGTGTGTCAAGTTGGACCATTCAAAACCAGGAAATGATGAAATAGAGTTGCCGTCCATATTCCAAGACCGCAAGTTTGTCAGACTTCCAATCTCTGTAGGTACTGATGCTAGCTTGTTCCCATTCAATGTCAGCCAATACCGGTCTGGCGCATCCCAGCCCCCACCACAAGGATCCAGATTTGTCATCTGTTCTACTTCCTTTGGCAAATGCTCTATTTGGTTTCTATCTAGCCGAAGCAAGAAAAGGCTTGTCAAGAGAAACAACTCGCTTGGCAGGGTGGCGATCATGTTGTTGCTGAGGTCCAACTGCTCTATGTCGTCTCCAAGGTTCCCTATTTCTGTGGGGATGTCGGTCAATCTATTGTCTTGTAAATCAAACTGACGTGCACTTGAGTGATTGAATGTAGATGGAAATGCTCCATTTATCAAGTTTCGCTCGAGGCTCAGGTATTCCATGTTGGACAGGTTGCCTATTTCACTGGAATAACAAATCAGAAACAACATACAATTGAGTAACCATGTAAGCCCCACACAACCAACTTGGGTCCAATTACCTTGGGAGGGTTCCTGCAATGGCATTGTCACGGAGCATTAGATACACAAGATCAGTCATGAGACCCAATTCAGTAGGCAGACCTGAAATGTTGTTGTTCCTAGCATCCAGTCTTCTTATACTCTTGAAGCTACCCAATTCAGACGACAAAGGACCAGTGATCTGGTTGAATGCCAAGTCCATGCGCTGGAGGAAAGACAGCAAGCCCAGCTCCGATGGAAGGGAGCCTGATAGCTCGTTGTATTCCAAGAGAAGCCTAGTAAGATTCGTCTGGCCAATGCTGGTTGGAACCGAACCGGATATGGCATTACCGCCAAGATTCAAATAGTCCAAATCCGTGAGAAAACCAATCTCTGAAGGAATCTGTCCTGTGATTTGATTGGAGGCGAAATTTAAGTCTGTCATCAAGGAAAGCATACCAATCTCCGAAGGAATACTTCCAGTAAGACCAGCATCACGAACATCAAATATTGTGATTCCAGTGAGGAGGAATACTTCAGGTGGCAGAGTCCCAGAAATAGGCGGGGCATCCCAGGTTGAGAGTCTCAGCTTCATGTAGTAGAAATGACCTTCATCATTGCAGTTTGAGTCAAAAGGGTAGGGAAGGGAAGGTAGACAGCAAGATGATGAAAAAGAACACCAGAAACCCACACGATATCCTGGTGGCCTCCCGGAACTTGTTGAGCCAGATCCCTCTGGGGAGTCCAGGTCTGTTGTCCACGAACATTCTGTGTTGCTGTAGTCCATCCACTGGTAATAATCTGGCCAGTTTTCAAAGGAAAAGTAGAAGGTTCCCAATGCAAACAACTGCAGTTTCCGCCAATTTGGCATTTCGTCAAATTTTGGATGTTGAAATGTCCAGTCATAAGCCTGTTGTTGTGGGGAACCAGGCTTACCAATCGACTCAGCTGTACTTTCTGAAAGCCCCTTGATATCATACCTGGCTGACAGTAGTGTCTTAGTTGGCATTGATGATGGGGAGACGGAGGGCATCACAGATGTTGTTGGTGCACTAGATACAGCTTCTTGTGCTATAGTTGCTGACTTGTTTCTAGTCCCTAATACCACTGCAAGGACAACTGCCACAATCAGAACAACCCCCAAGAGCAGCCATTTTAATGCACTCAGCATGGCACGCTTACTCCTCTCAACCCTTTGCTCTTCAATATCGTTCTCATGGGTTGATTGTAATTCTTCTGCCAACTGTAGATTCTCGTGGCGTAGATCAGCAACAAGATTGGCCACCATCAAACCAGAGTGACTGTCAGGCATGTTGGTAGATTGAAACTCTGTGGATTCTTCTTGACTTATTTCCATTTCCAATGACGGTGAAAAAATTGGTGTGGTTCCCACAATGCCTAACTGAGAAAATCTTGGAGTCGGATTCCGTTGCGGGGGAAGCCCAGGAGCCCCCGAGTAGGCCCCTGGTTGGCTTTCATCGATGACTGGATTCAGATTTGTTGCAGCCTGACCCACATTCTCGTTGCATAGGACATCAGTGATATTTCCTTCTTCCAGGCGTTCTTCTTGATTGACGGCTGGTGCCCTCTTGCGTAAAAATCTGAGGACTGTGGGCCTACTAGGTGACGCTCCTTTACCATTGGTGGTCCCAGTAGCGACTTGTTGGTTGACTTCTGATAACAAAGCCGGTGACTCTGCTTTTGCAGGTGCCTCTGCAATCTTGATACTGTCTAGCTCATCGAGAGCACCGGTGGTATTTTCATTTTGCCCTAGCGTCGAGATTTGCTGGTCCCGGGCAGCCACAATCATAGACATTGCAACTCTATTTTCTTGATTATTTCCAGATGTGTCAGTGTGCTGCTGTTGCCTGGCCAGAGCTTGTTCCCTTGCTTCCAAAATTTTGAATAATTCCGCGCTGTTGCTGTCATCTTCCAAACCATTATCAGTGTCAGCTGGTGATGTGGTGCCTGTTCTCTGGTGTGGCCTGGGAGGATCTGGGCGATCTCGTTGTCCTCGAAGTGTTGAGGCTGCGGGCCCCGATGATGCTCGATCACTTGTGGTAGTATTAGTAGCCACTATTTTTTGGTTGGCTTCAGATAACAGGGGCAGGGACTCTGCTTTTGTGCGTGCCTCTGCAATCTTGATAATTTCTAGCTCATCGAGAGCACCATCACCAACAGCCACAGCAGGACTATTAGTACCGTTTTGCTTTTGAGCCTCCGCTTCATTTGCTGGGGCTTTGTTGTCGCGATTGATGCTGCTCATGTTTGGTTGATTCTTACAAAGTGAGTACTCGATAGTAGTGTGTGCCATGTATTGCATCGATCGATCCCTTTGGTTGGGACATATTATGAAAATCGCTGTTTCCAGTACGTTTTTTGATCAGCGAAGGTCTTGCGAACCCTTGTTGTTACGGTATCTCCAAGTCTTTGAACCCTTCTTTCCGGAATGTAAAAGATGCGAAGCACGACACAGTGGATAGCGGCCATGCACCACGAGTGACACCAACCCTTCTTTCCGGAATGTAAAAGATGAGAAGCACGAAACAGTGGATAGATCTCGATCTCTCTTTCGGCCACCACGAGTGACTCGCATTCATGACTGGACTCGGTATCTTCTGACGTCAGTCACCATGACACCTTCAACTCACTACATCCAAGATCCAAGCACCGCCCAAGCTGCAGAAAAGAGATATCGGGGTTTGGACAACCATTGCAATTGTTGTTGTTGATCAGAGACTTTTATTGCCACGCTATCGGATAGATTAGAAAAGCCAGAGTTTTATTAGCTACTAGCTAGCCGTTGCAAGAAGAATTCATTGGTCGACTACTAGTCTAGCTAGTAGGTGCCCTATCGGTATCCGATCAAGTTAATTAACCCAAGCTACCCAAAAAGAGCAAAAGATCCATCAAAGATGGCCACCATGAAAAGGGGTCGCCCATTCTCCGTCATTGGCTCATTGGCCTTTTTGCTGTTGTCTCTACTAGTTTTGGTGTTGACCATTCATCCCGTCCATGGCCAACGTGCTGCCGTTTCGGCAGGAACCAAGCTGCAACAAGATTCGCCCGCAAGTGGAAGCAGTCAACGACAAAAAAAGAAGAATCGAGTGGAAGGTAAGCAAGAGACCAAAAAACGACGTTTTCCATTGGCCATTGGACGACGACACAAGCATGACCATGACGAGCTAGATGATCTCTTTTCCAGTCGCGTGCAAGATCCTATATGGGTAGCGATAACGCGTCTCGAGGTGACCGCCTTGACCGTGGCCGTGTTGATGATTTTCCTGATTTGGCATGTCTTGCATCTCCAACAAAAGGCATGGCAAAAAACGCTTCCACCAAAGAACAACAACAAGGCAAAGGGGTTATCATCATCATCTTTTCAAATGGAGGATGGTGCGTTTGTGTCTTGTTCATTCCAAACTAATGAGCCAATGGAGGATACCGGATGGCATGGAAAAGAGAGGCGGGGGAACCGAGTTTCAATCGAATCTACTAAGATGCTTGACAAAAACTCACTCTTGTCTGTCTATGTTCCCTGTTCTTATTGCTGACACTATATACCCAGACGACTTTGCCGTGGACCACGATGGTCATGTCGTTACCAAAAAGGGATTGGAAAGCATTGATCTGGCATTCTCCAATGTCCGACTCGAAATGGCCACCAAAAAGAAAAAGAACACGGATGGAAAACCAAGATTGCTCTTGGATGGATCCATTCATGGCAGAGCCAAACCAGGACGAATGCTAGCCGTCATGGGACCATCTGGTGCTGGAAAGGTACGATGATGATATCATTCCTGAAAACTCAAATGACACAACCAATGCTCACACCACCATTCTTGATTCTATCCTACGATCATAGTCCGTCTTTGTCCACGCGCTGGCGGGACGACTCAAAGATACCAGCAAATTGTCGTTGACGGGACGTCGATACATTAATGGACACGCCGTACAGGGGGATTCCCTCTTGCCGGCCGCATTTGTCGAACAAGATGTCAACTTTTTCCCGCACATGACGGTCCGCGAAACACTGGAATTTCGTGTCTCTCTCAAACTGGGATCGCTCATATCGACCGTTGAACGCGATACGATTGTCACCAATCTCATGGCGCAATTGGGCTTGACCAAATCGGCCGATACCATTGTCGGTGATACCAAAGTACGAGGATTGTCGGGAGGAGAACGCAAACGACTCTCGATTGCCGTGGAAATGATCTCCAGTCCGTCCCTGCTCTTTTTGGATGAACCCACATCGGGACTCGATAGTGCCGCGGCGGCTTCGCTGGTGGACAAATTACGACAATTGGCCAATCAAGGAAAAACCGTCGTGGCGGTCATTCATCAACCCAGTCAGCAAGTATTTAGCATGTTTGACGATTTGCTCTTGCTCAGTGATGGACGACAAATGTACTTTGGACCCGTGGCGGATGCTCGATATTACATGGAACGACAAGGATATCCGGCTGAAAAGGAAGTGGGAACGGCCGAATACGTATTGGAATGCATTTCCCGCTTTCCACGCCTCTCCGAGACGGACGAGGATGCCCAGAAACGAATCTCGACATTGGCCGAATCATCGGCGGCACAAAAAGTGGATTTGGGGCTGAGTGGCAGTGCCAGTAGTGCCAGTGGTGATGCGCGCCATTTCCAATCGGCCGTGGTGACGCGATATGGACCACGGGCCAGTATCTTCAAACAGTTTAGTCTGCTCATGAAACGAGCCCTCAAAGAAGCATTTCGAGGAAAGGGTGTCATGATATTGAAGACCGTACAGCAAGTCACGGTGGGACTGATTTATGGTGGAATCTACAAGCTGGGGAATAATCAGGTGGGTTTATTATGAGACAAGTTTGGTTGGCTTTGCAGGTCCCAACTGCCTCGGAACTTACACCCCTTTTGCCCTTGGTTCTGCCTCGCAGGCATCGATTCAAGACAGGTACGGTCTCATTTCGTTGACGGCCATTGGAGCCGCCAACATGGCCATTGCTGCCGCGATTCGCGCCTTTCCCAAAGAAAAGGCTATTGTCGCCAATGAAATTGCATCCAAAATGTATCGAACACTCCCATACTTTATTGGCAAGGCGTTGTCCGAATTGCCTCTGGTAGCCTTCTACAACGGTATCATGATGATGATCCTTTACAATATGACCGGCCTCAACTCGGCACCGGGTAAACTACGACAATTCATGTCTGTGATTATGATGCACGGCCTGGCGGCAGAATCACTCGGGTTGGCCATTGGAGCCATTAGCGCCAATTCCGATGTAGCGCTGGGACTCTTCCCCGCGGTGCTCATCTTGAATATCATCTTTGACGGACGAAACATTAGTGTCGAAAACACACCCAAGTATCTCCGATGGATCTCCAAGGTCGGCTTGATCCGATGGGGGTTCGAAGGACTGTCACTAGTCGAGTTTGGCGGATTGACATTCAGTACGGGTGGTCCTCGACGAGGCCCTGTGGCCAAGACCGGAGAAGAGGCTCTCGAACGCATGGGGCTTGGCGATCGGGTGCTAAGTGATGTCTTCAAGGCCCAAGCGACAATCACTGCGGCTTGTTGGGGCCTCAGCTTCTTGGGCATGACCCTGACGCGACAAAAGTTCCTGGTGATGAAGGCGCCCAAGCCTTAGCTAGCTATAGTTTCCTGCTACGATGATTGAACTGGGATTGAATTCTCACGATACATTTCGATAGCTAGTGCGTCGTCGGTTTATGTACATTCAGCCGTTATGAATTGTGTGCCTTGCAACCAACAGCTTCTTATCAGTATTGCCTGCCACCACCAGCCGTGCCGGTGTCATAGTAATGACGCATACGCTTGGGTCTAGCATACAGCTCCTGTTCAAGGAGCACCTTGTTTTCCGCTGAGATGAAGTCCATATCTTCCTTGGTTTCGTTGAGAATTTCATGGAACGATTGGATGTTCCGCTCGGTTGTTTGCAAGGAACGCTCAGCGATATCTTTGGCGTCTCGAAGATTCTGACACTCGTCCATGCTCTGATACAAGCTAGATTTGAGGTCTTTGTTTTCGGCCGCGATGATATCCAATTCCTCATACGCGTCCTCGAGTGTGGATTTGTATTTACCGGCATGAAAGTCCAAGTCGCGAACTTTGTCATGCAATTCGTCACGCTCCTGTTCCAGACTCCAGATTTCTTCATACGCACCTGCAAGATCCGTCTTGAGCTGATCCACACTCTCGTTTAGTGCTTCAACCTCTTTGTCTTTTTCTTCCGAAGCAATCTCGAGCCCTTCCATTGCGGTCGAAAGCATCTCGCACTTTTTGGAAGTCCGTTCACACTTTTCCATCAGCTCCAAGTTTTCAACTGCGGAATACCGTAACTTGTCGTTGACATCAAGCAGCAAGTGCTTCCTGTCGATTGCAAGGTCTTGGAGAAGCTCTAGCTCGGAAGCCAGCTGGTCCCTTTCCTCCGTAATCTGCTCGACCTCGGCAGAAGCTTCCTGCAGTTTCTCCTCACACTCGACCGTTTTCTCATCAATCCGTTCCTGCATTTCTTTTCCAAACGTCTCGTAGATGTCCTCTTCTCTCTTCTTCCAATCCTCTTTCATTCTTGCTATTGTCGCGTGCAGCTCTTCCTGTTGATGAAGGCTCTTGTCGAGCCCTCCGACAAGCGCCTTGTTCTCATCGGCCAATACTTGTATCCTTTGATTCGCTTGTGTAAGTTGCTTTGAATACTCAGCTCCCTTCTCAGCCAGCATCGAGATAGTACTTGCCAGAGACTCATTCTTTCCATTCAGCAGCTTGATTTCTTTGTTCGATTCATTGAGAATCTCTTTGTATGATTCTATCTTGGAATCCGCCAACTTTTTGTAGGCTTCTGCATCTCGTTCCAGTACAGAATTATTTTCCTTGGTGGCTGCGACTTCCTCTGATAATGCTTTGATTCGTTTCTTCGCATTGTGAAGATGCTTCTTGGAGTGAGCTGCTTGTCGCTCCAATCTCTCCATCTTTTTCATGAGTCTTTCGTCAGTGGTCAAGTTTTCTTGCTGCACCGTCTCCAATTCCTGCTGGCCTTCAATCTTGGAGACTCTCTTCTTCAGCTTCTTGTTCTCCTTCTTGAGTGCTTTGTTTGCTGATTTTGACTCTGCTACCTGGGATTCCTGCTCATTCTTCTTGCTCTTGTACTTTGTGACTCTCTTGATAAGCTTCTTGTTCTCTTTCTTCAATGCTTTCTTTGCTGATTTGGATTCTTCCTCCTCCTCGCCTTCGTGTTTTGTGACTTTCTTGTTCAGATTTTTGTTTTCCTTCTTGAGTGCGCGGTTTTCTTCTCTGACAGTATCGAATTCTTCCAGGCGGGCAACCAGTTCCGCCTTCTCTGATTCCAACTTAGCGACCAAAGCCTCGAGCTGGCTGTTCTTCGACCCCACTTCCTCCAGGTCGTCCTTCAAGGACAAAAGAGTAGAAGAGAGTTCTTCGTTCAGAATCGTCCTTACCCCGCCCTTACTAGATTTTGGTGATGGTTTCTTCCCTTTCTTCCCCTTAACCGCTCGCGTACTACTGATATCGCCTCTGGAAGCCTTGCTGCTCTTTGACACAGATGACCCTGGCGAGGCAGGCAGCTGCTTGCCAATAATCCGATCCGATGTCTGGCTTCCTTCACTCCTGGACATATTTTGTCCGTTTGATTCTGGCTCATTTGCGTCTTCGTTGCTCTTTCTTTCCTCTGCGGTTGGTCGCCCTGGTTCATCCTTCTGTTTGCCTCTCATCGCTCTAGCCACATCTTCGACGCTGTACATATTCTCGACCACGGACAAGGGAGTACCTTGATTAAGCCAGTACCTGATATCATCATCCAACTGCTGGTTTGGATTCTCCTCATCCGAGATATCCTCCATTGGGAGGGGCAACTCAGCCGTGGGTTCGCCGGGAAAGTCCTCGGTCTCTTGAATCCCTTCACTAAACAAACTAACAAGATCCACTGCTGGGTCGACTGACCGAGACAAGGTGTTTCGTTCAGAGGCAACTCGACGAATATCTTCGGAGTTGAACATTGTCTCAAGTACCGACATCGGCGTATCCGAATCAAGCCAGTACCGAATGTCCGCGTCGATTTTTCCCTCGGCCGTAACTTGGGGCTTTGAGTGTAGCTCCTCCTCGGCCCCCGGATCCTGCCATGTGAAGTTTCCTTCGGGAGTATCTTTGGAGTTCTCTTGCATTGTGAGAGTTGGGTGCTCGTCCTCATCATCAGCGAACGGATCGTTGACGTCGGCAAAAGGATCGTCTGCATCATCGGCGGATGCATCGTGGACAGCGTCGAAAGGATCAATCTCAGAATCATGAACATTGCGTGCCGCAGAAGCAACGTCAATGTCAGTGTCAAGCGTCTGCTGTAATTCTGTATCAAGGGGGTTTGAAGGCTCCAAGTTTTGCGAATCTGCCACACTCGCAGCCATTCCCCCGTCAGATTTGGAAACCCTTCGTTGGAATCCGAAATCGCTACTGCTTCCCTCGGAGGAGAAATAGGAACTGGAATCAGAACCTTCATTCAAAGGTTGAGACTTGCGCTCTGGGGGTTCCTTCTTGTCCACGTCGGTGCTCGCCCTCGTCTCCTTTGCAGGACTTGATCCAGAATTCTGCTCATCTCGTGCTTTGTCTTGTCTGTCAGCAAAGAACCCGAAGCCACTTTGACTGGACGAGTGTCCGGAGCTACCACCAGAACCTGACCGCGAAGCAGAGGAATGATCCAGCGCTCTGGTAACCGCCTCAGAGCCAAACATGCTCTCCAGAGCGGCTCTATCAGTATTTGCATCGTCCAGATCTCTTATCGTTCTCTTGGTCTGGCTTCTATCTTTGGGCAAGTGAGATGATTCGTTGTCTCGTGAGCTCTGCGATGACTCAAGGGGGCTTTGCGAAGATCCGTACTCGGATGAGTCTTCCTCGTCTGAGAAGAACCCACGTCTTTCCTGTTTTCCACCTTGTTGCGTTCTTCCATCTAGAACTTGGGCCACTAGGTCAGGACTGAACATACTCTCCAGTGCCTTTCTATCAGTTCCAGCTGCGTCCAGATCCCGAATTGTTCGGATCGATTCTTCTCTACTGTATGACTCAACAGACAGTATTCCGCTCCCCGCACTATCGTCGGAAAGACTCCCCTGAATGCTTTGGTGACCGGATTCTTCCATTTCTCGAACTACACTGTCGATCTGGTCCGGTCTAAACATGTTGTGCAGAATATCCCTGTCCGTGCCGGCTTCGAACAAGGCCCGAATCGCCGCTCTATCATCCTCGCTAAGAGGTTCTTTTTCCATGGGCCAATGGTCTGCAAAATCGTTTGTTGTTTCGGCAGTCACGTGTTCCGATTCGTCTTGGTTATCCGTGTACTTTTGTTGCTCTTGTTTCCTACCTCCACGCCATATGCCTGCAGAACGATTCTCCACAGAGCTGGAATCCGAGCCAAAGTTTGACGATTCTTCTCCAAACACACCAGATTCGCGATAGCGGTCGTCAACTTGCGTTGACTCTTGATTCGCTCTGTCATCTTGATGGGACCCGGTGCGTGCTGCTGCAGCACTATGTTGGCTGTCCATCGTCGCCTCATACCGACTTCCTCGTGAACTTGCTTCTTCCGAAAAATAGGACGATTCTGATGAACCGTCACCACCAAACTCTTTTGATTCAGTTTTTGGAGCAGCTGATGCATCATGGTGACTTTCGTGCCTATCCGATGGCTCGGCACCACTATACTTAGACCCTTTGCCACTGTGACTTTGCCCTGAACTTGGTTCTGAACTGTAGTAGCTTGATGATGATCTGTCATCCACCATGTTTGATTCCGGAGATGGGGCGGTGTCTGTGCGAGGCCTCGTGGCGGTTGTGATTTGCCTTTGTTCCCCATGGCTCTGCCCTGAACTGGGCTCTGAACTGTAGTAGCTTGATGCTGATCCATCATCGCCTTGTCGCATGTCCGATCTACCATTTGGGGACGCTGTTGCATCATAATGGCTTTGTTGTGGGGAACCCGTGAAGTCTGACCCACTATAGTCTCCCTCTGAGCCAAAATTTGAATGGGATCCATCGTTCGCTTGAAACGTATCACCAGGCGGTTCAGCAGCAGCATTAGGCCGATGCATACTGGGGCTCTCCTCTGAACTCAAATCTGACCCATAGTCAGTTGATGCGGATCCTTCAACATCATTGACGCCGATGTCGTGGCGACTTTCTTCCAACGGTGGCTCTCGCCTGTACTCCGAAGCGTCTGCATGTCCACCTGCTGCTCCCCTGTCGGCCTCAAACTCAGTTTGGAGATGACTTTCATCGTCTGAACCGGAGTCTGACCCGTCACTACGATTCTCAACCGCAGAAAGAACACCCGACACAACGCCTGGGTCAAACAACCCTTCAAGAACGCTTCTGCGAGTCCCAGCAATGTGGAGCTCTTTAATTGAAGCCGCCTCTTCTTGATCTGCGGTTGGCAATGCTTTGCCACTCGAGACAACGTCTTTTTCATGACTTTGTGCGCTTTCGGCGCTAATGTCAGAACCAGCCATCGACACGTCATCGGCCGCGAAGTCCATGTCTGGTTCCGGAATGCCGGCGTCACTTGCTTTGTCTTCGTCTTTCCTGTGCGCAGTTCCGCCCCACATTGCCGCTAAACGATCCTCTTCTGAGCTCGCCTCTTCGGAACTGTACTCCGAACTACCACTGTATTCCGAGTGATCGTCGTCGCCGTGTTCTTGGGGCGCCTGATGTGGCCCAACCGAGTCTCCTCGATCGATGTCATTAGCACCTCTTCGCGGCACCTCTTTGGTGGCCCCTGCACCATCAATCACACGCGCTACATCTTCGGGAGAAAACATTGAGTCTAGCACCATCCGGTCAGTGCCACCTTCGTACAAGTCACTAATTGCCGCAAAGACTTCGGAAGCACGTGGTTCGTGTGGACCGGGTTTTGCAGTGTCTGCTGCACCTGGATTTGCCCCGCCATCAGATGGGTCAAATCCTTGTTCATCGAAACTGCCTTCTGATCCTTGCTCGTGGGATCCTTCCGACACGCTATCGTCGTGAATGGATTCGCCCTGGTCACCTCTGTCGAATGACCTTTCTGTACTCTCGCGACTTGAAGCAGAAATGTTATCAGATACGTCGCCAATGCTCTCTTCGCGGTCATTTCTCTCGACTCTGGAACCGACGAAGTCGCTGGTAGCAGACTCAGATTCGAGGCTGCCAAACGAACTACTGAGGTCGGAGCCATAATCAGTACTATTGTCTTGCGGTGATCTTTCTACTTCATCGTCAACGTGAACTGGGGCCGTGTTCAAAGCTTCAGATGTATCACTTGGAAACAAATCCGTGTCTGCGGCTCGACCTTGCTCGTTGTCAGCTTTCCATTTATCTTCGTCTTCGTCATCATTGGTATCGTCTTGGTTGGAAACATTTGCAGATTTTTCGCTAGTCACGGCTGCTGTTCTCTTGTTTGGTTCCTCAACATCAGAGTCGCTGACGCGAGAATCAACACTTGATCCCGATTCGGAAGAATCGTCGAAGAAGCTTCGCTTGGTCTCCTGCCCCTTTCCAGAGCTTCCCGTTCCTGTTGAAGCAACAACGACATCGGCTTTTGAGTTTTCATTTGCCTTTACGTCACTGGCTCTCGAACTGAAGCTTGATCCAGACCCCGTGTCGGGATCATCATCGAATGAGCTATGGTCATCGTTTTGGTCATTGCCTGCATTCTGTGCAGCGGCACTCGGTTGCAGGTTGCGGGGGGTCGAACTGACTTCTGATACGGTTTCTGGTTTTGCTTGATTTGCAGGTTGCGGTGGCGAAGCTCTATTGGCACCTTGAGGATCACTCTCATCTGACATCCCTTCATCCACTTCATCATGTTGGGAGGCCATACTTCCTCTGTCGCTAGCAGACTCACTTGCTCTCGAGTCAATGCTATCGTTATCGGAGTACGTTTCGCGGCCTTCTTCAGCGTCAAAGCTGCCATCAATCCGGGTGGTTTCATGCCCACTCCGCTCATGGGAAGAGTACACGGAATCGTCACTGGTGACGTCCTGTTGCGGTTGTGCTTTGTTTCGCTGCATCACTTTTGCCACAAGTTCGGGACTGTACATTTCTTCCAAGACATCGATATCAGTGCCGAGTTCAGCGAGTCTCTCAATGTCTGTTATGACTTCTTCCACTGCCGAGTCGAAGGATCGAGAAGACTCTGACATCCTGTCACTGTATTGGCTGTCACCGTCTCTACTGTCGAAACTCTTGTCCTGATCGCTGTAGTCGCTGTGATGGCTTCTGTTTTCATCACTGTAGTAGCTGCCGCTTCCATCACTGCTGTATCTCCCTCTGCTGCCTTGATCATTTGCTGGGCTTTGAGGAGGCGAAACTTCCCATCCCAGGTCAGCTAGGTCAAGATGGCCCTTTGACTCCCCCTTGCCTGGTGATTCAGCAATGTTGTGCTTTGTTTCACTTTTGTTTGGTGGTGAGTGGGAGGGGTCAGATGCTTTGAACTCCTGTTTGCTGTCATAGCTCCTGTTGTCTTGACTGTATCGGCTTTTGTCGTCACTGTTGTAGCTCCTGTCATCTTGGCTGTACTTGCTTCTGTCATCACTGTAACGACTTCGGTCTTCCTCATCACTGTAGTAGCTGCGACTACCCTCGCTTGAGTATCTCCCTGTGCTGCGATCATCTGCCAGCGGGCTTTGTGGAAGAGAAGCCTTCCTCCCTTCGTCAGGTTCATTATTTGACTCCCTTTGCATTGGCCATTCATTGGTGTTGTCCTTGGTTTCGTCTTTGTTTGATGGTGAGTGGGATGGGTCAGATGCTTTCGAATCCTGTTTGCTGTTGTAGCTCCTGTCATCTTTGCTGTATTGATCATCACTGTTGTAGCTCTTGTCATCTCCAATGTAGCTGCTTCTGTCATCACTGTGAAGGCTTCTGTCCTCCCCATTGCTATAGCTACCCCCACCGCCGTTGTTCTTTGCATCTTCGGCTCCAAGCACACGCAAAACATCGTCCGGGTTGAACATTGCTTGAAGGACAGAACTGTCCGTGCCCGCGTTGAACAATTCCAATATTGCAGCGTCATCGTTATGCCCAGCCTCTTCAGTTTCCACTGTCTTGCCGGTGTCTGTGATATCAGCAGGTTTTTCTTTGTCACCATCGCCTTTGCCCTTGTCTGTCGTTTCCGTCGCTTTGTTCGTTTCCTCAGTTTCTGTGACTTTCTCCTTGTCACTATCTTTTGTGTCTTTCCCTGCCGATCTGGAAAAGAAGCCAAAGAATCCTCTTCCTTTCTTTGCAGAGTTTTTGGTTTCACTCCGCGCGCTTGATTCATCACTTTTCGGCTCTGGCTTCTTATTCCATATCTCCTGAAGGTGACTCTCTTCTGAGCTAGATTCATAGCTAGATACTGAGCGTGACTCATCGCCGTAGCTGCTGTTGTCGGACGGTTTGATGTGCCCTTCTATCCTGTCATTCTGTTCTGCGTCTGGATTCTCCGGCGTGTCTTCGTCATCCTTGGGTTGCTTCAAGGCGTCTGCTTGACGTTCATCACTTTGTTGCTTTGACCTGTTCAGAACGCGTGCAACCTGCTCTGGGCTGAACATGGCTTCAAGAACTTCAACCCGAGTTCCAGCATCCAGCAGACCTTGGATTTCGAACTCAATTTTGTCAGCTTCAGATTCCTGCTCGTTAATCTGAGATCCGAGGTTAGACAAGAACTGTGCTTCTGGTGCATCTTTTGCCGTCTCGAAAGCTGGCTGCTGTCGGTCGTCGTCGTCGGTGGTTGCTCCTTGACTGATCGTTTGCTGAGATTCTTCGTCTGTCCCTTCGATGATTACTGGTACTGCATGGACATTGGCTGCATTACTGTCCTCGATTCCTGCATTTGTTGCGTCTTGAGGAACAGTCTGGTCGGCGTGGATGTTTGCCTGGGACTGGTTTGTGTCGAGCGCACTTTGGTGCATCGACGCGTTGTAGAATGAATCCATTGCGAAGGAATCCATATTCGATGAATCGTCAAACGTAGACATGGAACCTTCAACTCGTGCTTCGTCGCGTGAGCGATCACTTCTGGAACTTTGACTTCTTGACGAATACGACCCATCCCCCCTGGAAGAGTAGGATCTCTCCCCTCGTGAAGAGTAAGACCGGTCGCCTCTAGACGAGTAGGACCCGTCGCCTCTTGACGAATAAGATCTGCCGCCTCTCGAAGAGTAAGACCCATCTTGGCTTGCATCATCACTGTCAAATGACCCTTCTGGGATATTGGGTGGATTTGGTAAAGGAGCGTTCGCAGTTTTACCTGCTGCATGTCGAGATTCTGAAAAAGACTCCATGGCGAACGAGTCCATGGCTGATGTTGCTTCAGAGTGCGACCAGTACGAATCATGCGACTCGCTGCTGAACTTCTGACTCTCGGCGACGGAATCCTTGCCTGGGTATCTAGTTTGCTGCTTCGATTCCCTGGACTCGCTGGACTCAGACTCTTCATCACCATCCTTGCTTTTGACATATTCGCCTTTTTGGTTTAGAGCACTATGTTGCGACATCAATGGATGGTCTGACTCTACAGCAAAAGAGTCCACTTGGTCGCTGGACGTGGTGCTGCTGTGAGCGATGTTGCTATGTTGGGTGTTCGGTTGGTGAAGTGACTCCATCGCAAAGGAATCTTCGTGTTTGCTGTCCGTCCCGGAGTGAGAAGAAATGTCATCAGAGTACCTGGATTGGACACTGGAGTACTCGGATTCTGATCCTCGTCCTGAGTGTCCAGAATATTTTTCATCAGAATGCCTTGAATGTTCATCAGAATGTTCAGACCCAGAGAAAGAGTCTCGCCCATCGCGCCCGGGCGAATTCTCTTCTGAGAACGGTGCCTGGCCATTGGATCGCTCCAACCGGGACAACGAACCATGCCCTTCTTGTTGCGGCTGTTGACCTCGCGAAACAGAGTCACGCTCCGATGCACGCACGTTTTGATTTGTTTGATTTGTTTGATTTGCTTGCGTTGGTTGAACAGACGAAAGAGTATGGTCAGATTCGAGGGCAAAGGAAGGGACGCGCGAGGAATCCTCTGCTCTAGAATCCAGACTACTCGAGGAACCCGACTGATTGTCTCCACCGATAGTATGCCGAGACGATGATTCCCTACTTGCGAGCTCACCCTTGATGTTGTTTCCCGCACCAGACCCTCCGCCACTATCACCTTTGTGGTCTTCGGATAAGGATCTTTGAGAGGATTCTCCTACTTCAGACGGAAAGCTGGCATCGTTGGACTGTGGCTTCTCGTCGCTGACATCGGCTGTTTGGACTCTGTCGTTTCCAGATGGAGACAAGGACATCGACTCGACTTCCTGTCTAGTCCTACTTGAGGAGAGCCCAAATGGTGCGTCTGCGTCGTCTTCTGGTGCCCTCTTGTCCTCGTGGCTGCTATCGTGCTGGGAGCCGGATTCTTGGGAATGTTGGCCCACAATTGATCTAGGTGCTTCCACTGGTTCAGATTCCGTTGCGTGGTTCGACATGGAAATGTCATCGTCATCACCAATACCGTCCTTTTCATCGTAGTAACTCCCTTGATCCGATACCCCACTCTCCAATGGAAAACTGCCACTTTCAAGGCTGCTATCGCTCAGGGAACCACCGCTACCCAAAGAACTGGCATCTTCTCTGGAAATAAACGATCCACTGCCTTTGCTCACATAAGATTGGCTATCTCCGAGGCTGTCCACGTCGTCAAGTGGTTCGCTGCCAGAATCCATTTTGTCGGGCTCATCTTGAACGCCTATCTGGGAATCTCTCGATGACAGATTCTCTGACCCAGCAAAGGTATTCACAGGCACAATGTCTCCAGTAGAAGCATTGTCATCTGAATGGGCAGACTCAGCAAGCGATACAACATCCATCTCTTGCGACGCCAAAGGTCCAGTGTCATCTAATCTCCTTGAGAAATCACTGCCATCACTAAGGGAAACGTCAGAGTGTCCGTCTACAGAGTGTGCAGCACTGGGACTGTCACGGCCATCCTCGACCCGGATGCCATCTGCCAATTCATCTGATACATGGTCTTGCACATGGAAAGAATGGTGCTCACCTGCGCCTTGGGTTGGATGTGTTTCGTGGGGGGATTGCATGGCTTCACCAGTCGGGATTCGGTTGCCCTCTGAAGTTTTGGTGGATGCCAGAGAGCCAGCCCTTTCATTTCTCGCTGCCATTCGGTCTTCATGTGCTTCACTGAATGAATCATCATCAAGTCCGGACATACTCTCATTGCTTGCTCCCATGCTCCCATCTGAACCATGCCTAGACCTGTCACCACTCTTTGGAAGTGTTGGTGACTGGTGGACATGGCTATCATCATCAGTGTGAACACTACGGCCATCTCTCCCACTTTGGCTCCCTGAATGGCTCCCTGAAAAGGACCCTCCTTGATGCTGCTGTTGGCGCTTTCTTACAACACGTGCCACAATTTCAGGAGTGAACATCTCCTCCACAACAGCTAACTCTGTCCCCAGTTCTAGCAGTCGTTCTATATCCTTCTGGTCTTGAAGAAATGCTGTATCCTCTGAGCCACTCCCACTGAAGTAGCTTCTTCCATCACTTCCACTATAGTAGCTTCTGCTGCCACCACTTCCGTGGCCACTGTGGTAACTCCTGCTTCCGCTGCCACTGTAGTAGCTGCCATCATCACGGTAGTAACTCCTGTCATCTTCACCAGGTTCACCATTGTGACTTTTACGCTCAGTTCTGCTTTGCTGACTGCCTTCTCCTACACTAGCATGTTCTTCATCACTGTCAATGCCCATATCAGATGCAGGAGAACCTTGGTCGTTCTCTTTTGGTAGAGTGTCAATCTGGTCATTGGCCATAGAAGCGCTATCATCCGAGTCATCTATTGAGTCTGAACCATTGTCACTCAAGGCCTTTCCTTTGGCGGGGCTAGCTTGAGAATATTGAGATGACATTTCTTGGTCAGACTCTTGACCAGCTGTTGCTGCACCATGGGTATTATCATCGTCTGGAGCCAAGACACTGCCATCCACTCCATCTCTTTGTTCAATTTGAACCAGATGAGAACCGCTGTCATTAACATCTGACGTTTCGACCATCGGCACTTGCGTATCTGGCTTTTCTATATCCTCGTGATCTACCTTCTGGTTTTGATTCACACCGGGAAGACCTTGATGGACCTCTTGACCTGGACTGTCAGTCCTGCTTGTTTGTCCTTCTCTGTCATTGACTGCTTCTGGGGACAATTCAGATGACACAACAGAAATGCTGCCCCCTTCCGAGTGACTGTCACTTTCGCTTCCTTTGGCACTTGGTTGTTGGCGATGCGAAGACGATCTAAGGGCATCATCCAAGTTCTGATCAACACCACTGCCGTCAACACTTTGGCTCCTTGAGTGACTCCCAGAGAATGATCCTTCTTTATGGTCCTGTTGGCGCTTTCTTACAACACGTGCCACAATTTCAGGAGTGAACATCTCCTCCACAACAGCTAACTCAGTCCCCAGTTCTAGCAGTCGTTCAATATCCTTCTGGTCTTGAAGAAATGCTGTATCCGCTGAGCCACTTCCACTGAAGTAGCTTCTGCTTCCATCACTTCCACTATAGTAGCTTCTGCTGCCACCACTTCCGTGCCCACTGTGGTAACTCCTGCTTCCACTGCCACTGTAGTAGCTGCCATCATCACTGTAGTAACTCCTGTCATCTTCACCAGGTTCACCATTTTGACTTTTATGATGATCAGTTCTGCTTTGCTGACTGCCTTCTCCTACACTAGCATGTTCTTCATCACTGTCAATTCCGATATCAGATGCGGGAGAACCTTGGTCCTTCTCTTTCGGTGGAGTGTCTATCTGGTCATCAGCTATAGAAGCACTATCAACAGAATCGTCTATTGAGTCTGAACCATAGGGACTCAAGTCATCATCGCTTCCCTTATCTTTCATTTCCTGATCAGTGGATTGTAGTTCTTTGGCATTATTTTGAGGTACGCTACCTCTGGAGTCATCTTTTGACTCTGGGGAGTCTGCATTGACTTGAATCATTTCTTCATCAGGATGAACCGAACTGACGGCATCAAGTTCAATTGCATCCGCTTTGCCCATGTCATTAGAACCTGGAGTCATTGGTTCATCCCGGTCCTTGGCTCCTTCGCGGCTGAAAGGGATATCCTGCACATCAATCTTTTCAGAGCTGTCACTCTTGGCCTTTGGTTCTTCACTACCCAGTAGAGAATTTGGAGAATGCTCATTTGGTGCCACTGAAACGTCATCTGCATCTCGTCGGTGGCTGCTATCGGCCTCTTCAACAACGGAAAGCCGTTCTACGGAGGAAGCCATGGAAGCATCATCAAAATGCCGTTCACTACCACTCTGGCTCCCTGAATAGCTACCTGAGTAGCTGCCAGGGAATGACCCTTCTTCTTGTTGCTGTTGGCGCTTTCTTATGACACGTGCCACAATTTCAGGAGTGAACATTTCCTCCACCACAGCCAATTCAGTCCCCAGGTCCAGCAATCGCTCAATATCCTTCTGGTCTTGAAGAAATGCTGTATCCTCTGAACCACTGCCACTGTAGTAGCTTCTGCTTCCACTGTGGTAGCTTCTGCTACCACTGCCGCTGTAGTAGCTGCCACGATCACTGCCACTGTAGTAACTCCTGTCATCTCCACTGTGCTGACTGCCTCCTCCAGGACTGCCAATCTCTATCGAAGCATCGCTGAGGCTCCCTTGTTGATGAGGATCCTTCACTCTGGGCCGGTCACCCTCCTGTTGATTGTCACCCCCAGACTGGCCAGGCCGACCTACATTTGCACTGTTCTCAGGGGATACCGGCCATCCTTCACTGCCGCTGTCCGACTGTGATCGGTTACTATCCTGGCTATTATTGGGTGGTAGTTGGTTCTCGCTGGCAAAGTGGCCCCTGGAAAACTGGCTCTCACCCGAGACGTGGCTGCCACTGCGCCATGAATACTGGCTTCCCTCACCACCAGAATGACGACTTCCGCTTCTGGAGTCCGACCCAAGGTGGTGACTATCCTGGTCAATGGGTGGTAGTTGGTTCTCACTGGCAAAGTGACTTTGGGAGAACTGGCTCTCACCAGAGACATTGCCACCACTGCGCCAAGAATACTGGCTTCCCTCGTCACCGGAGTGACGACTTCCGCTTTCGGAGTATCTGGATTGACTGCCTCGACTGCCTCGACTGCCGCGCCCTGATGAGTATCGAGATCGACTGCCATCCCCTGAGTACTCGGATCGACTCCCATCCCCTGAGTATCTAGATCGACTGTCATCCTGGGAATATCTAGATCGACTGCCATCTCGTGAGTATCTGCTGCGGCTTCCCCCAGAAGACTGCCTACTATCCTCCGCACTCCTGCTTGCTTCGTCCGAGTATCCACCCGAGGAAATGTCCTGTTCAATGTCGCCAAGACTGAGGCTTTTTTCGCTGCCGCCGGAACGGTGACCGCCGTCGTCCCCCGAGTATCGACCCCGGCGGCTTCCCTGACTACTCCCCGAGTATCTGCTCCCTTGATGACTGCCACCACCAGAGTATCTGCTTCTACTGCCCCGACTTCCAGCAGAATATCGACTTCCCTGGCTACCCCCTATGAGTGGGTGGCAGAATGGAAGCGTCAGACTGGCCACCTTGCTCCACTTATAAAAGACCCTAGGCACAGGTGTCCTCTTTGACGTTACATACCTGAATATCTGCTGTGTCCTCCCTGACTCCCATCTTCCGAATAGTAGCTTCGGCTTCCCTGACTTTGTGAATAGCGACTACCATCCTCCGAGTAGTAACTTCGACTGCCGACAGAACCACTGTGATGGCTGCTGCCACGGCTTGCCGCCGCGTCATCCTGATGGGATCTCCTCCTTTCTTGGCTCTCTGCTGGTTGTGGTTGTGCTGCTGCTGCTGTTTTGACGACACGATCTACCAGAGGCGGAGGAAACATGGCATAGAGTACCTCTACTTGAGTTCCGACTTCCAGCAGAGACCGAATTTCCTCTTCCATTTGAGAATTGGAAACGTTGTTGGATTCGGAAGCATCATCGTCGGCAACCGGTGGTAATCGATGGCTGCTGCGGCGTCGGCCTTGACTGCTTCTTCGTCGGCCTGCGCTGCTTCGACTGCTCCGTCGACGTTCCGCTCCTTCCCCACTGTAATACGAGGATCCAGAGGACGACGATTCCTCGGCTGGCCACCCACCACCAAACCAGCCACTCATGGTTGCCGGCTATCTAGCTACACAAAAGTGGTGGGAATTTGTTTCGTCTTGCCCTCTTGTCACGGTCTATGTCTCGGACTGGCGCGGCTGGAGGATGCACCAGCAGTGTGGCTCGAAAGTCTCGAATAAAGCTCGCTCTCTAGCTACTTGTAGTGGCTTGAGAAGCATCTCTTGCTTGCTCATGGTCGTCGTTTTGATGACATGGATGAGACCTTCGCAATTCTTCTTCTTTCGCAAGTCCGCTATGTTAATCGAATGATTCGATCGAGTCGTTCTCGGAGTCCTGCCAAGTGGCAGCCAATTTTCCTCGCAACGGCTGTCGTCGCCACAAATTGCATGTCATTTGTGGTCTTTGGGGTGGTCCTCCACCGGTACAGTACCCAGAGGAAACACTACTAGATGGACGGAAAGGCCACAATGAAGCTCCTACCGTAGCTTGCTATCGATAGGGGTACGGATGACAAGTGCATGCACCCTGAGACCACCCGAGTATTGATTCTCTCTCAACTGGATGATGTCCAGTTACGGTAGGTTTTCCACGCTATGCAAGCACGACGAGGAAAAGCTACATCCGCCTACTCTAAGCCACCGTACAGTACTATTGGAAAGGGGGGTTTAGAGTAGGGAAAGTTCTGGCTATTGTAGTTGGCCCTATATGATTTTTTCTATGTAAATGGTTCTTCTTGTGGTCTTCGTTCTTGTGTAGTTGTTTAATTAATCCATGACATGTATACTGTGTGTATTTTCCATGATGTATCTCTTCTTTGGCTGCCTAAAAGTGCCCGTGACTCCATGCAGATAGATTTATGTATGTGGGCCAACACCGTGAGGTTGAATCTCTAGGACGGTAGTTGTTGGGATGCATGCATGCATGCTTTCAGACCTCTGCAATATGGTGGATGGGATATACCGTAATCTTGGGTTCGTACTTGGTCGTAGTGAAGACTCCCTGGATGACACCTTTCCATTCGTCCTTGGTCTTCTGGTACACACTCGCGTGATGATCGGGGGCGTGGATCTGGTATTTGAAATCGATTCGAGTATCCGTAATGGCCGCAGTACGAGAAATGAATTCACCTATCATAACATAAAAACAACAGAGCAGAAAGGATGAGAATTCCCTGATCCCAACCCTGACGGGTGATGGATAGATAGTGTGCTGAATGAATGAATGAATCACTTACTGCCTCCCTTGAAATGCCAGGACTTGCTATCGCAATCCCATTCAAAGGCCATGGAACCAGATCCAGCCGATTGACCATCCTGCAAGATGAGAGTTCCGTTCTGTGTCAATGCCAAGCTTTCCGGATTGGCCGTCATGCCCATGCTGGAAACGAGGGATAGCTGTGCTTGATGACGAGGAATGCGGACATAGTCCACATCCCCCACATACTTGTGAGCCACGGGATCCCAACGACGTATGCTCTTGGGGACACGGGTGGGACTGCCCATGACATTGTCTGCTAGATAGGCATTCAATGCTGTGCGGGCATCATGATCCAGACAAACCTCCATGGTAAAGGTAATGTTGTCCAGAATGAGCCAATCATACTCAATCATGATGTAGCCCAGCTCATTGAGCTCGTCTTTGTAGGCATACCACATTTCTCGATCGTAAAAGTCGCGCTTCATTTCAAAAGGATTCTGAACGACCACCTGTGGATCCTCATCGCCCTCTTTGGGTTTCACTTCGAGAGTCTCTTCTTGGTGTTGTTCCAAACGTTGACGTGACAAGGCCAATTGTTCTTGGGTCACATCTATGAGCTCTTTGGCAATGGTACCATTGTACTGTCGGACTGGAGTGAGAAAGTCCACGTTACTGACATAGCGCTTGGGGACCAGGAACCTCTTGCCATAGTGGTCTTCCAGTTCTGGGTCGTACCCCTTGTAGACTGGAGCAAAGTTGTAAAAGAGGTAGTCAAAAGCGTCCTCTTTGGGAAGCGTCTCGCTGACAACCACAGTGCCAAAGAGAAAGAGCCAGTCCTTGTACTTTTTCTGAGACACCAGTTGCTCCAATCCCAGCATGATCTGACACACCTCGGTGCATTTGTCCTTGTCGTCCACCATGTCCTTGAGGCGCTCTCGTCGCGTTTCATTCACGTCAAAGACATACGCTCCTTCTCTTCCACGCCAAAAGAACTCGGGGGCAATAAAGATCTTGAGAATGTCGGGAGAGTGATTGGCTTGTTCATAGGCTCGTTCCACCGCGTCCGTCATGATTTTCATTCGACGCCGAACATCTTGGGCTTGGTCCGCTTCTCCCAGGTAGCATTGCCACAGACTCGAGGGCAAGGTCGAATTGGTAATATCGTAATCATCAAAGTGCCCATAAGAGCTCAAACCATTGCACTCTGGGTTGTGAATCATGGTGGGCGTCTTGGCGTTCTGATTGTCTCCGGCCACGGCGGGAGTCTCCTGGAGCAGCAAGGCTGGAGCACCTCCCGTGTAGATTTCGAATCCCATGGCTTGGAACCGCTTGTACTGACTGGTGATATTTTTGGCTTCTTCTGGGATAGAGGAGTATGGCGAGGACTTTGACTTGTGGTGACTTTCCTCCGATCGAAGGTGACTGTGTTGTGCTTCTTGGCGCTCGACGTGCTGTGGAAGCTGTGGCTGGGTATGGTTAGCGTTGTGCTTCTCATGGTTCATGAAAACAGCGAGAATAAGGCACAGGGCAAACCCAATTCCCAAATCCATGAAGCGGCGCCATGGAATCCGACCGAACTCTGCTTTATCCTTCTTGTACGGGGATCCCAGGAGAGAAGTAGATTCCGTTTCTTGATGCTGGTAGATAGCGGAAAGCTTAGCAGTAGTCATCATGGCCCGTATTTCCAAACCAAATAATAAATGGACAAACAGGATCGAGCCAATGCAAATTGAAAATTTGAGAAGGCGTTGGTTGGGAGATGGATTGGAAGATTCGATTCAATCGTCGAGATGGACAAAAGTGTTCCGCTTGAGTATTGTTACGGATAAAGCTCTGAGAGGAGGAGAGTTGGATGATGCAAGTTAGCTATCCATCCATCACCCAGCGAATGATGAGAAAGCATTCGATAGACTCCAACCATGACGATGGATCTTCCGGCAAAAATCTTGCTTTTGCATTTTGTGAGGTGGTCTCTCCGAGGGTAGCTGTAATTTCACCCCCCTTAATTAAATTCTTTCTGTTCACGTTCTGGAGATGCAACCACGAATCACAAGCAATCCCATTCGCGGAACTGTTTCCAGAAACCAGCACCGAACACATACGTGCCTACCGTGCTCACTTACTTTGAAGCTGGAATGAATCTTTGAGATTCGATTGCTCGATTGTTTCACTGATCAACCTATGGTCTCTGCGTTGTCCATACATGCAGTCCCAGAGAACTGGATTTGATCGACTGAGGCCTCGACTCCGTTCATTCGCTTCGTTTCACAAGCTCATACCGGTACAGCGCAGTAGCTAGCTAGCTAGCTTGTGGATACAGGTTGCATGTGAGCCAAAGACATGAAGGGTTGGATCCCTTACACATTTGGCTGGTTTGCAAAAGACAGACTGGAACTCAAGACGCGAACGAGGAGTTGAGGGAATCCCTCCGAGATCTTTGGAAGTGGGGCGGTTCCTGGAGGTTTACTTGATTGGGACCTCTCTTTTAAAACTGCTATTTTACAAGGAGGAAGATACATGAATACATCATGGATCGTTGTTCAACTGGTTCCTGAGTCTTCGTGATGGAATATCCCAAGGGGCCGTTGCTGAGCAGACGAAACGCGATCCGCTGCTTCGCGGCGATAGGCTTCCAAATGCGAGAACACTGACACCATGGCAAAATAGAAGCCCAACAAACCTGCCGAAACCAAAGCTTGCACCCAGTAGAGCTTCACCAAAAGTGCGGTCGTACCAATCATAGCAGCAGATGTAAGCCTCGTTTTGTTGGAAAACTGCAAGGTCGCAGCCCGGCTTCCTCCGGTATCATCGCGTAAGTTGACATTAGTCGCTCCATCTTCTACCGTCGCTGCCGACGTCAAGGAAGCCAATTTGTTCCTGAGCTCCAGCTCGCCGTAGAAATCTGAGGCGAGCTTCTGTCCTGGCTCCACATCAAACTGTTCCTCTTCGTAGCCAGCGAAATCATCACCATGGTAGGGTGGGCTTCCATGTAGGCTTATCGATGCGGGTGCAAACTTTCGACTTTGCCCAGAAAATCGGTTGCAACTGAAAGCCGTTGCCGTGTTCGAAAAACTTGCCGCCACCGCGAACCAAGCAACGAGACAGTTCCTCCAAGTGGAGACTTGCATGATGGCTTGACGTCGTAGTTGAAGCGACTAACAGCTGTCGTCTTTTTTACACCATTCAACACTCCGAGTCCAACAACTGCAACTGTTATTACTCGATGTCTTGCAATAAGTTGAGTGCGATAATCGTTTTCGCCCTGCGGAATTCGGAAACGTTGAGGTGCGCCCAAGATTGGTCACAGAACGTCGTAAGAGGTGCGCCTTGACACGAGGTACCACGGTACCAGTACTTTTAGACGAGGCGAGGGCTGGTACTTCTGACCAGAGTTGTATGTGAGTGTTGACAGGGTACTGGTACGGACATGGAAAGCAAGCACCAGCTCCAACGGGCGTCTCGTCGCTCTAGCTAGCTACTGGGTGGTACCGGTAGCAAGATAAGAAGAAGCAAGACCGTTATCATGCTACGTTACGGGCAAGTACAATAATAAGGGGAGAATGGAAGTAGAAGCTTCATCTTTCGCTGGTTGTATCAGAAACATTTGAGGAAGGGATTGTTTCGACATGCGCTTGCTGGAGGCAACAAAACCGTGGCAGAGGTTGCCCATTTTGCGATGTTGCATTTTACATGTAGCGGTTCTTTCTCTCAATTGCGATACCTGTATCTGAGCCATATTCCAGATCCAACGAGCAAGACATCCATGGCTGTGTCTTGTTGCAAGCCGCAGCAGGGAAAACAGTTGTATACTGCAAACAAACAAAAATCACCACAGTTTCTGAGTTTGGCGATCAATGTGGACTGTGGCTTAATTAATTACTGTGTACGGGAGTACTGTACGACGACGCACGACAAAACATTGACGGCAACGCTGCGCAGACAACAGAAGCAAGAGCCACAAACACTTGGCAGCCAACAAACCACACGGCAACAACAGCAAGGAGCACGACCGACGTCGAGCAGCCATGGAAAGTATCGGTGGGCAGAAGCGTGGACAAGATGGAGAAGGCGATGCAGCCCCTGCCAAAACGCCAAAACAGAGCAAGACCAACCCCCCACAGACCCTCAGTTTGGACGTCTTGAAGAAGGAGTGGACTCCGGGGCGCACCGATCGAATGGACAATGGAATCCTGAAATTGAACAAAAATACCAATGGGTTGTGTGGGGGCGACTGGATCAGCGCCAGTGACGGCACCGGCGCGACACTGAGTTGTGTCGTTTTCAATGACGGCAAATACTATGGGCTTACGGCTGGGCACATCTTCGATGAGGCGCCTAATAGTGACGTTTACACCTTTGTGAAAAAAGAGGATGTGAATGCCCCGGACGGAAAAGAAGAGGACGAATTCAACGCGTGCAAGATTGGAAAAATTGTCTCTCGATCGGTTTCCACGGATTCAGTCGTCTTTGAATTTGATGACAACATCGAAGTGAAACCTCCAAGACAGTAAAGGTGGCGGCGGGCTCAACTCGAGTCATTAAACTGCCTGATGTCAATTCACAGGCCATCCCGCCTCCACAAGGCAGCACTCATGCCGGTTTTGGTGCCAGTCGCCACGTTAGCCTCTGTGCCTGATGGAAGCATTGGTATCTCCAGTCGCGAAGATGGCGAACGGATCACCTATCCAGGCGACTGTGGTACAATTTTTATGGATCTGGAGTGTAACGGTGTCTATTTCCACACGGATGGAACCGAACTGGCACCCTGGAAGGCTTTTGGGGTTCCTCTTGTGAAAGTCATGAGCAAACACCCTGTACTTGGAGGTACAAGCGACCCCATGCCAGATGGAAATGCAAAAAGCAACCAGAAAGAAACGATCATCCTGTCCAAGAGGGCTATGCGAAGGAAGCGATCGTTCCCATCCCAGGCGCAAAATTCAAAATGCATATTGTGCCAGCTCCACGTCGGACGACGACCCGAAGCAGATTCAAGGTTCCGATCTTCACAACCATCCCTGCCCCGCAGAGCAAGAAGAAGATGATGGTGTAATAGGGCTGTTCGTTGAGACATAACAGGGAAAGGAACAGGGATCGTCGATGCTACGTGACCGGTACGTACGTTACGGGCAAGCAATGATAAGGTGGAGGATGGATCATCTTTCACTGGTTGCCGGCATCAGAAGCATTTTGGTCCACACACACACAGTATATAGTCGGTACGCAATTCGTGAGGAAGGAATTTTTTTCGAAATGGGCTTGCTGTAGGCAACAAAAAGCGTGGCAGAGGTTGCCCAAGTTGCGCTGTTGCATGTAGCGGTACATCCTCTCTAGCTAGATCTCAATTGCGATGCCAGTATATCTGAGGCCAATCTTCGAGATCCAACAAGCAAGAAATGGCTGTGGTCTGATTGCTCCAAAACTTGGAGGATGAAGAGAACGGCCATTATGGCTACTAGCTAGTCTAGTATGTGCCGTCGGTACCGTGTTGGTAGAATGTGGCGAAGGTGCCATGGTACCGGTACCGGTTTTCACAGTTTGTATTCGCGGATACAGTCGTACTCGGTACATAATGGGGAACTTTTGCTTGGTACAGTTAGCTTGAACCTTATTTCGTCTCCCGGAGACGACTTGCTTTAGGGGTAAGGTACTGTTGGGGGCAGAGGTTTGAATTATACCCGGCGTGCAATACTTAGAGGCCTCTGGAGCGTTCCTCAATCGTGCATGCCTTAACAAAAACCGACCCTAATTTACCTATTTTTGGGACGGATTTAGGGACGGGTTCCCTTTAGGGACGGGTTTGAAAACCCACCCTAAAAATAGGGACAGTTTCTGAAAAATAGGGACGGTTTCTGAAAAAGTCCCTAATTTAGGGACGGGTTTCGATTTAGGGTCGGGTTTGAAAACGTCCCTAAATCGAAACGGGACTGAATGGTAAATACATTGAAAACGCACCAATATTAGGGTCGGGTTTGAAAACCGACCCTAAAAATAGGGACTGTTTCTGAAAAATAGGGACGGTTTCTGAAAAAACGTCCCTAATTTAGGGACGGGTTTCGATTTAGGGTCGGGTTTCGAAAACGACCCTAGTTCAGTCGGATTTAGGGACGGGTTTCCCCAAACCGACCCTAAATTAGGGTCGGATTTAAAGGTCATGCACGATTGAGGAACTTTCCTGTAGAAGTCTACGTATTTGACTAGTATTGTATTGACGGGATACATTCAACGCATGTACATGCACATGAAAGTCGCCTCGCTTTTCACACAAGTTTCGCATGAATGAGCGAGGGAGCTGTTTCGGGGCGAAGCAAGAAAGGGATGAGCGCGCGGAGCGCGCGAATACTGTTTCAGGTGTTGGTAATAAAAGATTTATGGAAACGGAGACGACCTAGGGGGCGTATGAATACTGGTGATGAGTATTTGCGAAGCCGAAGATTGCCTTTCCCGAAGGTAAGGTGTCTTTCCCCATAATAGAGGTGTGGAAATAGTGAGAGATAAAGCCTCATATTTATAAATATCCCACCTGGATGCAATCTATAGCATCTGTGAGAATCAACCAACAACATGAGCAGCAGCAATAACATCAATAGCGACAACATACCCCCAACAAAAGTCGCCTATCTTCACGAGGAGGCTGAAAGCCAAAATGGCACTAATACTGCTGTGGCTGGTGATGATGGTGCCCTAGATGATCTAGGCATTATCAAGATTGAAGAGTCCATTGGTTTATTATCTGATGTCAACCAACAAATGGCTACTGGGACCACCAATGGTGAAGGAGTGTCACCTAGGCCCACAGTGTCGACACCCAGAAGAGGAGGCCGACGAGGTCTTCCCAGATCACATCAGAGAATATACACTGCATCATCAGCCACCACTGATAATGTTCTGGAAGATGACGGCAGCATCGTGGAATTATCCAAAATTTTGGAGGCAAGGGAACCGGCTCTGGTGCACCAAGGACAACAGCAGCACACTGGCACATCTGGAATTATTCAAGAAAATAGAGTTGCAATCTCTACGATTGCGGCAGCCAGAGACCAGAAAATCTCAACGCCAGGGCAAAATGAAAAAACCACCGGTGCACTCGATGAGCTAGACATTATCAAGATTTCAGAGGCACGGACAAAAGCAGAGTCCCTGGCCTTGTTACCTGAAGTCAACCAACAAGTGGCTACTGGGACCCCCAATGGTAAGGGGGCGTCACCTCGTAGGCCCAGAGTCCTCAGATTTTTACCCAAGAGGGCACCAGCCGTCCATTAAGAAGAACAGCTGGAAGAAGGAAATAGCACCGATGGCCTATGCAATGAGCATGTAGGTCAGGCTGCAACAAATCAGAATCCAGTCATCGATGAAAGCCAACCAGGTGCCTACTCGGGGGCTCATGGGCTTCCCCCGCAACGGAATCGGAAGCCAGGATTTTCTCAGTTAGGCATTGTGGGAACCGCACAAATGTTTTCTCCATCATTAAAAATAGGGATAAGTCAGGAATCCACAGTCAACCAACCAGTGGCTACTGGGACCACCAATCGTAAGCGAGCGTCACCTCGGCCCGCAGTCCTCAAATTCTTACGCAAAAGGGCTACCACCATCAATCAAGAACAAAAACTGGAAGAAGGAAATATTACCGATGGCCTATGCAATGAGCATGTAGGTCAGGCTGCAACAAATCAGAATCCAGTTGTCGATGAAAGCCAACCAGGTGCCTACTCGGGGGCTCCTGGGCTTCCCCCGCAACGGAATCCGACTCCAAGATTTTCTCAGTTAGGCATTGTGGGAACCACACCAATTTCTTCACCGTCATTGGAAATGGAGATAAGTCAAGAAGAATCAGCAGAGTTGCAAGCTACCAACATGCCAGACAGTCAAACTGGTTTGATGGTGGCCAATCTTGTTGCCGACCCAAGCCAGGAGAATCTACAGTTGACGGAAGCATTACAATTAATCCGCGAGAATAACATTGAAGAGCAAAAAGTTGACAGGAGTAAGCGTGCCATGCTGAGTGCATCAAAATGGCTGCTCTTGGGGGTCATTCTCATTGTGGCAGTTGTCCTGGTAGTGGTGCTAGGGACTAGAAACAAGTCAGCAACTATAGCACAAGAAGCTGTATCTAGTGCACCAACAACATCTGTGATGCCCTCCGTCTCCCCATCATCAATGCCAACTAAGACACTACTGTCAGCCAGGTATGATATCAAGGGGCTTTCAGAAAGTACAGCTGAGTCGATTGGTAGGCCTGGTTCCCCACAACAACAGGCTTATGACTGGACATTTCAACACCCAGAATTTGACGAAATGCCAAATTGGCGGAAACAGCAATTGTTTGCATTGGGGACCTTCTACTTTTCCTTTGAAAATTGGCCAGAAAATTACCGGTGGATCGACTACAGCAATACAGAATGTTCGTGGACCACAGACCTGGACTCCCCAGAGGAATCTGGCTCAACAAGTGCTTGGAGGCCACCAGGATATCGTGCGGGTTTCTTGTGTTCTTTTTCATCATCTTGCTGTCTACCTTCCCTTCCCTACCCTTTTGACTCAAACTGCAATGATGAAGGTCGTTTCTACTACATGAAGCTGAGACTCGCCATTTCTGGGACTCTGCCACCAGAAGTATTCCTCCTCACTGGAATCACAATATTTGATGTTCGTGATGCTGGCATTACTGGAAGTATTCCTTCGGAGATTGGTATGCTTTCCTTGATGACAGACTTAAATTTCGCCTCCAATCAAATCACAGGACAGCTTCCTTCAGAGATTGGTTTTCTCACGGATTTGGACTATTTGAATCTTGGCGGTAATGCCATATCCGGTTCGGTTCCAACCAGCATTGGCTAGACAAATCTTACTAGGCTTCTCTTGGAATACAACGAGCTATCAGGCTCCCTTCCATCAGAGCTGGGCTTGCTGTCTTTCTTCCAGCGCATCGACTTGGCATTCAACCAGATCACTGGTCCTTTGCCGTCTGAATTGGGTAGCTTCACGAGTATCACAAGACTGGATGCCCGTTTCAACAACATTTCAGGTCTACCTACTGAATTGGGGCTCATGACTGATCTTTTGTATCTAATGCTTCGGGACAATGCCATTGCAGGAGCTCTCCCAAGGTAAGTGCACCTAAGAATTGGTTGTGCTGAGTCTACATTATTGTTACTCAAGGTTTGCTGTTTCTGGTTTGTGGATCCAGTGAAATGGGCAACTTGTCCAACATGGCGTATCTAAGCCTCGAGCGAAACTTGATTATTGGAGCGTTTCCATCTACATTCAATCACTCAAGTGCACGTCAATTTGATTTACGAGACAATAGATTGACCGACATCCCCACAGAAATAGGGAACCTTGGAAACGACATAGAGCAGTTGGACCTAAGCTACAACAAGATTGCCACCTTGCCGAGTCAGTTATTTCTCTTGACAAGCCTTTTCGTGCTTCAGCTGGATGGAAACCAAATAGAGCATTTGCCAAAGGAAGTAGAACAGATGACAAATCTGGATCCTTGCGGTGAGGGCTGGGATGCGCCAGACCGGTATTGGCTGACATTGAACGGGAACAAGCTAGCATCATTACCTACAGAAATTGGAAGTCTGACAAACTTGCGGTCTTGGAATATGGACAGCAACTCTATTTCATCATTTCCTGGTTTTGAATGGTCCAACTTGACACACTTGCAGTCAATTCCGCTGTCTCACAACATGCTAAATTCTACAATTCCATCCGAACTTGGCCTCCTAGATGAGCTTGCCGAGTTGGATCTGTCATCAAATGTCTTGGTTGGGAGCATACCTTCTGAGTTGGGTGGGATCGTGGGAAGTGTTTCAAGGTGGAATGAGACTCTCGGTGAATATGTTCCACAGGAGGTGCCAAGGGTTAAAATACTCAATTTGGGGAACAATCTACTGAGTGGTTGGTTGCCATCGGAGCTTGGCCTCTTGACGGAACTGAGAACTCTGGATTTGTCCAACAATTACATGACAGGGTTTATGATGACTGAGCTGGGCAATCTGACAAGTGTGGAATTATTGGATCTTTCCTTCAACCAAATCTCTGGTCCCATCCCAACGGAACTTGGCCTACTGGAACAGCTAGCTAGAGTTCCTTGACCTGTCATCAAGCATCTTGATTGGGGGTATCCCCTCCGAATTTGGGCAGTTCATGACCACTCTTACGAAATACAATGCTACACTTGATGACTATGTTGAGAAGGTGACACCCCTGATCCAAACACTTGATCTGAGCAACAACCAGCTGAGTGGATGGTTGCCATCAGAGCTTGGCCTTCTGACAAGCCTGGAAACTCTGGACTTGTCAGTCAACAGCCTCACAGGATCCATTCCCAGTGAGCTGGGGAATCTGAATGCCGAATCATGCTGTGGGGTAACAACTTTAGTGGCACTCTGCCCCAAAGTTTGTGCCCCTGGTACTGCACAAGGCAACAGTGCTCTGTGACAGAGTATGCCAGTGATACTACCAATGGGTCGGTGATGGTTGCTGGAGATTGTGGCACCATGGCTGGGTGGGCGGAAGTGGACTGTTCAGATGAATCCTTGCTGGACTGTAGCGTTTGTGATTGCTGGTAGCTTGATTTATTATAGGTTGGATTTTGCTTGCTCTCCTTTGTCCCTTGTGCTGCCAATCTGCTGCAGTTGTGGAATTTTTGAGTTACTCTGCTCAAACCTGCTGAGCTTTCTCTGTACTTGACAGAGTGCCTAATGCCACAGAAGTAACTGAATGCTCTGTGGAAAACTGTTGTGAATGGTCAGGGATCTCACAGAATCTCCCAGTGGGTCGTTTGCTTTTCTCGTTCCTTGTGCCAATCTGCCTGCCTCCGTTGTGGCCTTTTTTAGTTACTCTGTTCAGCTCGAACCTGCTGAATGAACTTCTTGGCTTTTCAAGATCGATGCTGACTTGGGGGAAGATGATTGCAAGATGCCATCAGAAAGCTACTGTGATGACCTGAACAATCAGCTTATTAGTGTTGGCGCTCTTGGCATTGTGTTTCGGCGCACGGCACTATCGTAAGCCAGACATACAGGATATGAATCCATGGGCGTAGCCAGGAGGAAGTTTTCTAAGCGGTGACATCCTCAACAGGGAGAATCTTGAACATTGGGCTTCCGCTGGTCACGAGGCACTTCCCATTGGGATTCGATTCGTTTCCAATTAATTAACATTGATTTTCTCATCCCATTGAAGAGGCTGCGATATGGGCGCCATTTGAAGTTTTTTCTCAACAGAGCAAGGAACTGAAGATGAAAGGCAGTGGGACTTGGAGATCTACAGTAGCTAGAAGTGCTTCAAGCCTTGATTAGATTGCCTACCGCTGTTCTGTAGCGATATCTTGAAGCAAGGCATGCAGCAACCAAGCCTGGCCCCGGCTGCGGCTTCCGTAGATAATTTCCCTACTCTAACCCCCCCCCCCCTAAAAGAACGCGTGGCTTTGTGCATGTGACTTGCTCCAGTTCGTTGAAGCTTCGTTGACCACTTTGCAAGAAAAGAAAGGGCATGCAGGATGGAGGATACTCAAAAAGAAGACAAAGGCAACAAAGGATGGCAGAGTGTTGGCAGCGGTTCTCATTCTCGGAGATTTCAACTCTACTAGCTAGGCTCCGCTTGACTGGGTTGCTGCTTTGCTATGGTATGTATCAAGCTACCGTTCTGGAGAGAGCAGCAAGGTTCGCAAGATTGCTGAGGGCGTCTTTTGCTCAGGTTATGGCAGCAGAAGGCGCGCGGGAAACCGGTTGAAAGATTGTGAAGTTCACAATGCTCCTTTGAAGCCGCTGGTGAATAGTCGGCAACCGAAGGCCGGCGGTTCGAGTTTGTACTCGGAGAGGAACATGTGCCAATTGAGCCTTTGCCAAAGACCACCAACCCAAAGAAATCTTTGCTACCAGGTCCTAGAGAGAGCCTACTAGCTAGGTCACCGCAACCACCAAAGGAGCAGAGCAACAAGATTGTGCCTTATAATTCTGTGCCAACAATGGCAGGAGGCTTTCAGGAGCTTGAGATTTGGTTTCCCGCTGCTCCCAGGAACGACGCTACAGAACAGGCTGCTCTGTCGTCGCCACCACCATCTTCCCTCTTCGGATTTGATGCCTAGAAAGAGACATTAGGAAGGAGCAGAGAAACTAGCTAGATTGCGCCTAACATGTACAAGTAGTCTGGGCCTAATGGGTTTAGCTTTAGCTGGAGGCTCAGAAGCGGACGAGATTTATTTGGTTCCCCACCGCTTCAAGGGACGCTACGGAACAGGCTGCTCTGTGGCCGCCACCATCCTCGCTCTTCGGATATGATCCCTACTAGAAAGAGACGCTAGGTTGCTTCGATGGATTTCCCAATATTCCGCCCAAGAAGGGTTGCTTTCTTGCTTGTGTGATTGTGCAGGACTACCATACCAGGTATCTATCAGTAAATTGTGCTTGACTCTAAAAGCTGCAGAACAGGGGGCGGTTCCGCCAAATAAAAATGGAATGTTGGCTTGGAAGGCTTTTCATTTCCATAACGTTCTCTAGGGTCCAGGCAATGAGATGCTGGACGGATGACGGATGGCAACTGCAATGTTGAATGTTGGGGCGACTCGACTCAACTCAACTTGACTCGACTGTCACTCCACTCGACTCGACTCGGCTGTCACTCGACTTGGCTTGGCTGTGTTTTTTCTACGATAGATAGCTCCTGTGTCAGGATCTGGAGTAAATAGTTGCTGGTGGTCGCCGCCTACTAGACTAGCTAGTAGGCGAGTTGCCACAAAGCAACATCCAGCTGTATTGCAGTGCAGTAGCTGTGCAGTAATTTACGCACTACTAGACTAGTCAGTCTGCCGGTTGCCCTCTAGAATATTTTAATAGGTGGTCTTGGTCGGCCCTTTAATCGTTGCATTCCCAGTGACTACCCTACCGCCTGTACGGCTACGCGTATACGGCTGTTACGGTTCTGGGCTTCAACACTTCCTGGGAGCTGCCTCGTTGGGGCTCGACGCAGGATCAATGGATCCATCATCTCAAAAAAGGGTCAAAATCCGAAGCAATCAAAAAGAAATGTGAGCGCACAAGAGTCATAAGGAAGCCATGACGTCATTCACTCCGCAGAGCATTTATCAAGACAACTATATACTTAATGAGTTCGGATAAGTTCCCCTGATCGTTAAATAAATTGAGGATTCTGTGCTTCTTGAACCCTAATTCGTTGTTCTTTTTACAAGAGTCATTCTCTCGGGGGAACGGAAAGAACGATAAGGCTTGACGCCCCACACACTTCGATCTTATTACATCCTGACTTTTCGAGGTCTGCTTGATGGCCACCAGTAAGCAAGCAGCTGCAAGCACACTCCGAAGGTTGCATAAAACACACACCCCATCAAGGCTTACTCGTATCCAACATCACCAACATCACTTACTCCAGCAGAGATTGTCACACTCTAACAGCTCTACGAAGCCAGTAGAACGTTCATCAATCAATCAATCGTCGCAGATCCCACTCTACGGTAGATCGTACCTGTGATCTTCATTTTGTGCAAACATACATGACAATGAGAAACAGCAGCAAAACTCGCAAGCACTCCTCCACGACGGAAGAAGACGATGTTGCCTCGGTTGAGAGCGGCGGCGGCAGCAGTGTCTCTGGCGTCGACGACTCTTCCGGCAAACTGTCGAGTCAACCGACTACGATGAATGGGGAAAAGAGCGCTACTTCCGAGTCTTCTACACTTGCCAGGGCAGAGACTCTGGCGGTCAATCGGTCCAAGATGCTCGTCTTGCTGGTACTGACTCTGGCTGCCATTGGCGTCGGGATAGCAACGTACCTCTTTACCAAGCAGACAGAAACGCATGAGTTTGAAAGCAAGGTACGTACAGTGTACCATGTATGGCTATTATATGGGTGGAGGAGATCAGATGGATAGATAGACGGGCGTGAGTCCTGAAGGGGTCACTACTATCATCCCCTGCCTGGCTGCTGCTAGCTAGCTGTGTCTGAGCTCAAAGCTAAGGGACGGCTAGCTTGGCTGCTACACCTCTGAGCTCCAACCTATACGGTAGCTGGTGTGGCTTATGGAGGGTCTGCCGGGGTGGACCGTCCCACTAGTACCTGGCTGCCTGCATACGTGATGCTAGCTCCTGTACCTCTGTTTTGGTTTCCAACCTAACTTGGTTCTTCTTGTTCTCTTCCATTCTTCTTTCTGTGCTACTACTACCACATGTAGTTTCATGACTTTGCCATTGAAGTGGAGGAACTTGTTCACGATGAAGCCAGGGATGTCTTTCTCACTATTGAGAACCTAGCTACCATCATCACCTCGGAAGCCATTGCTACCAGGGCCAACTGGCCCATCTATTCCATACCGCACTTTGAGATCCGGGGTACAGAACTCAATGTATTGGCCAACTCACTCATGGTGGCCTTTTCGCCCTTGGTACAAGAGGCAGATCGGGAAAAGTGGGAGATCTTTGCCAACTACCGGCAAACATGGATTCAAGAGGGAGTGGACTTTAATGAAGAACTCCACAAGGACTATCGGTGGGAAATGGAACACTTGGAACCCATCCACCCGACCATTTACCGAACCAACTCGAGTGCTTTCTCCGCAGACCATGGAGCCTTTCATATGGATCCCAATGCCACCCGCATTCCAGATGACGGACCAGGCCCGTATCTTCCCGTCTGGCAACAAGCCCCGGCACCCCATGACCCGCATGTCATTCACTACAATCTCTTGCGTCACGAAGTCTTTAATCGAGTCTTTCACGGTATGAACGAGACATTGTCTCCCGTGCTCTCTGAAGCAACCGATCTCGAGTTCTTTTACGGTGGGTCCATTCGAGACGATGTCGATCATCCTCATAGCTTCCTCCTCCAACCCGTCTTTGAAGACTTTAACGAGACACACCGCCGCGATGCAAGTCACATTATGGGAGTTGCCATTGCCATTCTGCCCTGGGATCACTACTTTGAGAACATTTTGCCTTCGGAAGCACACGGAGTGATTATCGTCATGAAAGACACCTGTGGGGGCGAGTTCAGTTACCAGGTCAACGGGGCAGAAGCCATCTTTTTGGGCTATGGAGACTTTCATGATCCCGCCTACACCCATTTAGAAGAACAAGCACTCTTTGCTCCATTTCAACGACTCAACTTTTCCGAAGCCCACACGCACTGTGAATACGACCTGCACATTTACCCCTCTCTTGAACTGGAAGAAGATTATCGCACCAGCAAACCCATTGTTTATGCCTTCTTGGTAGTGGGTGTCTTTCTTGTCACTGCCATGGTGTTTGTCCTCTATGATTACCTTGTCCAGCTTCGCCAGAACAAGGTTTCCTTGGCTGCCAAAAAGAGTAAGTTAGACACCGCCAGCAAGTTGCTACATACATGATCATCAACTGCATCCGCTAACACCTGTATGCCTCTCCCGTTTGTGCTATTGCCAGGCCATGCTGTGGTGGCATCACTGTTCCCCAAGAATGTTCGCGACCGTATCATGGCAGATGTGGAAGAGCAGCTCTTGGAAAACGACGGAAAGCTCACCAAGTCCACCAAAGTGCGACTCGGAGCCATGCCCAAGAGCGAACTCAAGAACTTCCTTGACGATGGAGTTGCCAACGCAGACGGCGTCCCGTTTGACACCAAGCCCATTGCAGACCTCTTCCTTAGCACCACCATCAGTACGTGTTCCTTTCATTCCTTTTGGTTACTGGTTGTTCGTCGGGCTCATACTTGCCCTTTGTTCCATGTTTGAATCTAGTGTTTGGCGACATTGCCGGTAAGTGTCTACTTCGTGCCACTGCTCTAAGAGGAATTGGACAAATCTCATTATACATTGCTGTCCAACTGATACTGTCCATAGGCTTTACCGCTTGGAGCTCGGTCCGGGAGCCTTCTCAGGTCTTCACTTTGCTTGAAACTCTGTATCATGCGTTCGATGAGACTGCGAAGCGTCGGCGTGTATTTAAAGGTAAGGGGAAGCGACTACTTTGCATCTTGGGGTTGGAACCCTTCGGAATACTGACTCAGAACTCTCTCTCTCTATTTTCTTTTTTAGTGGAAACTATTGTAAGAACGATGCAGAACGAACTTGACACGCTACTCATACATCAGGCTGACACAATATTGATCAATCTTTCGGTTTTAGGGGGATTGCTACGTCGCAGTTGCGGGGCTGCCTGGTAAGTGCAGATTGATCGGCAGGATAAGTTTGCTCGTACTACATGCTCAACATGCTTTTCGCTGTTCATTTCCAATCCATTTCAGAACCTCGAAAGGATCACGCCGCGGTTATGGCACGTTTCGCGAGGGACTGCATTGGAGCCATGAACGATCTCACCAAGAAGCTTGAAGTGTCCCTCGGTCCGGACACAGGAGAGCTTTCCATGCGTGTGGGACTTCACAGGTACCGACAATCGAGAGTTCAGTCGCAGTGAAACCCGAGACTCGACTCGTCTTACGTGTGTTTGCTTGTCCTCCTTGATTCGTTCGCATTCACAGTGGTCCTGTTACGGCCGGCGTACTCCGCGGTGACAAGAGTCGATTCCAGGTACGCCTTATGAGGCTGATGCTGCATGATGTCCCATGCACGGAAGACTTTGTTTCTCACACAAAAGCGCTTATCTACTTATCAGTTGTTTGGTGATACAGGTATGCTGCCTTCAGTGAAGTGGCGATGTTTTGGAAGCTTGGACCAAAGCTTGCTAACTTTGTGCACTTGCTCCACTTTTAGTCAATACAGCAGCTAGAATGGAGTCTAATGGCGTCAACAATCGCATCCATGTTTCAAGAGAAACTGCCGATCTGTTGAAACTAGCCGGCAAAGGTCACTGGATTGTTCCCAGGAAAGATCTAATTGAGGCCAAGGTAAGATACCGGCTTTACTATAGTGATTCTGTGCGGGCAACGTCACTGATCAATCACCTTCTCCCGAATCTTATCAGGGCAAGGGCAAATTGCAAACCTTCTTCCTGGATATCAAGAAACAGTCATCAGGGTCCCATACAAGTGCCAGGAGCGCGAACAGCTCCGAGGAAGACGCTCTCGACATGCCGCATCTCGATCCAATGTGCGGACCTACCCCCGACACTGTTCCTCCCCATCTTAAGCGAAAGATCCAGTGGAACGCCGACATTTTGCTTCGTATGCTCAAGCAGATCGTTGCTCGCCGCAACGCCGAGAAGAAGTTCGGCGTTGACCACGCTCTCAAGAGACAATCTCTGCATGACAGCAGCAAAGGCCAGGCTGCGAGGATTGACGACTCGAGTAAGCGCCACCACACGGTGCTCGACGAGGTAGCAGAAATCATTGTTCTGCCCGATTTCAACGCAGAAGTGATTAAGAACGAAGATGATCCTCGCAAAATTGAACTTTCTGACGAGGTTGTAAGGCAGCTACAAGAGTATGTGACCGTCATCGCCAGTCTCTACCACCATGACAATCCATTCCACAATGTATGTTGCTCGATCGTCAGCTGTGAAGAAGGTATGGCCGCGCTAAAATCTCACCTTCTTACCTTCTTTGCCTTCTCCCCGCCTGCAGTTCGAGCACGCGAGTCACGGTAAGGGAATCCTCAGTGGACGTCGAATGTAGCAGTTCTATCCAGTTCCCCTCACGCCTTCCATGCCGTTGCTGTCCATCCACAGTGACAATGTCTGTAGTGAAACTACTGACACGTATTGTAGCACCAGAAGACGTCCTCAAAGAGGAGGACGACGACGTCGTCGACAAGCGATTGCATGAGTAAGTTCTGGGGTATTGCATTGTTTCAACTTTGCTCTCAGCCGCTCACCATCCTGCTTTGTTGCTCCAGTTATACATTCGGAATCACATCAGGTGAGTGCAGACACGGCATTGTGGATTTTCTCGGATCCCTGACCACGAAAAACTCACCACTATGACTCTTCTTCCTCGCTCAGATCCATTGACACAGTTTGCCTGTGCTTTCAGTGCATTGATCCATGACGTCGGTCAGTCTTCATTTCTTGTTATCCTCCTGACATCCCTTCACACCCCTGAATTGTTCATATTCTCACTTTGCATCGCTTTCTTTCCCTTGTTGCTCCAGATCATCAAGGTATGTCGTTTATGTTGAAATCTCATGCAAAGCATTCTACAGCTCGACATCCCATTGACCGCCATCTGCCTGTTACCCATTTGTAGGCGTACCCAACACACAATTGATCAAAGAGAAGTTTGACATTTCAGCGATTTACAGGGACCAAAGTGTAGCGGAACAGGTACGTCAACTCATGCGTCCAGCTCGAACCCTCCTGCTGAGAAAGCTCTTGTTGTCAAGAGTTGTTCACACAATAAGTACTCATGTTCTGAATCTGTTTTGAAGAACTCTGTGGACCTGGCCTGGGCTCTGCTTATGGAAGACAACTTCAAAGATTTACGCGATGTCATCTACGAAACGGAAGACGAACGTCAGCACTTCCGCCAGCTTGTGGTGAATGGTACGTTGTATTGTCCCGATTGGTGGTTGCTATCGATTCAGGACGAATACCTACTAACTCCTGCCTTTATTTGTCACTTTCCAGTTGTGCTCGCGACAGATATTTGTGATGCCGAACTCAAGGCACTACGCAATGGTCGCTGGGCCAAAGCTTTCAGCGGAGAAGAGCCTCAGACCGAATTGGAGGTTACCGCTGCCGTCAACAGAAAAGCCACCATCGTTTTGGAGCACATCATTCAAGCCTCGGATGTGGCCCATACAGTAAGTCGATAGATAGATAGGTGATGGATGCTGTTTCTCTTTGTTGCCCCGACAGGTTTGCCTCATTCATTTCTGCCACGTGATCATCTTTGCAGATGCAACATTGGCACATCTACCGCAAGTGGAACGAGGTACGACACGACTGTATGGTTGTCTTCATCTTTGCCAAGTCATTGGAGTGCGCTAATCCATTATTTATGCGTTTGCTGCTTTCTTCTTGTTACTCGCAGAACTTTTTCAGGGAGAACATGAAGGCGTACCGGTCTGGAAGAGCGGAGAAGGATCCCTCAACATACTGGTACCAGGGGGAACTTGGATTCTTTGACTATTACATCATACCTCTTGCTAAAAAGCTCAAGGAGTGCGGTGTCTTTGGTGTGTCCAGTGATGAGTACTTGAACTACGCCATGTCCAATAGGAGAGAGTGGGAGGCAAACGGCAAAGCAGTTGTAGCGGAAATGTCTGCCAAGTTTTTACCAGAGCTCATCGAAGAGGACGAGGAAGTGGAACAGTTTGAGGATGAATTAATATCGTCTGAAGACAACAATGACACTACCAACCACCTCCTCACGGAATCCAGCCTCAAACGCTCTATTCGCGCTTCACAGAATCGCAAACAAGATATTATTCCCACGACACCGTCTGGCAGGGTTTTGAAGATGGAAGAGTTCGAGGATGAGGGTACGTCGACAGAGCTGATTGCCCCTTTGAGCGCTCATGCCTTGTCGGCGTGATAGCCATTACACCGTGGTCACTCAAAGCTTCTATCCTGTTGTATTTTTGATTTGGTTAGAAGTGTAGTCGGGGAGCACGGAACGCCTCGTCCCTAGATATATATATATATTTTGCATGCTTTTGGTTTGTTCGTGGGGTGAGAATGGGACGGACTTGCGAATGGTGCTGCATCGGGTGCCACCAGTCTCTTGCTCCGCAACCTACGTTCAATCAATCATTTATTATGTTTAGCTTCATTTACATTGCAACATTAAGTGACGGCATCATAGCTACTGGTCCGCTTCTTCTCACTCGATGGTTCTCTCACGAGGATACGACAAGTGGATTCTAGTCTCGAGCTTGAGAGTCTCCCGCTGCATGGCTGGAGCACCGGCATACCGGTAGGACCCAGGACGTTCCGACCTTTGTTCCAATGCACAGACGGCAACTTGACAAGCCGAACCTGAAAGAATTTCATCAGGAAAGTCCCATGGCATGCTGGGAAAGGATCTGCAGGGCCCTCGACTTGACCGAGTGGCTCTCATCCTCCACACCAGAGATCAGCAATGTCGCAGGGCAGTTAATGGAACGATGGAACCATCATCTTCTATGCAGGTAAACATAGGACGACTGCCCAGCTCGCAGGAACTGAATGGAAAGGCCACGTCCCAACGGCAAAAAGGTTCCGATCGGAGCATTGCATTTTCCGCAACGAATCTCAATCGAATCTTCGGATTCATTCATTGACGTATGGTGGCCTGCACTTTCATAGATGCCCCCCACCTCAGTCCACTTTTTGGGATTTGCTCGGATTGGACAGTTCATCGATGAGAATGAAACATCTCTATTGGCTTCCGCCATCATCCAGCAACGTCGCATGCTGAAATGGTTGGGTCAAAGCGATGCATGTATGTAACTCCGACTAACTGTTGTTGTTGGTTCCGGAACGCTTCTTCTATATATCTTCCGTAAAATGATGTAGTCTTTCCAGACTTTGCTGCAGCCCACAAAACGGATTCTATTCATCATTGTATGCGCATAGATCTAGAATCATCCGAATCATTCACCTTCCAATCCGACCATGACCCACACCACCAACGCCGCTGCTGTCCCTGACGAAGAGTCTTACCTCTTGGGTGCATCAGGTACTGCCAATGCTGGTATGCCCACCTTTCAGAGCCCCAGATCTGTCATTCAAATTTCTGGCCCCTCCAGTGACGACAGCCATAATGGTAGCCACAACTACGAGTATCGGAGTGATCCCAGCTTTGCCATTGCCCGTCTTCGTCGCTTGGCGGACTTTTTAGGAGGTCTGGTAGTAGCTGCAGCTGCCTTTATGCTGCTTCAGCCAGCTAAGATCGGCCATGTGGCTACCACCAACACTGCACAATCAGCCCAACCCAATCCATTATTGAAGGAGCCGCAAGCCATGGCCTTTGATTTCTCTACGTATCCTCATTTGCTCCAAAGCGCTCATCACCACGACCATGCACAACATGCGCATGATCATAACACCATACCCTCTAAATACACAAAATTCCAAGCCCTGGGGTTCCAAATCTACACGGGAGGAGCACCGGCCGTCCTGTATAAAGACGACGACTTCAACGCTGGCAAGAAGCCCTATCACAACCCGGAATGCCGCGGACTCAACTCGTATGGCAAAGCGGATGACTTTGACGACGATGATTTGGAAAATGCCAACCTCACTTTGACCAAGGTGGATTTGTGGGAGTGCTATCTCGGGCGGACCAATCCCAAGGAGGATGTCCGACAACGCCTCCAGATCATGACGGATGCTGTCGCCAAGGCCGAAAAGGTGGCGGATAAAGATGAATCGACCCTGAAGATCTTTATTGCCCCCGAGTTTTTTTGGAGAGGCAAAGATGGTGCCTACTTCTTTTACAACGAATCCGCTCCCACCAAGTCTCAAGCAGAACATGACGAGTACTTTACCCAAGAGGAACTGGACGATGATTGTGCCGAAGTGTGTCTCATTTTGAAAGGTCTAGAAGCGCTCGTGGCACAACCCCAATACAAGGATTGGCTCTTCTTGTTTGGAACTGTCATTGTGTCGGAGGTCTTGCCCAAGGAGGATACCTATGACTACTTGTTCTACAACTTTGCACCTGTCTACAGAGGATACGACCCAGAGGAAACAGATCACTATGGCAAGCGCTTCCTGGTACCCAAGCGATATGTCAGCAACATTGACTTTCTCACACCGGTTCGAGAAGTTCATGACAATAGCACTCGTGAGATTCTTCCGTTGCTCAAAACGAGTAGCGGCAAGCTGCAAAAGGATTCTGCGATTGTCCAGGTCACGGAGGACGAAGGACCCAACCATGAAGAATCCACAGTGGTTCACAATCCCTTTGAGATGAAGCGTGACTTTTATGATCGAGACATGTGGTATGCCTACAAGGATGAGCTCAATGGTCTTGGCTACACCATGCTTGAGTATGACTGGTTGATCCTGGACAATATCACTTTCACCATTGAAGTTTGTCTGGACCATGAAATCCATACAGCCCTCAAAGCCTACATGGCCGATACTGTGCTAGGGTCTCCCACGTTGATCCCCAAGAATGTGGAAACCTATGACCACAAGTTGAAACGCAACACTGGATGGATTGAGTACGTGAATATTCCACGGCATCAGGCTCAATTGTCTCTGGTTTCTAGTGCTGGAATGTCTGTGAATCCTGCGTCCATGGCTTTGGCCAACAATGGTACCATTATCTTGCAGGATGGATTGAGCAGCAAGGAAGGTACCATGGTTTTCTCCAGCGAGTGCGAGCACTACAGCTGGCACTTTTCCGGTGGATCCGAACACATTTCGCGATCCGCAAAGTTGTCATCGACCGAGATTGTGTTTGAGTATTCGATTCATTCAGGACACCAGCAGGTTGGCATTTGGGATGACTTGGAAGACTTGTCCGACACCACGTGGAAGGGCGAGATCCAGGGCGTCTTTACGACGGAGCGGTACGAACCAAAGATCACGGTATACTCACCCAAAGACATTGCCCAGGTTTAGATGGATCGATTGGAAGGAGTGAAGCTTCATCACTACTTCGACAATCGAAGCCATGGCTACTCACCTACTAGACTTACGCTACTTTTAGACTAAAGCCTCTAGAATTGCATATTGAATACTTGATGTCTCTGCTAGAACATTTTCCTTGCCACAACAAGCAGTCTGCATCTGGCCAACCATGCTTGAAGGCCTACTGAGTATACATACATGTAGACAGGCACAGGCATAAATGCAATGTGCATGGAAACTATCATGTTATTGGCTCTATCTAGTTCAGATACATCTCAGCATATTTCAAGTCATTGGCAGCGACAACATCAAAGACACAAGCCGTTTGATCCTCCACTGTTGCACCAGCGCAAGCTTTCTCAGCCAGTTCCTTGGTGATGACAACCTCTCCCAAGCGGCGCTTCTTTGTGCTTTTGCTGGGCATATCACACTGCTGGGGGTGGTGCACTCCATCTCCCAAGCCGTTGAAAAGCATCGGCTCACTGATTTGGACCTGCCACTCCATTCCAAACTTGTTGTTGTCCTTCATCTCAGTAAGCCCATCTCGGGCAAGCATTTGTCCATCTGGAAAGCTCCCCAACAAACCCACAGCACCTTCAAAAGCCTTGCCACGTTTGTTACCAACATCAACAGCCATCCAGTCTCCAAAGGTGGTCAAAGAAAGGGAATCGCCATTCCCAAGATCCAAGCGAAAACGCTGCTTGGTGGCGCTGACTTTGCGGAAGGTGACAGGATGTCCCGCAAACGTAAATGACTGGCCACTCTCAATCTGTTTCCCAGCCATGCCATTGATCCAATAGCGCCCTCCATCTTTGCTACCTGAAACCTCAAGAATGTCCTTGCCAATGAGTACAGAGGTTGCCTCGATGTAGCTCCACCAGGTCTTGATTGCAGTGCGAATGTGAACGGTTAGGCCTTCTCCCTTTGAGTATCCAGGGGCATCCAGAAGCACCAGGGTACAACCTCCATGGAAATCAAAGTGTTGGCCTCCAAAGCGAGTGAAATGGGGATCACCCCGGCCACCAGGATTTGATTTGACTGCCACATCTTTTTGGAATTTTTCGGGCTGCTTTGGCTCTGGCTTGGCTGGTGCCTGGGGTTTGTTGGAAGTCACTTTGATTGGAGTGGTCACCTTGCCAGCGTCTCTGATTTTGATAACATCAAAGTCATCCATAGCACTCATAGAGCTTTGAACACTGAGGGTTGTTGGACCGTTTGAAGAAACGAAGAGGAAGTTTGAGTCCACTATTCTCCTTTTTCACATGGTCGCAATGTTCACTCACTCAGAGGACACCTACCTGCAATGTCTAGTGACCCCAGCCCCCTTTTCATTGGAAGCAAGGCACTGGTCATGGTGGAGCTGAATGTAATGTTGGGTCAAGTTGACACTGAAGTCTCTGAAATATGGTTTCACATTTTCGTTGCATTTCCTAGCCTTGAAATATGCCCATGAATTATGTTTATCATGATAGATGAAGCACCAGGCATCATCCTTGGCAGATCGGAGCTCTTGAGTTGTTGAGTTGTAAGTGAAGAATTGGTAGGCGTTGTCGTCATCACAAGGTTTGACATCAACGCCCGATGAATGCCATAGGCCAACTGGTGTGAGACACAGGTTTTCATTATGATTTGTAATCTGGAAGGCAATGTTGCCGTCATTGGCTTCTGCCATCGCACAATTGAGGTACGAGGCAGCTGCTAGGAAAGACACAGTAGAGATAAGCTTCATTGTAATAGTTTTTGTAGGTCAGATTTACGTTTTCCTGGTGGTTAGACAGAAAAGAAATGAAATATTTGGCTTGTGGCTCCTTCTGAGCTCTTTTTGTTGGTTGAAACTTGATTTTGTGAGTCATTGGAGGACGACGAGACTTGTCTTTTATTGGTTCGATTCGATTCGAAACTTGCTTAGTGAGCACTGTGGCTGGCTGCCAAGCAAGTGTCCGCTTGTGCTACATGCATGAAGCAGAAGCAGACAAGCTTGCATGTACGGGGAGAGCTACTAGTACAGGGAGTCGAGTGCGGCAACAACAAGCATGGTCAGCATGGTGGAGGCGGAAATCCAAACCCCCCTTATTCGTGAGATCGGAGGTGAACACGCAACGAGCCAGCACGCCGAGGAACAATTGATGAAAGATTCTCTTTTTTCAATTTTGCAAAATCCAATATTTGCACTTTTTTCTTTTTCCAACTCCACCCATGCGAAAGATCCATGAGAACCCAGACAATGGCATCATGTCCAGCCGTCCGTACCTCAAGGAACAACCCTGGATCCAAGAAGCGTTCGCGCTGACAATAAGCGCACGAGGACTATCGAGACCCCTTCAGAGGATTTTAGTGGGTTATCCCTGAGTAGCAAGATCATTCGAGACGAAAGCTCAGTGGGTACTCTCGAAACTCCGCTGCCTCCTCCCTGCCCTCACCTTGGAGCCCTCCATCCCAAGCAGCCCGATCCGACCCTCAAAGGTTGATCTGATCCATTTTGCTTCAGAGTCAGAAGCAGAAGAACCCTTTGATTTGGACACCCATGTACCGGTACGGTAGTGGGCTACTGGACGTGAAATCTCTGGCAAACGAAACTTTTGGCTTTTCAACTATCCATTTACTCTGTGCGCGACTTCCACATTGCCAAAAGCCCGACAAATCTTATGCTTTGAGTAAGTCTGAACCCCAAGGGCCTCAACGCAAGTGCCTTCCTCGCTCACTCGTTGACGGTCCATTTTGCCCCGCTGTCAGACCTTTGGAATCCACAGCCTCTTTGGAGCATGTCCTACCTCGACTAGAGGGCCAACTTAAGAGTCATTGCCAACGATTCGTCTTTGCCACAAAACAATGCCGTACAGTTGCTCCAGAAGCACACAAAGTTGTCACAGATCCAACCAGCTATGACGTAGAAAGCAACTCTCTGCCATGGCAACACTCTACTTGTCCAACAATTCGCCGGCAGGCAGCCTACAACAAGAACATGCGACACCGTTGGCTGCACGAATATTATTTACCAGAATGCTCATGGGGTCTGAAGGAAAATCTGTGTGATGGAAGATTGGAGAGTGGCTGACAAGCAAGAAGCGTTGAGCTTCCCTCTCGTTCTCCAATCTACATTCCGCCAGAAGTCTGCGTTCTGATTACTGACTAGTTTACCTGGTGTCTGCTTTGATCCAGGCGTTTGCAAGGGCTTGGCTTTGAATAATAATCAGCTCTCCCAGATCCCCACGGAAGTTGGTTTGCTCGTCCACCTTGGAGCTCTAGCATTGAGCGATAATCCTGGGCTGGCAGGCATTGTGCCCACTGGCCAAACCCTCGAAGTCGATTGCAAAAAGGCTTCGTCAGGGGTAGTTTCCTCGCTCACGATGGCTCCCATGGAAGCTGAAGTACGATTTCCTTGTCAGAATGGCACATCAGCCTTACACTAACGATATTATCAGTGATCGGATTAGCTGCCATCGAGTCCTCATATCCACCGGTGAAACCTCCAACTCCCTCAAGTCCTTCAAAGCATCAATTACTGCGGACACTCGAGGTGCAGAGTGATCTGTCAACGTCATCATGTCACCTTGCAATACGAGGAACTTCTCCTTGATCTGCGGCCACAGAGTAACTTCGAGGTCTGCATTTGTCACCAGTCGTTGGATGAGACCATCGAGGACCTCTACATTCTGGATCAGATCCGTGGAAGACGTGCTGGCAATGGTGCAGGCCCCAGTGGCGTTGACGCCTTCATTGCCTCGTGTTCCCTCCATTGAGTCTGAAGTAACTTGCGGAAAGCGAGCTTCCCAGAGAGGACGAATCAAATCCATTACGTTCTCTTTTCGAATGGGCTCTTTTGGCAGGAATCCGTGGCTTCGTCTCTTGTAGGTTTCCAAATCTACACTAGAGTCGTTTGCGGATCGAACCACAGCTAGGAGACGCTTCTCCTCCGCGGGTTCCAGCGACATCAACAAACGCTGAACGCAAAGGGAACCAGAGATATTTTGATGATTGATACCGCCATCAGTGAAGTCCAGGTTCTCATCAGCAATGACAAAGAATTTGCACTCTTGGTGCTCTTGCATCAGTTCCTTCACATGGCTATGAAATTTATGCACTTCTTCCACAGTTGCTCCTAAGATGACCTAATGGAAGAAGAAGAAGTCGCGGTGAGAATCGAATCATCAATGAAGCAGCAAAAGGGATCCACTGTTGTTTGAACTTTCTCACCTGACGTTCGGGCTGGATCCCAATAAGAGACAGAAAGCGCCCCAAGAGCTTTCTTTGCACTTTGCTATCATCCACCACAATGCCCCAAGTGTTTTGTGGAATGGCGAACGTAGAACAGTCTCCATCGCCAACCTTGACTTCCGCCACAGGTTTGGCAGGGATGGTCAGCCTGAAGATTGTCCTCTCTGGGTTGAACGTAATGGTAGTGTCACCACCCATGATGCGAGCGCATTTTCGCATGATCCAAGCTCCATCTCCAGAGGACACGGACGCCTCACGCACGTCGGTACCATCCCATGTTTTGTGAAGCTGGTGTCCCGGTTCAAAGACTCCCTTGGTAGCTTCTCCTCCCATGGTCATGAGGCGTTCGTGATGATTCCCTGGCTCATTAATGATTTCAATATTGAGCAGTCGAGTTTCTTCATTGTACTGGAGGATTGTTTGGACGACCCCATCACGCTTCCCATACTTGCAGGCGTTGGAGAGGGCGTTTCGATGAATGTATCGCAGGAGCTGTTTGTCCATGAAAAACAAAGGAAGCTTGGGAGGCACAACCTCGAGAGGGAACCTTCTGACTTCAGAGCGTGTCGTCCCAAGAATACCGGCAATGTCGACCGCTTCCTCTCTTGGCATGTACCTGAATTTTTAAAAGACGCCCAAAGGTTAGGATTGGAATGAATGAAAAAAGACAGTGAATGCAAACACAGCCACTGGTAGCCAGAACTTACGCTTCATGAATGACGTCTCGCGACATTGCCTCGGAGAGAACAGTGTCCAACACTTCATGGAGAGTGGATTCCAGTTCGGTGAGAGCAGGGTCTTGACAGTTGCTGCCATGTTTGGTCCCCGTCCCTCCAGAAGAACAAGAACCACAAGCTTTGGCCTTCAAGTTCTCCTTCATTGTATCACACAGATATATTCCCGCCAGCAGACCATTCTTGACCTCGTGACGAGTGAATCGGTTGGTTTGTGAATCCTTTTCTCGCTCGGTCGTCTCTACGGCGAGCTTCTTTTCTGCCTCAAAGCGACGAATGCGGTCCGAAATATCCCTCAAGACAAGAAGAGTGGATCCTCCTTCCATGTTGGTGGCAATGGCTTCGCAGTGAATGTTGTTTCCATCGGGACGTTGAAAGCTGTGTACTTGATGATGATGATTCGCCACGCCGCTTTCGTTGTTGGAATTGCTCAAAATCAAAGAACTAATGGATTCCACGTAACGCCACTTGTCCGGAGGAAGCAAGGTAACAGATCTGTTACTGGCCCACATGTCGCCTGCTTTGAGTTCTTCCAAGTTGACAATGTAGGCTCTTTGGGCAGGAAGCAAAGGACTCGTACTGGTACTTGTCTGTTCTTGTGGTGGTGTGCCGTGATGATGATGATGATCGTCGTCCTCATCCACCAGTTCAAACACCAACGCCATGCTTTGATTCTCATTCTCCAATCCCATAAATGCCAAAAAGGTCGGACTCGCGAGACAGATGCGATGATTGTTCTTGGTGCGCAAACTCAATACGAGCGCATCGGACGCCCGTTCCCAAAAGGCACTCATGACCCGTCGCAATTGATCCAAGACGCGTCGACTGCGAGATCCCGTACTGAACGACTGAAAGACGGATTCGACCACAAGAATGTGCAAATGCTTGGAGAGGACTTCACAAAAGGTTTCGGCAATCATGGGGAGCGCCAGTGGATCCATGTTGAAGTATTGTTTGGTGTCCATGAAATGAGGGAGAAATGCTGCCGCAAAGTGCAGCACGACCAAGAGTGTCCACACCACGGCGCATTCCACCAGTGATCGATGACTGAGACGGCAGCGCTCGTACGCTTCGCAGACACGTCCGGTTCGCAACAGCGGACGGGCCAGTTCTTCTTGTCGCAAGGCTTCGAGGCGCTGTTGCTTTTGCCAGACGCGGACAAACAACGAGGAGAACATGGCACAGGCAATGGCGACAATGGTCCACCAGAGTTTGGGATTGGACACAAAGGGAAACATAAAGCCAGCAGTGACAGCCACGCCTTGTACAATGGAATGAAGGAGACTCATGCGTCGATTGGCGGGCGTCGGGACATCAATTTCTTCCGACAAGAAGGTCAGGAGGAATCCCAAGGGGGCCCATTCGCACCATCGGACCAGGTAGACTCGCGTATGAGAAATGGGATCAATGAGGATGGGAGTGGGAAAGAATGCCATGAGTCCACAGGCCACCATGGCGATGAATTGGACGGTAAAGGCCGCGACCAAAAAGCCACTTTCGCCCATCTTGGTGAAACTGAGCTGTGCCGTGGTTCCATTCATGCCGCGATTGGCAAAGACACTGTCGGCGTAAAAGAGAGGTAAGAAGCGAGATACATTGCTCATGAGGAGCAGGCAAAAGGCCACCGTGCAGACCTGACTTTCCAAGCTGGACGCTCGTTCAAACACATGAGAAGGAGAAAACAAATAGACGGAAGTAGTCAAGACGGCCCAAATGCACATTGTGACCTTGGAGGCTTTGATCAAGCGTGCATTGGTAGAACCAAAGTCGGTCAAGCCTTCGTGATCCAACAGTTCCCACAAGCCCCCGAGTGCCTGATGGGCAAGACCTTCTGCGTCTCCCGCATTGCTTTTCCTGTTGTACCCGAGTGAAGGAGGTGTCCAGCCCGCGCTTTCTCCTTCGCGTTTATCCCTTGATTGGGATCCAGAAGGCGAGATCATCTCAGAGGCTTTAGAAGCCATGGCGACGTCAAACAAGTTATTGTAGTTACACATTCTTGGGTGAAGGATTTGTGAGGCGAGAACTGCTGGGCCACAGCCAGCTAGCCTACTACAGGTACGGTAGCTGGAAACCGACCTGAAGCCAAAGATCCGGGCAATGACTTCCCTCTGTTGAATAACGATGAAGTGGGATCTCTAAAGAAGAAGGACCACGTCACTGAGCAATTTGGCTGTGAGGGCATAAGGGCCGTACATGGGCGGTAGCCCCACGTGACTCTATCATCCTGCCTTCTTGAATGCCATTCGATCCATTAATTCTCTTAAGTCGAAACTGTGTATCAGGGCGATCCTACTAATGTACATAAGCTCTAATGTAGTAGACTACAGCACTACAGCAAGCCTGTCTTTCGCCAAATGCGTCAGATAGAGAACACTGTACGGTACCTGTCAAGGAGAGGTCATCACAATGAGACACACAGTAGACTAGCTCTCAGAATACAGGTACACGTAGGTGGAATGGTAGTACATGTACATGTACCAGTTCACACGGGATTCTTTTTTTTGTTGATTGCTTCCAAGCAACAAGCAACGGCCCTTTATAGACTGCCCTTCAAGAAAAAGACACACGTACTATTCGAGGTGACTTCAAGAGAATCTCCTTGCCAGCGATTTAACCAAACCAGAAATATGCCTTCTTTGCCAACTGCATGGTTCTTTAAAACAATTGATGACTATGGCCGTCACAGGCATTGAAATTCTTTTCAGCTATTGCTTGTTGAGCACTTACTTATTGTAAGCTGAATGTTTGTAGCTGGCTGTGCCGCGATGAGCTTCTGAAGATACTGTCGCTTTGAACTTGTTGCCTTGGCTAGCTAGATACCGGTACCACAATTCACAATTCACTTTAGCCTGGGTGTTGAAAATGGCCAGGGCCAAGATGCCCCGCTGGGTGCACTCGCTCGGAAGTGGAATTCGATGGGGGGAAATTACATTGGCTCAGGCTGTTGCATCTTCAGCCCACTCACAGGACAGGCACGGAGATCTAACAGACAGTCAACTCTGAGCTCTGAGTGTGTGGGAACGTCATACAGAGGCTTGTTGGGGGAAAACCTGGCAGTTTGTACCGTGCACTCTCAAGTCATTGGTTGCTCAAAGCATGCATCTAACCCCAGCCATGCGAGCTCAGTGGGAGCGAGCGAACTATCCTCGCAATGATGCCTGCATCATGTTGCTTTACCCCCGAGGACTAGCTGGTTTTGTCTCTCATATATAAGATGCGAAGGCAATCATGAGGTTTCCTACCGTAGTACAGGTTCGTATTCGTTTCGTGTGGGCAGGGGTTTGCTTGCTTGGGTGGTGGCGGTGCGGGTTCTGCTTTCTTGGTTTGCTTGGGTGGCGGTGCGGGTTCTGCTTTTAGATTGGCAAAAGCCTTTAGAGACTTGCATCCTCTTGAATCCTTGATTTCTCTGTAAGAGCTAACATTTCCTTGTCAAAAGAAACAGATTGCAGCCATGATCTGACCAGCCATGCTCTTAAAAGTTTCGCTCCTTGCCAAAACAAGAAGCAGATTGCATGTGGGCAGCCATGCACAACGCGGCCGCCAACTGAGTATACATGTAGACAGGAACAGCCGTAAATGCAATAGTACATGGAAACCCTCATGTTGTTGGATCCGTCTGCAGTACTAGTTAGTTCAAAAACATCTCAGCGGCGCATGGTGGTGCATTCCTGTTCCCAAACTGTGGAAGAAGAAGCAGCATTGGTTCACTGATTTGGACCTTCACTCCATTCCACTGGCCAAACTTGCTGGTGTCCCTCAGTGGGCCCATCTCGGGCAGGCATTGGTCCGCCTGGAAGCTCACAGCGCCGGTCATTTTTTAAGTTTGGAGGATCCCACGGGGCTTTGACGTCGTTCGGAAGGCGGAGGGTCGAGCGACATTAGGAAAATGGCCAGCAAAGCTGAAAAAGCGAAACGCGCCTCCGCAAAGCTTCTCATCTGCTCAATTTACTCCACCAACGTACTGTTCAGGGCAACCAAAGGCCCCGAGTATTGGAACTGGAAACCAGGAGCAGTCAGTGAATGTTCTATGCCAACGGCAATACGAAATTGTTTTGTCTTTGCTTGATCAGGATTAAGATTGGTAGACCAACCAGTATGCATTCTGCCGGTAATATTGTGGAAGTTTCCAACCTGCTGTGAAGAAACTGCATTTGTCAGAATCAGCTAACTGGATGGCGAGCCATTCGTTTACATGCTTCTTCGCCGACAGCAAAGTTGCTTGTTCGTAAGCCTAATTACCGGGCTATTGCTGCCTTGATACGCCTGATATCGGCGGAGTGTGAGGAGAACCAGTAGAGCGGTTCCAATCGTATTTTTCTTCTGACCCTTTGTTTTCAGTGCTCACTTCTTGTTTATCTTGGCTTACCCTCCAGTACACATGCCGTGCCACATGTCAAAACTATGTTCCGTCTCGCTCTCTCTCTGGTATCAGCCAAGAAACTTGTGACATCTATGGCGGAAAGTGATGCGTGCCCAGGATTCACGCCCCCTGAAGATGTGCTTGGAAAGATACCCAAAGTCTGCTCAAGCCAAGAACGGCACAACAACGACAACCCAACATACATCTCCTACTTGCAAGGATGCACCAAATATCACCGACCTGTTCGATGGCTACCGATGTGGTAAGACCAGCTTTTCTGACTTGGAGACATGGTTTCATTCTATCCTTTTGTCATCGCCTTACTAGTTACTCAGTGGCTAGCCAACTGGCAGTTGCCGTTTTTTAGCCGTGAGTTCTTCGGCTTTGAGCCAACATTCCCCATCGATTGCAATGAGATTGAAGAGTACAAGAACTCCCAGGAACACTCACGATAAAGTCATTTCAAAGACATAAAGCCTGGATCAGCTCTAAATCATATAGCCTAAATGACAAAGGAAAGTTTCAGACAAAATGCCGACATTGTGCCGACATTTCCGACATTTTCCGACAAATGCAGACATTCTCGTACAAACGCCGACATTCTCGTACATTTGCCGACATTTTGCCGACATTTTGCCGACATTCACGATTAGAGCGGTTAACCCCTCGTTAAATACAACGGAAGAAACTCGCTGAATGAGTCTTATATCTTTTTACTATGAACACCATTGTAAGAAGTGGCGAAAGAACTCTGACTCGGAATGCCCCAAGACTGAAAGTCTTTCATTCGGAATGATTTAAAGCTAATCGTGAATGTCGGCATTTTGTCTGGAAACCTTCCGACATTTCGCAGACATTTTCCGACAAACGCCGACATTCTCGTACAAACGCCGACATTTTCCGACATCCAGTTCAGAATTCCTACATTCTCCGACATTCACGATTAAGAAGTCTTAGGCTATATGACTTAGAGGTTGGAAGACGGTCATTTAGACTGAGAAAGTCTTTTATCGTGAGTGTTCCAGGGTCTTTCCTTCATGCACGATGTGTTTGAGACAACGGCACCAGTTTCTAAACCCGGCGCCGCTGGTCGATGGCGGCAGTGAAGGCACATCGGAATTAATCATTGACGACCGGTACAAAAAGTGCAAAGAACAGATTGATCATTCAATCGTGGATAATGCACGAGTGCAAGATCCGATTCTGGTATCGGTACTGTACCGTCCCTCTACCCTCTGGGTACCGGTACCTCGTACTATACATGTACCGGTACACCAATACCGGAGCGGGTAGCGAGATACCGGCCTTCCCACCACCACCCCAATGAGCTGCATTACAATAGCATTATTCGTGGCTGGCTGGTCCGGGCAGCAAGCGGAAGATCTGCCTGAGACTCGATCCTCTTCAATAGCTACTAGCTAGTCCAGTACTGCTGTAGTGGAGTTTCGCTCGAGCTCGAGCAAGCGAAGGAATTCAGCACTGTGCAAATGGGAACCATGGACAAATAGTAATGGGAAAGGAAGAGGCCCCAACCGCAATTAAAAAAACAAAAAAAAATTGTGGGGAGAGGCCAGTCTAAACAGATGGACCAGCCAGTTCGGATTTTTCTTCAAAAGCATGCTGGAGCCTGCTGGCTGTTTGGCTGTTTGGACCCCTGCAAGAACCAGCCATGGCCAGACAGCTGCCCTCTGCCTGTTTGTTCCAGCAGCCTTGAAAACGCCCCGCCTGCAGACCGCAGATGTATTGTACGTACTATGGTAATCAGTTGCACCCTTTGCTTTGGGAGGGACAATGGGAACCCACGGAGGAAACTGGCCCAAACGAGGCACGTAGATCTATCATCTACATGTATTGATCTTTTTCATGTTTGCAGCGTGACTTGGTGGTGCTCAAGTGCTCAATGCCACAAAGAGGCACACGCAAATAACAAGAATGTGACAGCTGGTGCTGGCAATTTGGTATGACTGGTTCCGCTTAACTCCTGACTTGGTTGCAGAGCCGCATTTTGATGTTCTTCACAAAGATAAACATGGCTACTCGGAATGGCTGTGCTGGCTGGTACCAGTGCTCTATCACACATACCGTTACTCAATCAATGATGCGTGGAGTTGTCCTTGCGCTCTTCTAAAAAAGGAAAATGGAATCCTGACTTCCCGGATGTTCCCGAATGCCCCCAATTATTATTATTTGGGGAATTTGACAAGGTTTGATAAAAAGTGTGAATGCTTCGATGCTTCTCTCTCCCCGAGTTCTTGTGCTGCTAGATCTACATGTACCAGGGAGCCGAAGCAAAAAGAGAAAAGAGAGCTTCCCCTCTCTCCGTTGAAGCTGTGCATCGGGTCTTCAGTAGATGTGGAACGGTAAAGGGACCCTTAAAGCCCGTCACGAACTCGGGCAATTTGGAAAAGAAGGGAAGGTCACGATTTCAATGGCGAGACTTCTCATTCGGTTTTTTCCGCTTTGTCAGGGTAATAACGACATATGACGCGCAAGAAGGTTCAAGGAAGTAACATCTGGCCTACTCTTGAGTATCTATTGAAAGGTCCCTTATATGGAGGAGATGTTCGAGATGTTAAGAATACAACTATGTCATGCTTCTCTGCGCTTGAAGGCTTGTCGAAACTAACGATCTCTCTTTTAAGAGGCCTGCTGCCCTTTTCGTGCCACCTCATTCCTACGTGTTCCCGTTCTTCCCCGGGCCTTCAACAACAAGTGTTTCTAAGATTAGTTTTCAAGAGCCTTCGAAGCCAACCATTAAACTCAAGATTGTTTCCTTTAACTATCGGCTTGATCCTGAAGGTAACTTTGTATTTATGCTCGGGCAGTAATGGTTAAATAAGAGGCCTTGGGACTCCTTGAGATCCTGTTTCAAGTAGTCAAAAAGAAGCACGATCACTCACGGTAAAGTAATTTTGTCCGTCAGGAGCAGTTTTGGGAACGCCACGGCAACTTGCTACAATGCAACTTCACCAATCCGCGACCCAGCAGGGAAGGAGCCCAGCAACAACAAACCAGTGGCCCACCTCCCAGGTTCACACACAATTTTCATCCCATAAAATCAAAACAGCAAAACACAGCAACATGACTGCGCAACTCATCCTCAACGACTCTTCCTCCTCTACTGTGAGGCTCTCTGCCGACACTACTACTGTTAGCAAGGGCTGCATGAGTAGTAGTACTAGTAACAGCCGTCCCCGCCGCCGCCGTCGCGTTGGCTTTAGCACTCTTGACATTTACGAATTCGAACAAGTCTTGGGCGATCATCCCGGTGTTTCCAGCGGCGCTCCACTCGCTCTAGCTCCGTCTCACTGCCGCCACCATGCCAACATTGACATTGCCTTCTTTGAATACCGCCGCAAGCCTCGCAAGACCAACAAGCGAGAACTAATTGAAAGCAAAGAAACACGCGAAGAATACTTGCAGCGCATCGGATTCACACAAGAACAAATTCAACAAGCGGCCAACGAAGCCGCACGCATTCGCCGCAAGCGTTGCAAAGCACAACCCGTTCCCGATTCACTTCACATTGTCTGGGAATCCATTACCAAAAACACGTCGTTCCACCGAAACAATGGAGAATCCGCCTCTAAACTATTGCAACGCCATCAAGAAGCTTGCCGCGCTGCATAAGCAACAGAATAGAATAGAAAAATGTACATACTACTCTAATGAACATACAGTTTTGAAACTACACCTATATTTCTCTCTATCTTTATACCAAGTAGCTATCATTCCTTACCTTTAGAAAGAGCTAAGAGGCTACCGGTAGCGGTACCAGTAGCGGTGCCGAGCAAGTGGTTCCCAGTTACCAAGCTTCAAAAACTGCACGGAGAGAGAGAAATCTCTCTCAACTTGGGCTGGCTTACCGAACGGTATGTTCGAAGCACCACCGACGCAAGTGACCAGGAAGCACAGGAGAGATGAAGTTGGAAGGCTTCACCTGAGAGGTGCTTTAGCTGTCTGGTACAGGGCATTGCTAATGGTACAGTTTGATGCATGCACCTTCATGGTCAGTCATGCTCAAGCATCCAGTCAGCGATCACACGGCCAGTGACGAAAAAGGCGCGCTAAAGCTAGCTAGCTGCTGTACCTTGTTTGTGGTGCTGACTCGACTCGTGAAACGCTCAACTTATGATATCATTCAGCAGTACGTACTAATTCAATCTATGTTGCGTGCATAAGGGGCAGTCTCGTTTGCCAAATCTCTTTCGTGTACACATACATGTATGGAAACATCAAAACTATCAGGTCTCGTTACCATTTCGTTGGCTCCCCATTTCTTCTTGTCTTTACTCTTCTTGGGGTAAAGCAAGTTAGTGGCTGCCTACTAGACCGTGTAGGAAGATGCCATGTCCCTGTCATTGGTGGCAAGCACATCAAAGATACAAGCTTCACGCTCCTTCGGGGCACGGACATGGGCACAAGCTGCCTTGGCATCGGTCGTGTCCAGGGCTCCTTCTCGCAAGCGACGAGAGGCAGCGACATTCTTGGGCATTTCGCACTCTTCGGGATGTTGGACGACACCCTCCGTGGCGTGAAAGAGTTTGGACTCGGATGCCAGTACCTGCCATTCCTGGCCAAAGGCATTGGTATCATCATCAAACAACGTCTCGCCGTCACGACCAACCTTGGTGCCGGTGGGATAGGATCCCATCAATCCCACGGATCCGGCAAAGTGGGGGCCGTTAGCGCTGCTATGGATATTGACACGGACAAAGTCATTGTACGTCTCCAAGGCAACGGCCACACCAGGAGCAAAGTTTGTCACACGAAAGAGGTTTTGTTTCTTGCTGACGGCCCGAAAATGAATGGGGAAACCACCCAATGTGGACTCCAAGGGACCTGTTTCTGTTACAGTGCCAGCTGTGCCGTTGATCCAATATTGAAACCTGTCTTGTCCTCCTTTCACTTCAAACTGCGATGGATCATGCATGACGTCGTGAGGAAAAACCAACGACGTGAATAAGACACACGGGTCCAACAGACGGGTTGGCTCAATTGCTGCCCACCCACGCAAAGCAAACTTACGGTCTCATCTCCAAGACGGATGACTGCGCTTTCAATGTAACTCCACCAAGTCTTGATCCTTTAGAAGTTCGGTGTTTGGTATTATGGTTAGTTGCAAGGCGAGGGTAGCTGTCGACCATCTCTCCTCAAGATTCATTGCGAATTCAATCAAATACCATTCTCACCTTGTACGGATGTGGATCTCCAAACCAAGTCCATCAAGAAAGTTAGGGGCGTTGACCAACACTAAATCACAGCCTCCGTGGAACTGGATACGGACGAAGAGAGCACGAGCGAATCAATCAGGAACGTCAGAATGAGCTTTCGAAAAGCACAAAAGGGATTGCAGCTCAAAGAGTCCAAAACAGAATGCAAGCAAAGTGCAGCTTACATCGAATTGTTCACCGGCCCAAGTTCTGATATGCGGGTCGCCGAAGCTGCCTCCCCACGTTGGTTGCGCTGGTGTGGGGGCAGGGGCTGGTGTGGTTGCGCCGGGTACTGTTGGTGAAGTGGTCGGAAAAGATGTCGTAGGCGATGGAGTATTGCCACAGTTCTCAATCGCAAAATGAATGAGGCAGTGGGAAGTCGCATCAAGTGCAGCACAAACTCCACCTTGATTACCATTTCCTCCACACACGGCGTTATCCATGTCTGCAGCCGCAGCAGTTCGTCCGTCATGGGTGTTGATAGAAACCGTTTCTGTGTCCGTGGGCACATTGACAGTCAAAACATCTCCAGCGGCAATATCTTCACACTTTTGCGTTCCTTCCTCGGGCGTACAAGGCCCAACCACATTGCAGTTGCCTTCGCCGCCATCGTATCCAACGCAGCACATCCAACGGAGGCTGTCACCTGGGTCGTCTTTGCAGTGACCAAATGTAACGTCCATAGTACCATCACCTTTGTCTGTGGTTCCAGTGCAGGAGAAGCAAGTGCAGTCATGACATTCAATGTCTAAGTTGCCCGACAGATCCCGCCTCGATATATCTGAAAGCTTGTCGGGGTAGTTGATTCGTGCGTTCACGATGGAGATGAGAGCCATCATGACGACGGCTTTGAAAGCGGATGAGAACGTCATTGTGGAGTAAATCAATCAGAAAACAAAGTGCGTGACCTCTGCAAAACACGGAAGAGAAGTGTGAGTGTACAATCCCTTGAGCACAGCGTTGGCTTTCAAGAAAGGTTGTCAACGGAACCACTAGCAACCGGTACCTGAATGAGGAGAGGCGAAACGCAAATACTACTAGCAAGCAAGAGACGAGATGCACCACTTTCAGTGACTGACTGATGATTAACTTTGAGTGAATTGTGAGTGTGTTGGGTTTTCGAAAAGCTCAAGGCGCCGTGAGCTTCGGAAAGCTCGCAAGAGTAATATCTTTTAAATCTGAGCTGTGACCCATTGCTGCGGGATTTAGCAGTAACAACTGTATATGAGCATTTTCGCCAAAATTTGAGCGAAGCAAAATCACAGATTTTTCCTGCAATAGGCCGAGATCTTTTCGTCAACTACAATGTCCAACTTGGATACCCAAAAGCAAGGAGAGATTTTCAAGCTGGATAGCCCCAAGTTCCCTACTGGAGCATCGATAGGCCAGCCTGGATATCAGAATGACCAAACCCAGATATCGCTAGCCCAAGGGTTCAGCCAGCGAGCGATAAGAAAGATACAGGGGCGCCACAGACGTCTCGGACAGACCAAGGAATAGCAAAAGAAGAACGATGCGCCTGACCTCGACTTCTTTTGGCTCCATGTCCCATGACGGACTGAGTGGATTCGAATCATCCAGGCCTCTTCTGCGCTGGACTGCGGCGGAGTGCATCGGATATATGGCTGGATAGGTCGGAGGTACTGCGGTACCGGTACCGGTGCGGTGGAAACCATGGCAGAGAAGAAGCAAACAACCTTCACGGAATCTTTCATCTCGATTGCTTTCCATGCATCTTGCCTGAGGCAGGGTGGACACCGTTCTGTGGCAATGCTCCTTCTGGACTTCATCGTTTGCTTCGGAGTTATTGTTTGGTTCCGAGCAAGCAACGCGCTCACATCCTTGCACTGATTGGCTCCGCAAGAAGTACATCGCAGCCATGGCTGCGAAACGAGGAATCTTGAGCTAGCTACAATTTGTCCAGAAGAAGTACTATTTCTGGACTCTCGGCTGATCAGCTTGCATACTACGGCTTGTTCCAACTAGCTAGACTACACACCTAGTCCAACCAAAGAAAGAAAAAGGCACTGCTTTTTGCCTCCTATCTCGCAGGTTTTGAACCTAATTACAGCTTCACTGGTTTACTTCCTGGTAGTAGAAAGATCTGCTGCGGGCGGGGTCTGGTCTGCTGTTTTCCCCAAGCCGAACAACCGGTGAAGTGAGCAGAGCAGCATCAAAACCAAAGAAGGAGAGGGTGGCAAGGGAAGGGTGCAGGGAGGATCAAAGGAGTAAGACTAGCTAGCTTGCGGAAGAGATCAAGGGCCATGGGCACCTCCATCATCCCAACGCTTGGAGACCTTGAGAGCTGGGACACGATAGCATCGCAAACACATACATGATGGCTGCACGAGAGACAGGTACAGAGAGCAATGAAGAGGTAGGTGTGTGATGGAGCTGTGATGTGTCACTCAACACTCAACAGCGGTGCTGACCACTATGATAATAAGTAGGATGCATACCGGTACGTACTCACAGCTACAGGTACGACTCCGATCCCACTTGCCGCGTGCCCCAGGAAGACAGGTTTAGAATGGTAGTTGCGGTAAATATAGAGTTAAAGTTACGTTTTACTCTAAATTTTTGCAATAAAACTATTATTTACCGCAACTACCTTAACTCCAAAGTGGTCTTCCAGCCAATCACAGCAGCTCGGAGAATTATTGTTGTAAAAACTAAATTACTAGCTAGCTAGCAGGAGCTAACGAAGAACGTTATCCTTCAGACGAGACCAATTTTACCGTGTTAAACTCAGTGAATTAGACCAAAAGTTTCCACAGAAATTGGATGTTTTGCATTGATCACCAGGGCGTGGTACTCTCACACTGTTTTAGCATGTGAGTATGGGTACTGAGTAGTACTCACAATTCCAAAGTCAAGTGAGTATAGGTACTGGGTAATACTCACAATTCCCAGGGTCAAGTGAGTACGGGTATCATGTGAGTACAGGTACTTTGTGGGTACTATAGAGTACTCACTGAGTACTCATAAATCAATTACTTAGGGAAATTATCTAGGTTTTTCTAGTTCTGGGCTGGGGGCTCATCAATCTTGTTGTAAAGGTCCACCATGGCATCAATATCACTGTCATAATCCTCCTCTTCACATCTGCTGGCAGTTAGCTTGAGGAGATCCTTGGTCCTATTCTTAGCCCATTCCTTTCTTGCATCATTGATGCATTGCTTGTAGTTCTGGATGAATGCACTGTTCTTGTAGCAAAGAAGGCGCATTTGGAATGTCATGTCAACCTTCTGTCCATTGCTGAGTTTTCCATCAAACCATGTACAAGAACTGAAAACTCTTTCTTGGAAGCCGTAATACTCACCGAGTACTCACCGAGTACTCACTGGTACTCACTTCGAAGTACTCACCGAAGTACTCACCGAAGACTCAAAAAGTACTCAAAATCCGGAGTCATGTGAGTACGGGTACTGAGTAATACTCACATTTTCTGAGGTCATGTGAGTATGGGTACTGAGTATACTCAGTACTCAGTACCCGTACTCACATCGAGTACACGCAGCGTGTATTTCATGTGAGTCCCACACCCTGTTGATCACCGTGGTTGGTTTGGAAATATTGTACAGTACTCCTCCACTTACTTGACCGTCAGATCTCTATGGATTATCCGTTCACTTTTCACCCTGGACACTGATAATTCCTACTTTGTCAATCTGGGGTTCTCAGAGCCGTTCTCAATGACTGCTGGGATATTAGAGTTCCAGTGACTTTTAGTTAGTGCCAGTCAGTGGCCAAACAACATCAATCGATGGATGGTACGGTATTGGTCCTGTCCTCACTCTTTGCCACCCATCAACAGTCAACAGTAGTCAGTCAAAGCTTCAAAAGGGGTTTTAGAGTAGACCAGGTACGACAGCTACCGTACTACGTGGCTAGCTAGTAGCCCAGAGTCACCTGACCATTCCCTGCTTCGTCCACCATAGGTAGCATCATAATTTTCCCAGTTACTCCCGCTTTTGAACATTCCACTTGTGAACATTCCATTACAGTAGTACGGTAGTATCTATCTATCCACCATGATGTTTGAAACAGTTCCCGAAGAATCGAGCGGTTGTGGGCTCGACGATGATGATGATAGTAGTAAATGTTCTTCCCTGAGTGATCTGAACGATGATGATGATGATGTCAAGCCCAACAACAATAAGAGGCCCAGTATCCTGTCTTATGCTAATGCAGAAGACACCCACAATGCCTCGTTTAGTAGTCGTGGCACCATTGGGCAAGCAGGTGATGCACAGGTTTCCAATGGCCGCAACAGGGTCTTGGCATCCATTGTCATCACAGCGGTCGTCCTCACCATTGCTACCAGTGTGGCTCTGGCCAAGACGACGGCACAAGGAGCGGTAAGTTATCTAGTAGGTCATGCATGCATCAAATGGAGGAGGAGGAGGAGGACTGGTTCACTGGTCATGTCCTTGTGTGCGATTGAATAGCTCATGATGTTCCATGCATTCTCCTCTTCCTTCCTTCCTTCCTATCCACCTGGATCTTGCTTGACATACATACATGTAGCTACCCTCCATCTTTGCCTTGTTGATCATCCTTGCCTTTGTAAACGTGGGATACCTCTTTTACGTCTACGACAAGCAAGTTCAACGGCGTCTCTCGTCTCATCAGGCTGCTCGCAAGGAAACCGCTGCGCTGACGAAACAACAACAAGGCACCGCTGCTCCTCCTCCTGTGTACTATGATATGTGCAATGACGGTGACAGCATTAATAAGGGAGCAACAACAACAACAACAAGAACAACCACCAATGTCATTCAACACAGTGTCAATAGTCTATTGAAACCCTTCCGCGGTGGCGGCGGCAAGTCTAGCAGTCAGACCTTTAGTAGTACTGGTGATGGCACAACCAGCGATCAGCATCAGCTGAGTCATGACCATGGTATGGCATCCACCGAGAGTCTCGACAAGTTTCTAGGAGCAGTCCAACGTCAACCAAGCTTTCTCATGGGAGACAATTCGGCACGAAGCAGCGGTAGCGGTGCTGGGACAAAACCCACAACGCTGTCGCTGCATCAGCAAACCAAGTCCGTGGCCGAGTTCTTTCCAGAAACAACCGTCTTGTTTGCCGATGTCCAAGGGTTTACGGCTTGGTACGCAGCTACGTGAAGCAATTGACGGCTATGGCTGTTGCTGCATGGCACAATGCATGTTCAGTCCCTCAATCCATCTATCTATCTATTCTTTCTATCTTCCCACAATAATAAACGCACAGGTCTTCTGTCCGAGAACCATCTCAAGTCTTTACTCTCCTGGAAAGTTTGTTTCATGCCTTTGATGGGTAAGTGCATACATACAGCTTCCGTACGGTACAGCGCCGGGGCCAAATGGTGTTCCTGCATGCATCTGACTGACTTTTTGTTCTCTTTCTTGTGCTGCCTACCTCAAAACTAGAATCGCGCAAAGACGCAATGTTTTCAAGGGTGAGTTGACCCCCAGCTCCCTTCTTTCCAGCTAGTACCCATATCTCATCTTCATGTTCGTTTCCTTCCGACTTTACAACAGTGGAGACCGTTGGGTAAGTGGCTTCTTGAGAGTTTTCTCTTGGGTAGACCATTCGACGCACCTCCCTCAAACCACAAGACCCTCAACTTTTATACACCTGATCGTCTTCATTTATTTGATCCACAGAGATTGCTACGTAGCTGTCACGGGTAAGTCTCGAACAATGCAGACAGCCCTAAAAGATGCTTGCTTGCACACAAGAATGACAACTGATTGATGTCTTCCATTCTTTGCCTTTGGCCAGGTATACCGCAACCTCGCAAAGATCACGGTAAGTTTCTTGCAAGCTCTGCATGGCCAAGGCAACTCTACGGCGGTGTATTGTTTGGATGCATTCTTGAGTGATTGCCTAAAACCCGAAGAGTCGCTCACCCTTGCTTGCTTGGTACTTTCATCAGCTGTCATCATGTGCCGTTTTGCACACGACTGTCTCCACAAAATGGGCATTGTCTGCCGCAAGCTAGAGAAGCAGCTGGGGCCCGAAACTGGTGATTTAGGCTTGAGAATTGGTACGTTGACTTGACAAGTTGGTAAAGGGTTGCCGGATGAATCGAATCAAACACTAACCTCACTGTCTGCCTTTGTTTTGCCGCAGGTCTGCATTCTGGTGCCGTCACCGGTGGTAAGTAGCGGCGGCTGATGCTGGAACTGCTCTTACCTTTCAAGGGGGGTTAGGCGGGATCAACAAATCTCAGTTTCATCGTGCTCACAGTCTCTTTTCTGATGATGTGACCCCAGGCGTCCTGCGAGGCAAACGCAGCAGGTTTCAGTTGTTCGGTGATACTGGTGAGAGCTTTCGGTTCTAGCCTCCTTTGTCTTTACTCGTCGGTGTCTCGTTTCATATCACGATGGTTCGCCTCACAGCTTACTTGTGAAATCCCTTCTCTCGTTTGATAGTGAACACGGCAGCTCGCATCGAAAGCACTGGAATGGGAAACAAGATCCACCTGTCGGAGACCACAGCAGAATTGGTGAAGAGAGCAGGGAAATCTCATTGGGTAACCCAAAGGGAAGACAAAATTGAAGCCAAAGGACTCGGAGTTCTTCAGACATACTTCCTCCAAGTTCAATCGACGGAGAACGATGTTGAGATTGATTTGCGCAGCGACGATGACGACGAAGACGACTCGCAAGTTCAAGAAGATATGAATGCAACAATGAACACTGAAAGCCCAGACAACAGCAGCAGCAACGGCACCGCAGCAGCAACACACAACGCTGCTAGTTCCATTTCCGCTTCCAAAGCGTTGGGCACCCAGACATCATCTGCCAAGGTTGAACGCTTGGTGGATTGGAATGTTGATCTTCTGGCCAGACTGCTGAAGCACGTAGTGGCTAGGAGACTGGTGCTGGTCGCCTCGGACCCTCAGAGAAAGGAGGACGCCGACGAATCTGTTTTCATGACACGTGCTGGGACCCTTTTGGAGGAAGTGAAAGAGACGATTGAATTGCCTCATGACCGAACCATGGTTGCGGAACAGGCCAAGTACGTCGAACTAGAACCAGCTGTACACGAACAACTCAAGGACTACGTCCGTTCTGTTGCCAATATGTATCCGAATCATGGGTTCCACAACTTTGGTAAGTCAGATCAAACTCCACAAGTACTTTGCTTTTCTGAAAATTGGCTGACCCCTTTTGATCTGCCCCCTTTCTTGCGTGTTCTCTAGAGCATGCCAGTCACGGTAAGGGGACCACAGCTCTTTTTGATAGTTTGATTCACAGATCAGGTGTCTCATTTCGTACCTTTTCCTTCCTCTGCTGCTCTTTGAACAAAGTGACGATGTCTGTCGCGAAGCTCCTATCTCGCATCGTCGCACCCAGCGCCCACGAGTTCAATGCCTCATCAGAGGCAGAAGGGAACACTCTTCACGAGTAAGCCATTCCAGTGTAGCTCGGGGCAATCACCGTTTCGTTCTTTGCTTGCTCATCTCACTCGATGCTTGGCTCTTTGTTCCAAAGCCATACTTACGGGATCACGTCCGATCCACTTACACAGGTGCGTGCAGGAATATTTTGTGTCATGCCCATCATGATGACTGCATGCCGCTGACATTGTTATTCCTGCTTCTCCCAGTTTACGTGTGTCCTTTCGGCATTGATTCATGATGCGTGAGTGTCCCTATCCTTCTTGTTGGAAATGTAATGACTGCACTTGCTAACCTTCGTGAGTCGCCTTCTTTACATGACATTCTCTGTTTCGACGTACCAGCGATCACCCTGGAGTGCCAAACTCTCAGCTTGTGGAAGAGAAAACAGTGGAAGCTGAACTTTACAAGGGAAAGAGTGTAGCAGAATCGAACTCTGTCGACAAATGCTGGAGTCTGTTAATGGAGACACGATACAGCGATTTGCGAAAGACAATCTACACTACCGCAGAAGGGCTTGCGAGGTAAAGGCACCAAGGCGAGATTTTGCCCGTGGATGATTCATTTCCATCTCACTCCAACGATATCATTCATTTTCTTTTAGGTTCCGAAGCCTACTAGTCAATGTAAGTCTGCAGTACGACCAATTTAAAACCTTTTCCACAGGACCAGCTCTGACAACATGTTATGTTGCGGAAATGATTGAAGTCGGTTATGGCCACCGATATCTGTGACCCAGATCTCAAAGGGCTAAGGAATGGACGCTGGGACAGGGCCTTTGACAAAGACGGAAAATCACCGGAGCAGAGTGCCAAGGCCGCGAATGACCGCAAGGCTACCATTGTCGTAAGTCCACTTGATGATTGAACTTTTCCATTTCCGATGGCGGGCACAAGTTCACAGCGGTTCTCACAGGCATCTTTTTTTTGCAGATTGAGCATCTCATTCAAGCATCGGATGTGTCGCATACGGTAAGTCAACTTGCTGTTGCTTGTATGATCGTTCGGGGAGAACCGTTTGACTCACTGACTGTGTGACTGCTGTTTCTGGTCTCCAACGCAGATGCAACATTGGCATGTCTACAGGTGAGCAAAATAGAGTTTCTGCTGTTTCCGCGTTCCTGTTGTTCTATGATGGGCTCATCCTCGTTGCGTTGTTTTTCTACAGGAAATGGAACGAGCGACTATTCAGAGAGTGCTATAAGGCATACAGGGAAGGGCGAGCTCAGGATCCTTCCACAAGTTGGTACGAAGGGGAGAAAGGGTTCTTTGACTTCTACATAATCCCCCTTGCTAAAAAGCTGAAAGAATGCGGCGTTTTTGGTGTATCGAGCTCGGAATATCTTGACTACGCTTTGAACAATAGGCGTGAATGGGAATTAAGAGGTCAAGACGTTGTCCGCGATATGGTCGCCAACGTGATAATGATTGAACGGCAGATGGGCAATCAGCAGGCTCAGGACTAGAGCCACAGGGAAAGAGCCAGGCATCACAACTTTCTTGCTGTCACAACACGCTGGACAGGATGGAGTAGCTACTAGCAAGACTCCATAATTCATGATGCATGATAAATTTGGTCAGTAGTGGATCACACCGATCACACACATGAAGTTCGGAGTGTGGGGTGCCGATTTGGTTCAGACCCTGAGGAAAACCGGCGCGGTCACACTTGTTTCCGCTGTCAGTCATGGGTTTCCCCGACTGCTGTTCACCGGACTGCTTCGCCCTACCGGTATCCTCTAACTAAGAAAGGCTCAACTGACGTGCCTAGCTAGCTAGCCATGCATCTCATTCGATGGAAGGATACCTTGACTCTACTTCATCCAGATGATGATGTTACCTCCTCTTTGTTCTTTACAGCGGCTACCATTAATAATACCAGGACTACGCCACCATGACAGGCTCCTCTTGTTTCGATCCATACCGGTATGGTAGGCTGGCCAAAGCGGTCGCAAGCTTCTCCATTCGATGACTTCTTCCTTCTTCCGTTCGACACACCATCCACATTCCGCGTTGGCATGACACCAAGCCTCTGCTGTTATTACCACCGAGGAGTCGAGTCAGCCACTAATAAGCCTTGCTTGAACTTGAAAGCAGCCTCCGACAATCAACCATCTCGTACCTTAGCCGACTGCCGTACCGGTATGAGTTAGAAATATATTTTTTGATTTGACACCGTTTTTGACTTTGAGTTGGTCTTTTAAAAATCGAAACTTTTTGAAACCCACGCTGCTCCTCATGTTTCCAAAACGCTGTTGCGTGAAGCAAGCTTTTCTTTCAACACAACAACAACAACTTCTTCTCTTGATGGAAGACATGCATGACGATGACCATGATGGAATTGAGAGTCCCATGTTTCACGTGCCTCGAGATGTGCATCTACGGGTGGACCCTCGCGCGGACCGCTGTGTGGTTGAACGGATCCTAGTCATCTTGCGGTGGTTCTATTGTGGGTTGGTTCGTACTCGTGACAGGTAAAAGTCGGTTACTTCTGTCTTGCAGCTGGCGATGCGCTGAGCAAACCGTGGCGCCTCAAACCCTTGTCTCCTCCTTGTTAGGTCTGCTCGTTGGCCGTTGATAATGGCCGTTCGTGTTCGAGTCATCTTGTGGTGCTTCCATTGTGGGGAATGGTACCGTTCGTCCTACGTGCAGCGTAAGTCCACATGTTCCTGTCTTTTGTGCCATTGCTCATTTCACGGTCGACTGTTGCCGACTCATCTCCTTTAGTTCCCAACGTAGGTCTGCTGTCCGTGGATGACAATGGTGGTGACCGTGCGTGACCTTGTCATCTTGCGGTGGCGATTGGTGTGGTTCGTCGTCGTTGACAACGGTGCTTGCATTGGCCGTTCGTCTTCCAGTCTCATCAACAACAACAAGCAGGTACGGTCCGCTAGTAGTGAACAGCATGCATGCATGACATAAGTAGTTCTTTGCTCTTCGGAGTCAGCATTCGTGTTGGAAGCGGCCGGGTATAGATTCTTCATGCACTGTCCTCGACCACTTTGCTGAACCAAAGTGACATACATCCATGCATTCATGCTACACTTTGCTTTTGTTCTCAGCTCAAGTCTAACCATTTGTTCTCGGACTGCTTCCAGTTTGTGCAGCCCCACACTGACAACTTCACAGCTGTACCGTACCACCATTATTTGTACTGTACTGTACTGTTCTAGTCTTCCATTGTAGTTTCTTCAGAGTCAAGGATCCGCTATTACGATAGAGCTTCGCAACTGAATAGAAAGTCGCAGAACAAGGAGTGCAAAAGAATCGCCAAACTAGAACGAAACTCTTTACACGCACATGCTATTTTACAATATTCTTCAAGCAACACCACGATGAGTTTGCCGCATACATCGTACGGTACGGTAGCTAGTTGTCTCATTGTCCAGGTGGACTGTTTTGGTTCAAGTTGATTGCCTTTTCTACGTCGTCTCGCATGGATTGATTGTGTGCGTCGACAAAGTCGCCTTCATTGACTGTACAACCACAATTGCACCCACAGAGAAGGGCCGTGCATGTGAACTCCATGCGAGCCAAACCGCAGAAATCTGCTGGGATTTCCCCTGTGATGCTGGTGTTCACAATGCTCACGCGATTGAGGGCAAATCTCGCTAGTCTAGCCATTTCTTGAGGGATGGAACTCGTAAGCTGATTCGAGTGCAACCACAAGGCATCCACATTTTCGAGCTTGCCAATCTCAGTAGGAATTGTAGAACTGAGCAAGTTGTCATAAAGAGACAACTCAATCAACGAGGTTGCATTGCCGAGCTCTACAGGACAACACGGTGAGAGTTGTTGTTGTTTGAGACATGCAGTAGCTGGCACGCTACAAGACGAGTGCAACTTACCAGAGGGGATCCACGAAGTCAAGAGATTGCGCCCTAACCACAAGAGGAAGAGTGATGGGATTGAACCCAGCTCAGCAGGGATCCCACCAGAAAGGAGAGCATCCTCCAGAAGTACCTGTTGGAGAGAACCAAGGTTGCCAAGTTGCCACGGAATAGGTCCCGAAAACAAGTTCCCGGCGAGATGCAACTCCTTCAGGCTCATGAGAGCACCCAACTCGGAGGGCAAGGTTGACGTAAGACGGTTCCGATGAAGTTGCAACGTTTCCAACAACGTCAATAGCCCTAGAGTGGTAGGCAAGGGCCCCGTGAGAAGGTTTTGCCCGAGATTCAAGGTTTGCAGAGAAGTAAAGAGTGCAATCTCTTCTGGAATGGTACCTGCAAGTTGATGGGACTCGAGATGCAGATGGCGGAAGACTCCGGTTTGATTGTCCGCCTGGAAGATGCCAATACAGGGATCTCTCGTGGTGAGCCATTCGCATTCATGTAGAGTAGAGTCCAGGAAGAAGCCTCCCTCCACCCGTTGAGTTCCCGAGTCTGCAGTGGCGTAGTATAGAGTTATCAATGCATAGCGCTGTTGGATTCTCCATCTCGGATAGGTCGGCACGGACGTGTCATTGGCGAGCCAGCGAAAGGCTTGTGCTTGTGGTGAAGCAGGTCTGGCGATGATCACGTCCTGGGTGAATGCAGGCAGTGAATCAATGAGTAGAACCTTATCACCATCCAGAGTGGGGGGTGAATGGTTGTGTGATGCGTCCATGGTCGGTGATTGTGTGTCATGGAGCATCGGCAACCAGGACGGAGGACGGCTTGGATTGGCAACCGGGGCTTTTTCTGGAGTTCTGCCCGCTGCACCTCGCTCCATTGGTTGTCCACCGCTAGTACTACTTTTTGACGCATTGTGGGGGGCTTCCCTCCAGTCTACAAATAGTAAAACACCCAACGCAATGCTGACCGCCAGAATGACCAGGCAACTGCACGACGCCACCCACAAGTAGCATTTCCCTTTCCCACAATAAGCACCTACCCCCGCTGAGAACCTGGTTGTGCGCCCCTCCCCTGCATTCTCTTCCCCGATAGAAGACAGAGACAACTCTGGAGCTCTCGTCCTCGGTCCAGCATCAAGAGCCCCAAGCCCCAGCGGGATCCTCGGTGAGCATTGTGGGTCGGACATGGATACGGCAATTCAGGCAGGAGACCATGGGCACCACCTGACATGTGATGGTTGGTCCACCATGTCATGTCATTTGTTCGGACCGTTCTTCAGAACGCGTTGGGTTGCATGTGAAGCACATGCAATTTGTGAGGCTGGATTTGCCGTTGGCGCCGAAAGATCGTTCGAGGGTTCTCGAAAGGTTCGGGCCGAATGTTCTGGAAAGGCCGGAAGCAGCAATGCTACACTGTACTAGAGTATGCCCACAAGGCCACTGCTATCATCATGAGCTACATACCTCTGGGTGGATAGCAGAGCAGCCACTAACTAATGAAATTGCCGTGCGGCCATGACAGTGTTTTACACGAAGGTTGCTTTGCTCCTCATGTCACCCTGCTGGGCCCTCGCTTTCTGCCTACCGGTAGCTAGCTACCATGATAACTCAGGACTACGGCTAGGCTGCTGGCTGGATCAACCAAGGTACCAGCCTGTACAGTGGTGGCAAACAGGCAAAACCCATCTGTTGGAAGCACCAAACCTTTCCCGGGTAAGCAACAATTAAGATTGGCGAAATCCAGCCAGTTGCCCAGGCTGCGCATAGTTGGAGCTGAGGCAGGTGCCGTGGAGGGATGCTGGGATCCGCCTCGGCTAGCCCAAGTTTCATATTCCACATCCCTGCTGGCCAGTCTTCTTGCATTGGTCCTCCCTGGAATTTGATGCATGTACTGTACTAGTAGTTTTTTGGCTGAAGGGTGTCACGGTGGGTGGCACCTCCGAAAAAACAAACGGGCTGTTGCTTCCCTAACCTTATACATGTCACAAAAGCATGGAAGCCGCACACACGATCCCATCTAAGATACGATATACTATTTTCCCAGGAGCGCACCCCCAACTCCCGCACGCCGAAAGTCTACTCAAAGAAAATTCGTGCCACCAACGGTCCGCACGGTCATGGTGGTCACAAAAACTGTTGCATCTACCTAACCGTTTGCACGAAAGGTCATCATTTCATTTGATCTTGTTGCTTGTGATCTTGGTGTTGATCGACAGTCTCGTCTCATATTATACGATCTCATCACTACCATCCACCACTACCACTATCACCACCATGAACAGCCCTGGTAGTCCAGCGGCAACGCCGAGTGGCAAGAAAAAGCCCAAATCGACCAAATTTGGATTTCTCCGCAATCTGTGGGCGTTTAGTGCCTTTGTGGGAGGCTACTTTGTGGGATCGCTCGGTTCGGAAGGCAAGGCATTGCAAGACATGGTATCGCAAGTAGCCGGTGGTGCCGTGCCCGTCGTGAACACGGGCGATGGTAGTGACGACACGAGTGCTGGTCGGAGTTTGAGTATTCCATCTAGCACTAGCAATAGTGTCCGACAAGGCGTCGATTTGTTGCCATGGCTCAAAGATTGTGAAAAACCACAATCGCCGCGGACATTGCAAGAAATGGCAGCTGTCTACAAGCCATCCAAATTCTACGCGTATCTGCACACCAACTTTGACCGTTTTTATCCACAGTACATGGAAAAGTACCGCACCAAACACTTTCGCATGTTGGAAATTGGACTGGATACCGGCCAGGGATCATTGTTGTGGGAAGAGTACTTTCCGTGTGCCAAATTAGTGGGATTAGAGTATAATGTCGGTAATACCAAAAATGAAGGCGCGTCCAAAATTCAAACCATTGTCGGTGATCAAGGAAATGCCGAATTTCTCAAAACCTCCTTTTTGGAGCAATCCGAAGGCGGCAATTTTGATCTCATTGTCGATGATGGAGGACATCATTACGAACAGCAACGAACATCGTACGAAGTACTATTCGAAAAAGCACTCAATCCCGGTGGACTCTACGTCATGGAAGATATCGAAACCAGTTATTGGAAAAAGGGAACCGGTCTCTACGGATCACCCGTCACACGCGGTGGATTGGCCGAACCTGCCACGATTATCAATCAATTCAAACAACTGGTGGATGTCGTCAATAAAAAATTCCACGACAATACGTACACGGTATTCGGGCCCGTCGATCAACTGGTGTCGACGGTCGGATTTGGATCCAATGTCATTTTTCTCGAAAAGAAGACGCGGGAGCATTGCTGGAACGAACGACCGTATGTATGGCCCGATCGATTGGTCGGTCCGGCCAATCAACAACCACTCGATGCCAATAAGGGATCCATGATTGATAAATTCTGTCAAGGCATCAACATGTATGTGCGTGATAACAAGAATAAACGGCATAGTGGATAAGACGACTAATGTGAGCAAGATGAGTGAATGAATGAATGAATGAATGAATGGAAGGAGCGATCATGGCTGCAGCGAACGATGATTGGAATGGCTAAACGAATGAAGGAGGAATATAAAAACGGAACGAACAGAAGCTCGCAACGCGGCAAATAGAAAAAGACCACGAAAGGACACGCTTTCGCAACAACAACAACAAAACTTTCGCAACAACAACAACAGCAAAACTAACAAACAAAAAATGCATGCATTGGTAATAATCTACGTTGTACCGTAGGGATGGACTCGTTTGGCAAGTAGTTGACTTTCTTAGTCATTCGTTAGACCCCTTCTGAACTCAGATTCATACGCTTCATCCACGATCTTGCTTTGGTTGGTCCAAAATTCAAGAAACAGAGCTGACGAAAAACGTGCATTGGTCAAAATCTACGTTATGTCCTCGGTGTTTTCGTCATCCAGAACTCGTTCGGAAAGTAGACCACTCCCTTTGTCATTCATTACAGCAGGCTCTCGCGTGAACTCTGATACTGGTACGTGTGACACCTTTTTAAAATCATCCACGATCTTGACATATACTTCTGCTACTGCTGCGGCCGACAGGATGAACCAACACTTTGTCTTTCTTTTTATCAGTCCAGAAGGATGGACTCCAGCAATCCCCCCTTTTTCCAGGGGCATGTCGCCAGAATTCCCAAGGCTTCATCGTCATACTCAAAGATTACGGTAGCGTACGAAGACCCATTCGAACGAAATCTGGTACGGAGGAAACCCTTGGACGGGAAATGTGCAACTGTTCCATCCAGTACACATTTCAGTCCAGTCCAGCTAGTGTTACAGACAACCTTGCCTCGAGACAGTGACAAAAAGGACTTCCAAGGACTCATGTTGCTCTGGCCCGAAGCATTCACTTTGTGGACCACATTGGGATTGCCAGCTGCCTCTTTGGCACCCAGAGTTGACATTAGCACGTAGCTGCCAGCATCGTTGGGCTCTAGATCGTCCAGTTTGTACCGCATGTTCACAGCTTGAGTGTGGACCGTGGCATCATCCAGCATGGCTTCACAGAGAGCAGACACAACAATGTCATTGGATGTCAGGTACTCTCTTGTTGTTGTTGTGGTGGTGGTACTGTCATTATCATGATCCACCAACTCTATCTTCTTTTGGTTGATCTTCTTCTTACTCAACAGAAGTATATACGGTTCTGCCTCTTTGGGTCCAAACTTCTTGAAGACTTTAGGACCAATGACGAACAATCCAAGTATCGTAAGAGGGTGTGGTACAAGGTGTGGACCAACAGTTGGCATGTCCATCTTGTCATAGCCATCCCAGTTAATTGCTTTAGTCTCAATCGTTCCACTACTACTTGTGAAAGCAGAGTTGAGCTGTTCCATGACTTGGTAGTAGATGGCTCCGTCACCAATGCAGTGGCTGAGCAAAACGGTATAGCAAACGTACTGGCCGGGCAGCTCCATCATTTGTACTTCAAACACCGGTGATTTGTCTTTGACTTCCTCACCACCAAGTCTTGTTTGTTGGCCAACATGGCTTGGAAACTGTGGAATGATTTTTTGGTCCAGATATGCGAGCAGCTCTTGCTGGTCCATGTCGTTGAGCGGCTTTTCTTCAGCTGGCAGATTGCTAGATGAATTGGGGATGATCTTGAACAGCTCGTCTAGATTGAAGGTGTGGAACATAGCCACCATTTCGTGTTGTCCATTATCAGCCTTTCTTGTCTCGAGGCAAGAAGTCAAAATTGGATTGGCGCTCAGTACACTTTGAATGGCAGCTCTGAGGGATGAAGTTTTCTGTTCATCCCAGTTTTGAGCCACAGAGAAAGATGCAATGGTGGGTGCATCCTTAACGAATTCCACAGCCATTCCTCTGCAGACTACCTTCACTTCTTCCATATTAGATGTCATTTTTGAAGTTAGGTATTGGTGTACAATCTAGCTTCTTCTATTCTGCTTTGTGCTTTGGTTTTCTTTCTTGGGTAAAAATTTGTGAGCCTTACTTCTTACTTCAACACTCACGCGGACAACAACAAGCGCTCGCGGTGTTTGAGCGACAACACAAGCAGCACCTGAGCAGCGACAACAACAAGCCCCCACGGAGTTTGAGAGGCAGCCAATGGAACGGCTCTCGCTGTGGCACTTGTGTGCATGCGGTGTTGGCCATTGGATACAGTATGGTACCGGTACCCGGTAGTACTGTGCCGTGCCGTGGTGGCGGACTGATTTCTGTGAAAATAACAGTTTTGCAGAATGGTTTCGTAAAACTAACTGATTTCCGTGAAACAATCTGATTTCGGTGAAAGTGCGCGAATATTTCCGTGAATCTAACATTTCCGTGAAAACTAATGCTTTGAATCACGCTTGGGGAGCAACTCCTCGTTCCAATAATTTTTCTTCTTCCTGATGCACGCAAACTCAGCAATAAGACAGTTCTAACTTATAATTAGCTAGCTACAAGCACTACTGTGGCTAGGAGATAGTAATTGAGATTTCTTACCACTCTGCCTTGCTACTCAGTTCCCTTCAAACTAAAGCCAATAAAGGTCCCTGCAAACCTCTTTCCCGGATCTCCTCGTCTTCTGGGTGTGATGTCTTCCTCCACTCCGTACCTTACATCTCGAGCCTCTTTGATGTTCGTCTCCTCCTCCTCAAGTAAAGTGCAGCATCACTGGACTCCATGAGCCCTTCTTGTTCCTTCTTGTTCCTTTGACCTCACGGGTTACTGGCTCTTGGCTCAGTCCAACAGGATAGACTCCAGCAATCCACTGCTGTTGCAGGGGCAGTTCGTCACAAATCCCAAGGCTTCACTGTCATACTCAAAGATAATGGTGAAGTATGAGGACCCATTGGAACGAAATCTGGTACGGACAAAACCCTTCAAAGGGACATGCGCAATGGTTCCATCCAGTACGCATTTCAGACCAGTCCAGTTGCTGTTGCAGACAACCTTGCCTCGAGAAAGCGGCAAGGAGGATTGCCACGGATTCATGTTGCTCCGACCCAAGGCATTCACTTTGTGTACAACATTGGGATTACCAGCTGCCTCTTTGGCGCCCAGAGTCGATATGAGAAGGTAGTTGCCAGCATCATTGGGCCCTAAATCATCCAGTTTGTACCTCATGTTCACAGCTTGAGTGTGGACAGTGGCATCATCCAGCATGGCTTCACAGAGAGCAGACACAATAATGTCATTGGATGTCAGGTAATCTGTGGTGTCATCCACCAACTCTTTCTTCTTCTGGTTGATCTTCTTCTTACTCAAAAGAAGAATAAATGGCTCTGCCTCTTTGGGTCCAAACTTCTTGAAGATGACAAACAATCCGAGCATTGTAAGAGGGTGTGGCAGAATGTGTGGACCAACAGTTGGCATCTCCACCTTGTCATAGCCATCCCAGTTGATTTTTGTTTCAATCTTTCCACTTGTGAGAGCAGAATTGAGCTGTTCCATGACTTGGTAGTAGAAGAGAACCAACCAGGGATGAGCGATCCGAAGCCTCATGAAACCGGCTTTCCGCGAGTTACCCCTCGTGTTCTTCTTTCCCAACGTAGTCCTCTGCACGTAGTCTTCGTATTTCTTTTTTTGGATTTCCGATTACCACCCTTCGACGATGTCTGGGAGGATGGCGGGGAAATCATCTGGAGAGCCCCGCATATCGCAAGCGATGGGATCAGATAATACCAAGTAACATCACACATTATCCGGACCCATCCATCCAAGCAGAACACCAAGAGAAGCATCAGAAACAGCCCTGCATCCACCGATGTTGCAACCGATGTTGCCTTGCACATCATCCAGCGAGGGCGAATAATGGCGCAGGGGATTATACAGCGCCAAAAAGTGGGACGCATCGACGGGACCCAATCACATAAGTAAGACAACAACATACAGAAAATAAAAAAGTCAAAGCCACCAAGTGTCCCGCGCGCAATCCTTTGACGAGAAGACATTGGGACCATCCTTTGAGAAGGCGGATCATCCTGCTTCTTCTTGGAACGCGATGACGATGTTTTCGGTTGCATCGTTTTCTTTTGAAGGTGCTTGACACTGTCGCGTTGGATCCCCTTTCCATCCTCCAAGTTCTTCGTAGAGGCGGCGGTGGCAGGTGTCCTGGCTCGTCCGAGCAGTTTCTCCTTGAAAGCCTCCAACGATCTTCTTCTCGGAGTCATCATTATGGTATCGAAGCTTTCTCAATCTTTTCGCCGCCGGCGGAATCCTATCGTCAACTCGTATTCCTCTTGTGGATCTTCCTCTTGTGGGTCTCCCGTGTGGCTTGGGTTGGTGAAGCTGGGTCTGAGATTCGGCTCGACCGGACTCGACTTCGGTGGGAACAAAATCACGTCTGAAACCGCAACTTAGGCATTTCTTTTCCGACGTCCGTGTTCGACCATGAGCCAGGCAGCGAAGAAATGCGTGACTCTGTACAGCACGTGTACCATACCGGTACCAGTCGTATGACAATGAACTTTACTGGTCGTAGCCACCAGTAGAAGAACATAGAGCCCGTTTGTGCCACCAGCCAGCAGCTGTGATGCTATTTGTCTTCCTTGTTAAATTCAAAGTTTGTTGGTTGTGCTCTGGCAGGCAAAAGTTTCACATATTGGGGCACTATCTTCCGAAGTCTAGCTGGCCACCATGATGTACCTGGAAGTCACCATGACGTGCCTGGCTGAATCCTAAAACATATCTAGATTTGGCGGTTGCGATGGTCTCTATCCTCACGCCACCGGCCAACCCCACGGCAAAAAGTCCAACCCACACGACCAGCAAGAAAGGTGCGGATGAAATGGTGCGCTCATGCCACGAGGACCAGGGCGCACGCCGTTACGGTAGCTAGTACTGGTACGGTATCGGTACCGGTACGGCACCTGTACAGTTCGGTCTAGTTGAGTTTACATGTAGTTGAGTTTAGTTGGTTTAGTTTAGTTTTGATCGTCCTGATCCAAAAACATAGTAATATTGTCCATTCCATTTGGCTTTACGGCAAAAGTACAGAAACACCCAAACCTGCGGAACCCAGCACAAGTTCAATGGGCATAGCACGCACAATAGGAGGGCAGTGCGATCAATCCACTTGTTCAATTGTTTTCGTCGATTTCCAGGCGCTCGCTTGGAACGTGAGGAAATATAAGTCGTCCACTTGCTCAAGACGGAAAAGAGGGCGCAGAAGACTGCCACTTGGAATGCGTAAATCAAGAAGGAAACATCTCGTTGCGTTGCCGCTATCACCAGGAGCATGACGACGACGCCTTCGGGTGAAAACGCTCGTTCTTCCGTGCTTGTCCAGAAACCTATATCATTCTCGTCATCGTGGTCGGCGGGCGTGGTTGGTCTTGTCGTTGTTCTGTTCATTTTTAGTTTAGTTTAGTTGTTGTTATTCTGCTTTGTGATTTGTGGGGCTGTTGTTTTATGTCGGTATGACTGAAGTTTCTGGTTTCCTGAATAAAAACAAAGAAGCCGCGATCACAGAGATAGATGAGATCTTGCTTGGCTCATTATTTCAAGTGACACCACGGTACCGACGCCACTTGTATCCCCGACTCGACTAAGACATGGGGCACGAACTGGTACCGGTACCACCGATACCGACCGTGCGACGAAAGTCTTTGCAACCCACATCTCTCGGACAGCACCAAAGTCTTCCCAAAGCAGTTTCTCCTCTTCTTCCAGGCTCTAGCAGCTACCTAGAGGGAGTCGATTCGAATCATTCGATGGATGGTCGGAGAAACATGCAACTCGAAGTGCCCACCAAGCTGTATTATTGGTTCGCTTTCGTTGCCCAGCCAGGCATTTGGAACGCTAAAAGAGCGATACGGCAGTAGACTTCAAAGAAGACGGTGTTGCAAGAGACGCCAATAGATGGAAAAGTTGAGCTCGGTCTCCTAGCTGCCATACCATTCCGTCTAGTTTAGCTAGCTAGCTTCCAGCTACGGTATTCGAATCGAATCGATTGAATCATTCGAGGAATGGTCGGAGAAGCAAGCAACAACTCAACTCGAAGTGCCCAAGCTATTTGAAGCTACACGCAACTAGCACTACTGTATACCGGTAGCACAGCAGGAGACTTCAAAGAAGACGATGCCGCGAGAGACCCCAAGAATGCGGCTGGTTTCGCATGCGCTGGTTTCGCCCGCTTTCAGAACTGCTCCTCCTCTCACCACATCGTGCCCAGGCCACTTTTGCTGGTGCTTTCTCAGGAAATCGATTGAATTCTATTGAAGCCGCCACTTCTTTCTTCGCCGCATTGTCAGAGGTTTCCACTTCTCTCTTCTCTCTTCCAAAGATATGCTGCTAAGTAAACTGCCACAGCAACAATGCTTGGGTAGGGTCGACGATGCTATTTCTAATAAGTAGCCATATCCGTTGCTTGATCCTTTCGGATCAAGCGCACACCGCAGCGTCGAAGCAATGATCCATTGCCATCCTTCGGTGAAAGGACAAGCTTCACCGATGATTGTGGCGAAGATACTGAAGGGGTCGCAGCATTCTCACATTTTCAAACTCACAATATCCTCACAGAGCCAAACAGAAATACGCTTCGAAGCAATCCAAAACTACTAAATCATCACCATGTCTCCTACCGCCACCATTGCCACTGCTTCTCTCGCCGCAGAACTCAAGGCGTTCCAAGACAAGTTCATGGCCAGCATCCCCAAGGAAGTTGGAGAGCTCTTGCTGGCCAAGACAGAAGAGCTTGCCAAATCGGGTGTTGTGGAATCTGCCATCAAAGTCGGCGACAAGGCGCCTGACTTTGTTCTTCCCGACGTTGAAGGCAATCCAGTGAGCCTTGCGGAGTTGCGTGCCAAGGGACCTGTGGTGCTGACCTTTTATCGCGGAAGCTGGTGTCCTTACTGTAACATAACCGTCCACAACCTGCAACAATACATGAGCAAGTTCCAAGCCAAGGGAGCTACGCTGGTTGCAATCTCCCCCGAGTTGCCCGACTACGTTGTCAAGAAGACTCAGGAAGAATCGTTGACCTTTCCGGTGCTCAGTGATGTTGGTATGACCGTGGGCATGAAGTTTGGTCTCAAGTTTGTCTTGCCACTTGAGCTCCAAAAGGCCTACGCTGAATTTGGATTGGATGTCCCCTCGCACAATGGTGACAAGACCTTTCAGCTGCCCTTGCCTGCAACTTATGTGATTGACAAGGACGGGTTGGTGACCTATGCTTTCGTGAATGCTGATTACACCAAGCGTGCAGAACCCGAGGAAGTCTTGAAAGCGATTCCCTAGCTCTGTGAGTGATTTGCCAGCCGTCGAAGCCTCGATTGGACCCCCGTTCGTCTCTCCAAAACAATAGTAACTAATGCCAACTAAGCGGAACCACTTGAATGAAAAGAGGGACCGCTTTTACTGCCGCGCGGTAACTCAGGGCCGGATCCATACTCCTGCCGCAGATACACAATCGAAAAACTTTTAGATCAGCCAGCTTCTCTTAGAACTATCGGCATCGTTGTCGTCTGATCCAGCCCTTTGAGGGGAGGGGCATCGTGGAGTGTGAAGTCGACTGATGGCTCTAGCTAGCTAGTCCAAAGGTTTGGGACTGTTCGAATAAAAGGTTCAACAAAGCTAGCTAGATTCGGTCACGGCGAGCCGCATTGTACAGTAGCTGCAGCTTGTCAACGGTTAAGGGGGGCGTTGACGACGTCTCTAATCTGACGCATTCGCCCCCTCGCATGGACCAAATCTATCTTGTTACAGCACGGTACTTTGCCTTTAATACAATATCTAAACTGTTATGGAAGGAACATGTAATGCTACGACCGTTGTATGGCGTAGCAAATGCATACAACGATACAAGAGACGTGTAGTATTGGTCGCCTAAAAGCTTCCGACCTGTGCCAACTCCAAATCCCCCGTGGCCATTACATCCTTGACACACATGGTGCGAGTGGCTTTGTTGGACCACTTAGAACATGCCTTTTCAGCTGCTTTCTTGGAGACAGTGTTTCCACGCAATCTTCGAATGGCTTGTTCGGCAGTGACATCAGGCATGATGCAAGCTTCGGGGTACTGAGGTCCGCTAGCTGTATCAAAGAGCATTTGGTCGGTATCGCGGACTTGCCACTCATTGGCAATTTCAATAGGATCCTCCAAGCGAGTGACACCGTCACGAGCCAAAACAACTCCAGTCTCAAACTCTCCCATCATACCAGTGCTGCCGTGGAAGCGTTCCTTGCTGGCATACTCAACCTTGACCGTGACCATGTCCTTGAAGGCACGAAGGACAATCTTTTCATTTCCAAACTCTTTTGCTTCTCCAAGGTAGATCTCAATGATGTGGAAGTTCTTGCTGGGATTGTAAGCATTGATCTCAAATCCGGAGATAGTGGCAGGTAAGTCGGCCCCTTCCACTCCATTCAGCAAGTACTCCCCAAAGGAACCGACCTCAAGGGTCTCATCTCCAATCTGCACCACCGCAGACTCAATAAAGGAGTAAAAGTTTCGTGGACAGATCTTGGTACGGATGTTAATGGTCAATGGCAAGCCGGGAGCAAAGTGAGGAGCCTGGATCAGATGCATGTCACATGCTCCCATGTAATCATAGATTTGATGTCCAGTCCACGTTTCAAAGTGGGGATCTCCGCCACCACCTCCGTTACGGGGGCAGTCTGTCAAGATCAAGTTAGCATACAACATGGCACTGTTTTGCCTCCTCTCTTCTGAGAGAAACTGTGTCTTGAGTGAACAAGTAGGACACTTCCGGAAACCAAGCAAGTCAATCTCAAACTTGATACCTCCTGTGAGCATGACAGATTGTGGCTCAGGATTATCAATGATCAGCACTTTATCACTACAACCATAGCCAGTGGTTGCGTAAGGACAATGAGGGTTTAAATAGTTTGGTGTTTCATCAATGCTCAAGTCATAGATAAAGGAGTAGTCCATGCCATTCGTAGTGACAGTGACATTGAGCTGAACATGGGAAATGGCTCCACTACCAATCGGTTGGTTGTCATGCGTCAACGACCCAATCGAAAACTCCGGTCCAGGAATCACAGTCCCTGGAACATTTTTAGAGGTGTACATTCCAGATTGACCATTTCCAACGTCATATCCCCAGTAGAGGTATCCATTTCCTTGGTCTATGTGAGAACCACCCGTCCAGTTTTGGAACTGAAACTTGACATCGTCAACGCTCAACTGGAACACTGAACAGTAGAGAGGGTAAACCTGAGCTGAAGTCGGATTAGCCGATCCAGCGGCAGGGAGAAGGGCCAAAAACGCTAGGGTACGAAAGTTCATGGTCGATTCAAATTCAGCAACACAATGCGTCCGGGAGGGTCAGCAAGTAAGTGCTTCAGGTTGACCTGACCGTAGTGGAGGGTGGAGGCAAAGGCAAAGACAAAACTAGCTTTCGTGAGAGGTGAATTTACGCAGTGTTTTACTAGCTAGTCGCACGAGCAGATACCACACCAGGAACACTCTCGAAAAAGTCGGTCATGCGAAAAATGACCGTTCGAAGAAGCCCTATACTAAACGTGTACAGAATGTCGGAAGGTCGGAACAGGTGTTTCCGACAAATCGTACTGATCTCCGACAGTCTCCGGCAAACTCGGACATTGTTTTGTCGGCACCGACATAATTTTGTCGGCGCCGACATTTCCTTTAAATCTCCGACAAACTCCGACATTTGAGATTTATCACCATCATATTCTTATTAACAACCACCATTCTAATTCATTTATCAATCTTGTCGTTGCGGGATATCGATGACTTAATGTCGGAGGCCACTTTCTAAACATTGTTTAATGCCTTCCTACAAACTCCGACATAAATCAGAGAACTCCGACATTATCTCCGACATTCCGACTTATTGGAGGTCATCTCCGACAGACTCCGACGAACTCCGACAGAATGCTTCTATCTCCGACATTCCCCATTTCATAAGGACTTTCTGATTTGACGAGCAGTGTGGACTTAACGGCCAAAGTCATAAATCCAAGCGAGTCCGACTTATTCGCGGGTGTTCCAGGACAAAGACACAACAATCGGATTTAACCAAATGGCCGGGCTATTGAGAGATTCTCGGGATTGACTATGATTCTTAAGTAAGTATAGCTCCTTTAGTCACTATTTAATTAGCATGAACCAACGACTGAGAGTCAAATCTGTGCAAAGATAATTGCTCCCATCAAGAGTCACGAGTTCAATCTTAAGTCTCATCACGAACGCAACTCGGGCTTTTCTCTCTGAAAGTGTTCCTTCACGAGTTGCAACATTTTGCCAACGGAAACCGGAAACCACGGAAGAGCGCTGCTGCCACCCTCATCAAGCCCAAGGTCCTTGGTCCTTGGGTTGGCTTGATGCTTCTGATGCTTCGATTGAATATTACATGTATGAGCATAGGAGCTAGCTAGCTTCACTCTTGTAGCTACGCAGCAGAGAAACACCGGACCAGCCTGCTTCCGGAATTGGGGCGTCCATCCGTCTGCTGGCTATGCATACCGAACCGTAGTTGTCCGTTGGGCGACGCACAAGCAGCTACAGAGATTCATCACGAAGAACGAGGGTTTGCTGCCCCGAAGCTTCGATACACTGGTAGATTTGTAGTTTTTGATATATATGTACTCTTAAAAAACAGCTCTTAAAACTATTCGGAGCAATGAGTTGATAATAGTCTATCTAGAATCCTCCAGCCTGTGCCAACTCCAAGTCCCCAGTGGCCATGACATCCGTGACACATCCAGCACGACTGGCATGGGACCAACGAGCACATGCTTTTTCAGCAGCTTCCTTGGAGACAGTGTTTCCGCGCAATCGACGTGCAGCTTGTTCTGCAATCATATCAGGCAAGATACAAGCTTCAGGGTACTGGGGTCCATTGACAGAATCAAAGAGCATCTGGTCGGTATCACGGACTTGCCACTCGTTGGCAATTTCAATAGGATCCTCCAAGCGAGTGATACCGTCACGAGCCAATACAACTCCAGTCTCAAACTCTCCCATCATACCAGTGCTGCCATGGAAGCGTTCCTTACTGGCATACTCAATTCTCACCGTCACCATGTCCTTGAAGGCACGGAGAACAATCTTCTCATTGCCAAACTTCTTCCCTTCACCAAGGTAGATCTCAACGATGTGGAAGTTCTTGTTAGGATTGAATACGTTGACCTCGAACCCAGCAATAGAGGCAGGCATGTCAGCCCCTTCCACTCCATTCAGCAGGTACTCCCCAAAGGAACCAACCTCCAGGGTCTCATCTCCAATCTGCACAACAGCAGACTCAATGAAGGAGTAGAAGTTTCGTGGACAGATCTTGGTACGGACATCCACAGTCATGGGCAAGCCGGGAGCAAAGTGAGGAGCTTGGATCAAGTGCATGTCACAGGCTCCCATGTAATCATAGATTTGATGTCCGGTCCACGTTTCAAAGTGGGGATCTCCACCACCTCCTCCGGTGTGTGGACAGTCAGTCAAGACCAAGTTGGCATACAATTGAGCCGAAGTTGCCATGCTCTCTTGAGAGATGAACTGTGTCTTGAGTGGACAAGTAGGACAGGCACGGAAACCAAGCAAATCGATCTCAAAGTTGATTCCTCCAGGAAGCGTGAGTGCCTGCGGTGCGGGATTATCAATGATAAAGATCCTATCAGAACAACCGCTGCCAGTGGTTACATATGGACAGGGCGATTGGTGGTTTGGTGTTTCATGAATGGACAACTGGTAGACGAATGTGTAGGGTTGGCTGTTTGCGGTAACGGTCACAGTGAGTTCCACATGGCTAATAGACGATCCGCCTTGGATTGGGTTGTTGTGATGGGTCAAGGTACCAATGGGAAATTCGGGTCCAGGAACCACAGGTCCATTGGGTACGTTGGAGAGGTTGTCAAGCCAGACTGGCCATTACCAACATCAACTCCCCACCAGACAAATCCCGGACCATAGTTGACAGTGTTAACACCACCACCCTGGCAACTTTGAAAGGCAAAATCAACCGCGGATATCTGCAACTCAAACGTTCCTGTACAGTACACAGGGATTGGGGGTGCGGGAGTGGCGGGTGGGGGTGGGGGAGAAGTAGTTCCGCCATAGCCACTAGCCGACACACTGGCGGCGAAAAGGGCCAACAAAGAAAGAGGAAGGAGCTTCATCGTGTTCAAATCGAGGAGGGCTGGGTGGTTCCGCGTTTTTGTGATGATCTGATCTTTAGAAAGTAAGTGTGAAGTGGATGAATTGTGAGGGGGTGGCACGCAGGTACGGGTAGCATACCCGGGGGGAGAGGGCGTATGTCTCTACATCGTTCCGGTTTGTTCCCGGTCACGTTTCACTAGAGTTCAGTACCTAGTTGGGCTGTAATCCCAGCCAGAAGCATCTCTTATTCTTAAACTAAGGCTTTAAATACTCTCTTTGGTCTCTCACATTTTTAGTAGTTTAGTCACTTGTTCCGTAAAGCGTATGACCTTTTCTAACGCTTTTTGTTCTTCAATCCCAGATGAGTCAGTTGTGTCCCAAGAGGTTGAACCGCTTTTCTATTTGATGAACGAATGAAAGTCAATTGCCAAGAGGATTACCAATCTATTAATAGTCAAAAAGGTGAATAAAAAGAGAACTGGCGAAAAATATGTTGAGTAAGGTTTACATTTCGTTTTCACCGTACCGTTCGGTATGTAATTGTAGCTCTGCAGGCTCCCATTTTTAAGAAATATTATGTTTTGTGCATCCATCGGAACACAGGACACTGGAGACAAGCTCCCGAAAGAGCTCCAATGGGAGCCAGCAACGGAACTGGTCTATCCACAACATATTATCACATTCTTAATTACTGAGTAACCTAATATAGATCAAATTCCTCCATAAGCATTGGGCCAAAGCGCCCATTGTGCGAGAAAATAACCTTGCCCTCTTCAAGAATCTTGGAAGCATCGTTTTGCTCTTCCTCTGAGAATGCTGTGATGTCCAGAATCTTGACCCAACCTGTTCCACTGGAGATACCTCTACATACATATTGGTCATGACTAGCTTGTACCGTCCTGTCGTTACACCTTCTGCAGTGTCAAAGGAAATCTCTGAGTCTGTCACAGAGCCATAGTCAGAAAAGAGAATAACTCTGTTTGTACGTTCATCAAATAGGTTCCATGATACATGCTCAGAGTCTTCATAATACTGCACCGCAACAACAATGTCTCTTTTCCCAACGGGTAGCGGTACGATTGGCTTATTTTCAGGACTTTCTGGAGAGTTCCTGTCGGTAACCTGGCCATTATTTTGATTTGTGACTTGAATGACTTGAACATATGCGGGGCTCATAGGGGCAACAGTTTGGTAGGGAACATTGCTGTTGGTATTGTCCATCCCCTTCTTCAGGATGCGTTTCTCTTGATGAGACGACGCTTCCATTCTCCTGGGTGACTTGATTCCGCGAATGCTTGAGGCACATGCCACATTGGCCAACGCGAGGGAAGAGAGAAGGAATAGAGTGAAGAAGGAGGAGAGTTTCATGATTTTGTTTGTTTGTTTTGATTGTGTTTGTTTTGATTTTGTGAGCATTGGAATCGTCTGCGTGGGTGTTGAAGTACCGTTCGGTAAAGGTATTCGCTTTTGGTGCTGGTACTTCGTGAGTCCCAGATAAAAAAACACTTCGCAAACCTCACAAAGCTGACTGCTGGGTTCTTGCTTGCTTCAAAGCAGGTGCACCCGAACGTACGGTAGCGCCCAGGAGTGCATGCAATTGTTTGCTGCGTTGATGATACACTGGATGGGCTCCTGGCTGATTGAATCTCCTGGGCCCAAGCCAGGCCTGGTTTTAGACGTCTAGGTATCTCGATCGGTCGGGTTTGAACGCACTGTACCGGCACAGTGACTTGTGTCTAATTGACATGAGAACGTGTATGCGTCCTGTAGAGTCTCAGGTACCGTGGTCAATATTACAGCAGGTGGCGCCAGCAAGTCTTCTTTCAGTTGCGATCGTTACAAGAGGTACATCTTCTTGCAAGAGCAGCGATGTAATTAGCTAACCACTACCGGTACCGGTACAATGCAGCGTCCTGGAGTAACCATCATGGAAACGTACATGTATGCAGCAATGATTTTGTTGGATCCTTCATTTTTGTGCTAGCTGGCTTGTAGAGGAATGTGGTTCTGGGTGAAGGGTGAGACCACAGCTGACTAAAGGAGTCAGAGTCGAGTGGAGCGAAGCCAAAGCAGCATGTGCTCTTCAGGGGTGGAGAACATGCAAAGTTAATTCTACCTTGAAGCAAGACTCAACACGGAGAAATCCATGAAAAGCGAATACGTGTATCACGTGTACCGGTACCGTACCTACGAGTACATGTACCACCTCCAAGCCTCCAAGGAAATCAAGCGGCAATGCAAGCGGCTGCTCTGCACCTGAATGCAAAGAGGTCAGATAGCTCATAAAAATCCAAATTCGATTACTACCTATACCTTCTTCTAAAGCCACATCCATGAAGCTTTCCTCTATCACCAGCCTTCTATTCATTGCAGTGTTTGCCTCCACGGAGAGTGCATCCGGTGCATCAATCAGAGGAGCACAACACGAAGCAGGAAACGAAAGAGCCAATGCGACACCTCAAAGACAACTCATGATGAGCACCAACAGTGGCACCAGCGCACCATACGTACCACAAACGTTATCTCCTGTTGCACCCATCACCCCAACCTACAACCACGACGAGGTCCTCGAAGACCGAGATGGTGGCGACGGCATGCCTATTGTCAAGCCGGCGAAAGAAACCAGAGACATTATGGTGGTTGTCAACTACGTGGACGCAAATCCCGAATCCATTTCGTGGCAGCTACTCAATCTGAACACCAACCGCTACATCATGTCCTCCAAATTGGGGGATGTCACTCACCCGGGAGTCGTAGCCACGCCCAAGGATCAAGTGCCCACCGGTCCCTATGAGTTCATCATGAACAACATCCAAGGGACCGGCCTCGCTCAAGGAGCGGGCTGGGTGAAGATTCTGGATGTGACCGGCTTATCCACACAAGAACGTGCCAACCTGGAGTTTGTGGTGAGCAATGGCAATGTTGTGTTCTCCCACAATGGCCGCTTTGGGCCCATGTTGATTGAGGATTTCCAGCTTTACTGAGCGACCATCCCCAAATCCCACCAGAGCAGTTAATGTGGTTGACACTTTCCAATCTAGAGAACGACATAGAGATCAAACGCAAGATACGTTTTATTAAAGTAAACAAGATAGACATTGTGACGGGTCGTGGTAGCCACGCGGTCGACCGTGTGAGTAGCTAGAAGTACCGGTACGTACAACAAGTAGCTAGTAGCAGGCAGTACTGTACAACCACCTTGGTTCGTTCGTTCCTTTCTATTCAAAGGCGCCCACATCATCGCCACCACCGCCGCTACTATCCAAACTGGCCTTTTTCTCCTTCTTCTTCTTGTTGTCATTGTCATTGTCTTTTTCCAACAGACTATCAAACGCACTCAACTCGGCTTGTTCCTTTTGTTTTCCCAATTCTTCGAGGGTTGTTTTGGAAGTATCAAAGATGACATTGTTGGATCCCACTCGTTTCTGTTTCACACCCATGGCCTTGGCAGCCTTTAGTTTGCGTTTGAACAAGGCCGTATTGACACTCTCCGCCAGTGCCGTTTTCCATTGTTTGCGAAGACTGTTGCGGGCACTAATTTGGGCATTTTGTTGGTTGATCCAAAAATTGCGCACCAGTGGAATGGCATTATACAACAATGCGTATCCCAATAAGAGGGGAAACGCGCCCGCCACGGCGCCGTACATTCCTGGCAACGAATATCCCGCCGCGGTAATTTGAGCGAGTTGGGTCCCCAAATAGAGAGCACCTCCGAGATTGACGACTCCCAGAGCTCCCGCAGCAATCTTGTTGAAATCGGTGGCGACGGAAAATGGAATTTCACGTTCTGTGAGGAGGGATGGATCTTGTTGCGCGGCCTGTTGCTCGAGTTTCTCTTGTTCTTGTCGTGTCAATGGTGGCAATGCCTGTTCTAGAATATCCAACAGAGCTTGTTTGTCGTAGGCATTGCGGGTGGAAATGCCATTGTAATTGAGCATGAGTTGAATATCGCGGGTACTGGCGTTGGGACTCAGTCCAGCTCGTTTTAGAATGAGAGCATTGGATTGTTCTTGATCATCCGTAGTGCTTTTGGTGATTGCTGTTTTGGACGCTGTCGTTTGCAATTCCGGAAATAGATATACGATATCTCCATCGTCCGTGACGGTGGGTTCTCCGTTGAGTTGTGTGACAATGGGCAAAACAAAGCTCTACAGTGCCGTCAGATGAATGAGCGAACAGGGGGAAACAAGCAGTGAGTTTGAATTCGTGTATCATTTCAAGGATTGACCAAGTACTAACAGTATACAAGTACATACCTCATCGACGTAGTTTGCCTTTTGGGCTTGTTGCGGCGTGATATCGGGATCACAGTAGGGTGCCAACTGTTCGGCCGTGACGGCACCCTTATTGTCTCGTATCATTTGTGCCGCAAGTTGCAATCGTTCTTCTTCGATTTTGGCATTGGGATCTCCATCTCCAAAGACATAACTAAAGACGGATTCCAAGAACCCCAATTCTTCCTCCTTTTCTGACGAGGCGCGTCCATAGTATCCATACGACCCATACGGTCGATAGTACAAGAAATCAAACGGCGACGGTCCCCAAAAGTACCCAAAACCACCACCGAATCCACCACCACCGCGTCGTTCGGAATTGCGATCGTCATTGTCACTCGACGACGAACTATTGATGAAGAAAATGGTGGAATAAATGGCCACCAACGATGCCACCAGTGCCACTCCAAAACCGACGCGAATGCCCCAAAACACGGTCGGCCAGGCTTTTTGGATTTGCTGTTGGAATTGATATTGCGAGGATCTCTTTTGGAGTACGCCTTTCAAATCGGAAGGAAAGCTATACAGCAATTCTCCCGCATCGCCCACGGCAATGTCGCCTTGACTCAAACTCGCCAACAATGTGAGTTCACGGGCCGCTTGCGAGACGGAAATTCCTGCTTTGGCCGCCAAATCACTGGCCACCACGCGTTGTCCGGCACATGCTTCCACAATGGCGTCGGAGGGCAACTTGTCTTGATACCGTTCGTACAAGGACAACACGGGGTTGCTGTTGCTAGCCATAGTCAGGGAGACAGTAGCATGTCGCAGAGGGACCACATGTGGTTGTGGGACAAGTCGAGTGACGACCGTTCTGGCAGGTGTCGTAAAGGCATGGCTGCCAACGCACAGCCACAGGATGGCGGCGGCGGCGGGTACTATCGATTGTCTCATGGTCAGTATACTAGCTATAACATTCAAGTCTCCAACTACCGTACCGTACTGAATGCAAAAGACAAATTGGATCTTGTCCTTCGTTGGAGCTCGTTGTCTTCCATCTGTCATCTGGAGCTCGTGTGACTCGACTCACTGATTGATGCGATCTTTCACTCCTGAGCAAGCACATCTGACATGTCTGAAGAAACGATAACGGTACGGTAGGACTAAGAACGCTAAGAAGTATTTACAGATGGCAATCTATCAAACAGCAAAGCTGGTTTTACTCTCAAAGGGTTGGCTTCAACTGCATTCAAGCAGGCGCTTGGAAGATCCATGCTTGTACCGTACCGTACGGTTCCAACTGATAACAACTTGACCCTGATGGTGGAATTGTCTACCCCAAGCTAGGTGTCCATGAAAAATCGATTGGTTACATGCAATTCTTGTGGTGAACTTTACCGAATTGGTTGAGCTACATGTATTGCTTGATGATGCAAAGCCAGTGATAGATAGCTTGATGGATCGATGGATCGATGGCTGGCTGGTTGGATCGACGTTTTACTACATGTACTACCTACTTTTGCTGCCTTCAAGTTCAAGCAGCCCAAGCACTGAAGTGTGGCTGCCTGACCAGACAACAAAGAAAAGAGAAAAGAACGGCCAGGCAAACAGCCGGCTGTCAGCATTCTCTGGGTACGGCAGAAGAATGAGCTAAACCCAAGCGTTCAACTAGCTAACTGGCTGGTTGCTTGCTTGCTTGCTTGAGGCCAAAGAAGGCCAAAGGGCTAAAGCTCCTATTCTATGCTACCGGAAAGTTTGGTAGTAACCAGGCAGCCCCACAGCTTTCCTACCATCACAGCTACATCGTGATGTATCACACCACACCTTTGACCTTTCCACCCAGCAAGCAAAGAGTGTGCTTGAAAACATACATGAAAAAATGCATGACGAGTATTTTATGGTTGCTTGCGTCGGGGGCTATTCCTCAGCCAGCTGTCAATCCCAGCAGCTTCCCAGCCTTCTTTTTTGCGTTTTTCTTTCGCTTCAACTTCAAGCCACAATGCGCCTTCACTTTTCCGCCAGCTTCTTGCATCCCCACGGGTATCAGTACCGTAACGGCAAAGTAGACTAGTTAGCCTGCTAGCGAACTAGGAGTAGTTAGCTAGTTAGATGACCTAGTTTTCAACCCCGCAGAGGAGCTACAGATTGTTGGTTCATCGGTGCCAATGTGCTAATGAAGCCATGCCTCTTCAAGCGAGGATTCTTGATACCGGTACTAACGGAAACAAAACTATAATGCATTTCAATCCCCTCTACTAGCCAGGAACTCCCAACTTGAAGCAGCATTCGCTCTGGTTCTTCCTTGAAACTTAGCTACTTGAGCTGCTACTTGCTTCAATGCAGCTTCAATCGAGTGGAACTGCAAAGCAAAAAGCAAAGCACCACGTCTGTAATTGTGAATGGCTGGTGTTGCCTGCCTTCTAAAAGCCTGTCCCAATGACCCAAGGGAACCGCTAGTAGCATGCACCGGCAGCCCAAAAGCTCCTGTCTCTGGTCAGCTCCTCTCTGGAGCTGAGGAGAGTGCGCAAGCTCTCGGTCTTCTACAGAGAATTGCGAGTTGAACCAGTTCAACCATGGAGCGAGATTTCCTGGAGGTAGAAGCGGGAACACACCCTTGCTCAATCTTCAATGGGTAATGGGTAAAGAACCTATATCACCCACACCGCCCAGCCAATACAGCTCCAACAGCTCTCTATGAAACAACGAAACTGCTTGTTGAGTGTTGAAGTTGCCTTCTTCCTTCCATACCAGCTACCGTACATACACCGGTATCGTGCGTACCGCCCCCCAAAGCAAGCAACCAGTAGTCTAGATTGCAACATTCGTTCAAAGAGGAATGAGCGGAGACTTCTGCTTGCTAGTATTCGGCGCCAAGAATCTCATTGCCGGCTACCCTTTGGTGGGATTGTGCCATGCGCTTGTCAACTACAGCTTCATACAACAGCTGCTTCTGACCTCGAAGCGCCTTGAAGAGTTCCTTGAAGTGAATACCACTACTAGTACCTCAAAACCGGATCAACATCAGGAGCAACTCGGAAGTGGTACTAGCTAGCTAGCTAGGCAGCAGTTGAGCAAGCACTCTGCCAGATACCAGATATGCAGCTTCAACAAAACCAATCAGCTACATGTACATACATATCTTTGCTCTCTTTTCCAGTTCGGTATTAGTTCTCTAGAGTATTAATAGTAATGACAATCCCAGTGACGATGCATGATGCATGAGCCATCAGTCAGGTCTTGGCCATCACAACCAAGATGGATAAGAAGGGGGAGGCAATGCTGCAGCTGTACTGATTGCTTTCCCTGGCAGCTGTCTTTGGCTGTCATGGCTTCTTTTTTCTGATGAAAAGGTGTTGAAGTTGATTTTTCCTAGAAAAACCTTCTCGCCCTTCAAACGCAAACCTCGAACGAAACAGCCAAACCAAACAGCTTTTTTAAATCCAAGCAGGCAACTATGCATAAACCAGGTGGGCAATTTGGAAGACATTGGTTGGGCCTGGAGTGGCAATGGTATCAAGCAAAAGGCCGTCTACAATGCTCATCTCAGACTTACATCATCGTTTCATCACCCCAGGTGGTACAACCTCCAGCCAAACGCGGAGATATTCGTTCCAGTAAAAATGCCATCAAAGAGCTGTCAGGCTCTAGCAAACAGCCTTGAGTGTACCGCTTGGGAGAGACCCTCAAACGCACGCGATGTAATACATGTAATACGTACAATGCGTATTCTACGTATTCCCGTATAATACGTATAACACGTATTACACGGTCGCCAGCCAGCCACCGTGACCGTTCGAGTGACCGTTCGTTTCGCAAAATGGCTTCAACACCAATCTCCACCAATCTCCACAACACACACCATGAGATAAACCTCTCTCCTCTTGTTGCTTTGAAGGATACAGAGGTTTCTGTTGTTATTTGAAGATAGTACCATCATTGTTGGTAAGTAGGCAATGTGGTATGGCTTTGTTGAAGCCAAGAAGACTGTTTCTGTGGAAAGATAGAAGGATTTCTCTCCATTCAACTCCTTCTTCATTCTCCTGCCCCCACTCTCTTTATCAGGCTTTGTCAAGCTCACAGGACCATTCTCTTTGCATTCATATACTTCTGAAGGCTCACTGACGAAGCCTGTGGAAGATCTGGCCTTGATTTTCACCATCATCAACAACTTCCTGTAGGGACCAGTACTGAACCCATGTAAGTACCCAAGCGCGCAACACGTGTTATGCATGATATACGTGTTATATGTGTTATATGTGTTACCCATGTTACCCGTGTTATACATATTAACTGTGTTGTACGTATTAACTGTGTTATACGTATAACACGTATTACCTGTGTTATATGTATTACCTGTGTTATACGTATTACCGTGTTATACGTATTACCTGTGTTGGTCGTATTGTGCATGTTACCCGTGTTTGTTGTCTCACATATTTTCGTTTTCTTCATTAGTATTTTCGTTTAGGCATCATGTCGGGTTCTGACGATGAAGATGGTGCGCAAGACGCTGGAGAAGACGTTGCTCGAGAAGAGGAGAAGGATGACGAATCTGAGGAGGAGATTCCCTTTGGCCCTGACAATCCTGGTCCTTTTTCCCCCCGAACAAATCACATTCAAGAAGCCATTCCGATGACCGCGAAGCGCCGAAACGAAGATGGATCCATCACCACGCATCCTATCTACCATCCTGGACTGTCAGCATTTTGTCACCAATGCTCCTGAGCACAGGGCACAAGTTGAAGGTCTCAGGGCTCTTGGGAGAGTTCCAGCAGCCGCTCCAGCAGCCGCTCCAGCAGCCGCTCCCTCTCCAGCAGCCCCAGCAGGCAGTCCGGCACCATCTTCCTCTGAGGAAGATGAAGATAGCAGCGTATCACACCGTGTGAAGAGAAAGAAAAGGGCAAAGAGGAATGGCTAGATTATCTTTTTGATTTCTTGGCGGGACTGGTCAATGGCCTTTCCCTGACACTCTTTCTTGATTTGTCGGTTTCTGGTAAGCTTAACATCACACCAGTCTGACCACTATGCGCAGACTTTCCTTCAATCTGCAGCTTCAAAATCTCACTGTGTGCTTTGTCCAATGCTTCTCTCAGGATTCTATATTCGTCCACAGAATTGACCACCTTTGCAACATCGGAAAACTTTGGTAGTAATGTCTTGTACGCACCACGCACATCTATAGCAGTAGCAATTTCCACATCACTGTCAACGTAGTCATCCGTAAGTGGAAAATCGCTCTGTTGTAACTCCGAAGTCTGGCTCTCTTCCACCAATCCCACCATCTCCTCACCACTCTCCCAGGTTCTTGTTGCATAGTTTTTGAATTTCCTGTTCTGCTGAAAGATGGGAGTCCAGTACGATGGTTCCCTCAACTTGATTTTGTCCAGTGTCTCGAGGAAGAATTCCAAGGGAGCATCGCCTTTTCCAACTTCTTTCCAGCACACATGATTGGGTAAATCGTCGGTAAGTAGAACACCAATCTTTTGACTTGGATGATCCCTCAGTCTCTCGAGTCGTTCACTCATTTCCTATGAGGCAAATAGGACAACGAACGATTTTGTTGGGTCGGATTGCAATCGGGCAAGTAGCCTGTCTGCAGCTGTCGCCTCCCTGATGCGGTACTTGAGAGATGGTACCGTCCGGCTTACCAAAGACAAGACAACTCTTGATGCAAACTCTTCCTTAGAGATTCAATTTGTTTCGAAGTTAGAGATGAGCCTGTCCGTTCATTAAAGTAAAGTCTTAACAACACTTGGCGAGAGGTGGTTCTTTAGGCATTGTTCCGCTAGTGTAACGGCTTCTGTGCCAAGATGAGTACTTAACACTTTCACTTTTGCCTCTTCTAGTTGTACAAGGCCACGATGAAGCTTGTTGCCTGTCTGGAACTTGGGTAGATTACCATCGTCTGTGTTCCTGCTATATAGAACATTTGAAAGAGAATGGACATTTGACACCCTCCCCCTCAACAGGAAGCTGAGTTGGTGGTTTTGTTGCTGTCCTTTTGGGACCTTTGTTTGTAAAAACGACTCCTTGGACAACATATGGTAATGGATTCCGCCTCTTATCAAATCCCTTGTTTTTGATGCGAATCCAGCAGTCTTGCAAGAAGTACAAAGTATGGCATCAAAACTTCTTTAATATGCGCCGGATCACAAGATGATACATCGAAGGTAGCCAATAAACCGTCGATTTCTCCATTCGATAATTATCGAACCCCAGAGTATCCATAATGTTTATCTCTTTGGCGTATCATCAGCTAGTGAGGTTGCTAATTCACAATGATGGAAGCAGGAGTCCATTCTTATCATTGATATTGTATCTAGCAACATGAGAGAGTTCAATAGGTAAGAGTCCATTTTACTTTGATAAGCTGTCAGGTATTATGGCCTGCAACAGTGCATCTTCCCTCTGCCTCCCAAACACCTGGAAAACACCTGGCAAAAAAACTGGCAAAAATTCGTCACTATGTATTATACGTAAAACACGTACAACACATAATACATGTAATACGTATAATATTGTTCCACTTGTGTTATCTGTGTTGTACGTATGACTTGTCTAATACATATTAAAAATGTTATATGTGTAATACATATGATCTGTAGAATACATAGTAAAAATGTTATACGTATAATACAACCGCGTGCGTTTCAGGGGCTCTCGTTTCAGTGGCATCCGGCAACAAGGTGGTCGTTTAGCAGAGGCAGGCTAGGACTCATCTAGGTGTGCTCTAGGCTGGCCTGGAATATCAAGGCCTTGGCTCGGCTAATCATTAGAGCATCAGAACATGATACTGCTAATGCTAGCCAGAATGGAATGCTACTAGACTACAAGGTGGGGTGGGCAAGGAGAGATCTCTCTCTGCCAAGGGTTGGGAGCTCCCAAGCTACTAACGGTATTGGTAGGTACTAGCTTTTCAGTAAGCTAGAGCTACACACGTACGTATGCATAGATCTTGTCTACTTTAAAAAAGCAAAACTCAACCAACCGGCCGCGGCATCCCGCCGGTATTGAACTAGAACTGCCACGTCGTTCTGACAGAGCTACCCCCTTCCAGAAAAGTCATTCGATGACTCATGGCATCTAGATCTGATAGAAAACGTGTACAGTGAGTTACAGTGTGGGTTGCTGGAAGCTGTTGCTGAAGCTGTTGCTGAGCTGCTGAGCTGTTGCTGAGCTGTTGCTGTTTCTTTTTCGAAGGCAGTTCCGGGGCAATAGATATATGGATATAAATTCTACTCCCGAGTATACTGTACGAAAGTGTACTCAAAAACGTGTAAGAGTTGCTGTTTTTGTTGGAAGGCAGTTCCGATGGCAATAGATAGCTGACAGATACGGTTTGGTATTAAAGCATACTTGAGGTTGCAAAGGAGCTTTATGTGTTTTATTGATGTACTCTTCAGCAATCTTCAATATTTTCCTATGACATCTATCTTGTACACATATTGAAGCTCTGAGTGACTGTGGGTCTCTGGAGACCTCAAGGTGAACTCAGAGCTAACTCAAGATACTGGGGGCATACTGTAGAGAATTGACCAGGACAAGTGCTTTCCTAGTTTTGGAGCCAAAAGAACAGATGTGGATATCCGATAGACAATAGTAGATATCTTTTGTAGCGGGCTTCTCTGACGTCGCCCTGATGTTGCAGATTTTGTGGCCTCTTGTGGCACTTTGACAGGGCGCTACGGACAGTTGGTACACGCTGGATGGAGCCTTTCAAGATGGTACGCGCTGCTGGAGCCCTTGAAGATGGATGGCTGGATGGCTCGAGTCCGCACATCGCCGTCCCGACTGCCACACAACAATTTTGAACTCACAAATTCAAGGATAGAAACAAGACAAGACAAACTTCGCTGGAACCTGCTTCTCTCACACTGCCAACAACACAAACACCCTTCAAACACTACTACCTGCTCAGACCAACCCATCAAATCACATTACTACAATGATTGAGAACAAGGACCAACAACAACGCAAGGACGAGAGTGGTGTCCTTGGACGCCTTGTGGACGAATCCGGTGAGCTGAAGGAGCCATCTCACTGCATTATCCAGTATGGAGGACGGGTGCGCCTCCCTGACAAGCTGATGGAGATCCTCAACAAGGACTTTGAACCCGACACCATGTGGTGGCAACCAGATGGAGAATGCTTTGCCTTTGACTCGGAAACGGTCCAGAAGAAGATCCTCGATGTTTGGTTTCGTGGGACCAAGCTCACCAGCTTTATCCGATCGCTTAACCGATGGTAAGTCACTGAAAAGGAGTGTCTGAAGGCAACTGGCAATGATCTGAAGGCAGCTTTCTCACTGATGATTCCTTCGTTCTTCCTGATCTTTACAGGGGCTTTCGCCGTGTCTTCTATCATGCACTGCCAGAGTCTGCCTTGGCATTTCACCATGCCGCCTTTCGCAAGACCAGCACTCCAGAGATGCTCAAGTCCATGAAGATGAGCAAGTCGGGAAAGGCCGCTGCTGTCGTCGCCGTCGCCGCTGCTGCTTCCAAGCCTGAACAACCGAGGACTGCTGAAACTACTTCACTTCACGCTTCCCTCTACCGTCAGACCCTCGAGTCTCCCATGATGGCTGTCGGCAACACCCGGCTGTCCACGCTGTCTCAGTTGGCAGCAGCTGCACCACCAAGTTCCCCTTCTGCCTCCCTGACGGCGTTGCTGCCTCAGCTCCCCCTGACCACCACCTCCACAGCTGTCGCTGCATTGGAACAGCAACAAAAAGATGCGAGACTCCTCCAGCTTTTGAGTGAACACCGCAACCGTGACTTGCTCACAGCGGCAGTGGGACGAAGGGCTTCCTTGCCTCTGGCGGACGCGGCTGCCAGTTCCACTGCTACCTTGCAGAGAGCGCTCTTCGCGGAGCACCAACAGAGGAATGACCAGCAACAGCAGCAGCTACTGGCACTGGCCCGTGTCCGTGCCGAGCAAAATTTCCTTCGTGCCCAGCAGCAACAAGCGCAACAGCAAGCGGCTCAACAACGTCAACAAAACGATGCCGCCATCCAAATGGCTCTCATGGCACTTGCGTCGTCTCGTAACAGCCCAACTCTGCCCTAAAGTCAAGCAACGAAGCAACTAAACGGGCAGCCAGCAAGCAACTACTATAGACGGGGTTTCCACCGGGGCGCCAAGAAGCACAGCTCAAACTACCAGGAGAAGCAATCAAACACTTGATCATGTTCTATGTCCAATCATTGTACCCTACATCCCTTGTCAGTGAGGCACTATTAAGCGGCCAATTTCATAAGTACTACTACATACTAGATCATACCAGTCAAACAACACCCAAGCATCTATACCTGTAGCATCTACATACATGAAGACAGTTGTCCGCTTGAGCCTGGTAGCAGCCAGCTACCGGTAGCCTACTAGCTAGCTAGTAGTCCGGTTTTGGTGGTCTCGATCAACCCGTGATTGAATCCATGCTAGGGATTGAGCCAGCTTGCAATGAATGTCGTGGTTCTGACTGGTTGCAGATGTCTTCTTGAACCGCTTGGTCACAACGGACAAGAGAGGGGTAGAGTGCAACACGTCATGGTGAGGTTGCTCCTTCTTCCCATCTTTGACTCATCGTGGAGGTGAAACTCTTGAAGCAGGAAGCGATTGCGTCAGAGACACCGAGCTCAGTCGGGTGTCATGTCAGAGACGTCGAGTCATGCTTCAAGGACGGTCTCCAAGAAACGAAAGCCCTTCAAGTTACAGCAGGGTTAAGGATAAATGACAGGAGTGACATCCAGTGGTGGACAAAATATCTTTCTCAAACCAAGCCACTGCACGTACATGTTGGAGTCATGGGCACAATCCAACGCTGCCGTGACGCCAAACCAAACGAACTAGACTAGCTAGACTAGAGACGAGAAGGTGGCGATGAAGCCATCATATGTTTGAGAGTGTTATCCAACCATGCATATTACAAGGTTTGACCTGACTTCAACCATGTGAAGCTTCAGCGGAGAACCATGCAAGAAGAGGATTGTGCACTACGAGGAGTAGGCCTAAAGTCGCTTTCAAATAGTGCGAACTGTTGTGGATGGGGACTCGAACCCCAAACCAAGCGATAAGCTCAGCTGGCCATCAAGGGAGTAGCAGAACCTTGACCACCAAAGAAACTAGACTACTCTTACATGCAAGTGAATACCAGGCAAGAACAGACAATTGGCTGGACTGTGGATTCGGAAAGGTGGAGCGAAGAAGATGATGATGGTTTCCAAGGACAGAAACGTTTGTTTTCTTTTAAATAGGAAATGTTTTCAAGGTGCATGCATGATGGTGGTCAAACAGAAAGGGTGTTCCAGAGGAGGAGTGCTGTTCAACCATGCATCTTACTGAGTACAAGGTATGACCTGACCGAACCAAGTGAGACTGCACTGGAGATCCTGCAAAATACCAGGTTAGATTAGAACAACGTAGAAATAGGATCGATTAGTTAAGCTGAGTATACAAAAAACAGTACAAACCTCCCCTGTAGACGGTGGTAGGCGATCTACAGGACGTGTAGAGCCCTACCACCGTATACGTACACGACGGTGGTAGGGCATGTACCTACGTGTATAAAGCTTACCACAGCCGTGTAAGTAGACGGTGGTAGGGCGTTGAACGTGCTGTAGGAATCCTACCACATCCGTGTAAGTAGACGGTGGTAGGGCTCTACGCGCTGACATCATCGAGTACCGGTTCAACTTAAAATAAACACCCTCTTTTTAAGATAACAAGGAACAGTAACGGCCCTTCTGTTAAGATAACACGGAACGATTCAGTAGAGCTATCAGTAGCACTATCATACCAGTCAGCTAGCTAGTGGCTAGCTCGCTATAGCACCAGCTACCAAGCCCCTCTGGGGTACATTGGACTGGTTACTTTTGGGGGTACCGATGCACTCAAACATGTGCAACTAGATGCCTTTGCCCAGACTAGCTTAACCCTCCTCCTTCTCCCCTCTGGAGCCCCTTCAACTAATCACTTTTGGGGGTACCTAGAATAGGATAGCAAAATTTGATAAGCTTGCTTATGATCTGGAATGGAGGATGCTGCGGCTTGAATAGTAGGGCCTTCCACTTTCAACAACCACCGTAATACTAATGCAGGACCACCGGCGTCCCCGGGGGGTAGGGGGGGCAGGCAGTTCTACTACTAGTTCTAGGGGACGCCGGGGGTCCTCTAATGCCTCGTTTGTCTCAGCAGTTGTTTGATGGGACACTATGATACGGTTTCCCTAAGGCCTAGTAGCCAGGTCTGTACATGTAGCTAGCTAGTAGCCAGATTCGAATACCACATTGCTGGTAGCTGCTCCTTGGTGGATTTCCTTTCGTCATTCAAACATTCAAACAGAACTTCCGAATTTCCCTTCTTTTTCTTTAGGTCTAGTACACCATCCGTTCCATTTCGCATTGTTCTGTCCGGTCACTCTTTCTTGCTAGATATTACGAAGGCAGGGATAACCACCAGCTACAAGCTCAGCTACATGTACTAGTACCGTGTCCTGGCAGTGGCGGCTGCGTTGCATTGGCTGGCTGCCTGGCAGTGGATGCGGTGCGTCTATTGCAATTGTCACCGGTGATTTCTGGGATATGGCTTACCATTACATGCAGCCAAGACTGTGCCATACTTCTTAAAAAAATCAAACCTTCCTCTCTAGCTAGACTACTGTACCGGTAGCTGGCTAGCTAGTAGCCTGTACACTGTGTGGCCATTGGCCGGATGATGCGGTATGGTACCACTAGGCTGTATGCCTCCCTCTTTTATGGCTGTGTTGCAATCTTTGTTACAATGACCAAAGCGGGCCAAACGGGACCAAGCTGGCCGACTGAGAATTCGGAGAAAAGAACCTTGTGATACGTCAGGCGTCAGACAACCTCTCAGTGGTTTCTCAATCTCATTTATTTTTGCTTTTATTTATTTTAGTAGTCTACACGTCTACACTACCGGTACTAATTGTCTACTCGAGTATTGATTATTTTATTAGTTTTGTGGTACACCTTGCAGCCACTAAACAGCAACTACGGAGTAACAACTAACAATCCACGAGCTGCTTCTTACGTTCTTCTTGACCATTATGCCGCTTTGGACATTTGTGGCACATAAGCATGAGTCCCTGGAGTTCCTCCCCATTATCGTTTTCCATTTCCAAACAGGTCATCGTTGAATCCTTAGACCTTGAATATAAGATACGAAAAGAAAAGCTGGGGAACGTTCGGCACTGGCTAGATACAACACGTAGATAGTTAGCTACTAGCTAGCAATCATACAGTATTTTCCAAGTTTGCCATGGCCGGTGCCTGGTAAGGTACCAGGAACCGGGAGCCAGATATGAAGTTGCTAGCTAGCTAGTAGTAGAGCTAAGATAGATGCTCAGTAACAATTATCAAGAGATGATACGATGGCTTGAAAAGAGATCTCAAATCGGAGATAACAAATCGCAAAACTTTCTCTAAAGAAAGAGATGCGATGCTGCTTGCTGGTACTGTACACAGTGTACTAACTAAGCGCAGGGTTGGGTGATTAAAACAGCTTGGAGGTGGTACCTTACAGCTATCGCTGCGTACAAGAATTTCTACTTTATAATAACAAAAGACAAAAGATGCTAAGTTGCTCTGGTGGTTGATCATCAGGGGCAAAGATACACAAATCAGCATTTTTACTACTGCTAAAGATAGAGAGTCCATCCGGATGAATGGCGGATCGATGTGAAAAACTGGTGCAACTTTATCGAGAAATCCACACTCATGATTCGCGGCTTCCCCGGGACTCATCGTGTCGCACCGACACAATACAAAAACCAACCACACACGACGGAACTATCTCTCTATCGGCATGCATTCACAAGCTTTCCACAGCACATTCTTTCCTTCAATAGCAAGCATGGCGCGGAGTGTCAAGAGGGCCTGGAGAGTGCTCTCAGAGAGGCTTGGTAGCGGCTAAAATAAAGATCTTAGTGTAAAAGCGTGTTCCGATGTTGCCTGTGGGAGAGATAATGTGATGGCATTGGACCTCCACGGCATGAAATGAAACCATTAGAAGAACGTTTCGCAGTAGAGTGTAGGCAAACTGACAAGCGTGCTGACAAGCGAACTGACAACAATCAACCATTTGGTTTCGTTCCGCGGCACAAGCAACAGGAAGATGGCTTCGACTGGAGACGATACCGACGGTGATTATGCCTCTGGGTTGGATAGCTACGATGATGTACTCCCCTTCCATCGTGAAGATGACATTGGCTGGCGAATGGACCTTTCAGAGGAGGAAGAAATCATCCAGAGCTCTAAGAAACTTTGGAAAATGGTCGACACCGTTGATGAGACAAAGGCTACGGTTGGATTAGCTCTCGGCACATCATGGGAGCAAGCCAAGGATGAGATGGAATTCTTTCGTGACAAGATGGAGCAGAAGACAGGCAGCAGACGCCCTAAGCTACGTGAAATCATCCATTTGATCTTTGGCCCCCCCAGTACTGTCTTCAGAGCGTTCGTTGCGGAGGGTATATTCCAAGATACCGAACATGCCACATTCATCCGATTTCTAACTACGTTCTTCATGTCTTGCTGCTACCAACTCTCAACCAAGCAGCTCTTCGACAAAGATTCTCGAATCAAAATGGATGGAGCAATGACAAAGGAAGAGTACACAACAACCTGGAATCGAATCGGAGCGGCATCAACCCCATCAATGGAAGACCGCAACAAGAATCTCACTCCACCCGGGCTGGTACCTTTTTGGGTGAAGCTGGAAGTCGCATTCAACGCGTACAGCCGTGAAATCTTTGTGGAGGGGTATAGCGGAACGCTACAATGCACCATCGATGATGACAAGGCCCACTATCGAGGCAACAACTATACGGCTGGATTGAAACAAGTTCGCCACACGCAAGACAACAGAAATGGCCACACGTGTCATACTCTGGTGCATTCATACTCGCAAATGCCTATTCAGATTGCCTGGGAGAGACAACAGAGCGACTCGTCAGAAATAGCCACTCAACGATGCTTTCGGGGCGCCATCACCCCATTGGCAGCTCCAGGAACCGCACCGGGTGATCTCCTCCACGTCCGAACTGGGCAAGACCGTGGATACACCAACGCATCGTTGCTTCACAACTACTTTATGAAATCCGGAGCAAAGATTACGGCTGGAACTGTTCGGAGGCAGCACTGCATCCCGATGACCTATTGTCAGAAGTTGTTAAAAGGCGACAAGAGGATTGACATCCCAAAGACGGGCCCCAAGACATTCTTCACCATGGAAACAACTTCGCACGGCCGGAAGTTGTATTGCTTCGCCTTTCGAAGTGGCACCGGTGGCATCAAACCAAAAGATGGCGTCACACTTGGAATTTCAACTGAATTTGGAGCCGTCCCTGAATGGGAGCTTGTGCTAGAAAACCCAAGAGACCTGCAGTGGTACGATGGTGCAACGCCTCTGTCTGTTGAAGAAAAGATTCGAAAGTGCTTCAACAACCTCCCTCGTGATTCAACTGATGCTGATAGCAAGAAACTGAGTGATGAGTTTGTCCAGCGGCTTCGAGGACTCCCCGTCACTGCACTCAACACAACGCAAGGGACTCCAGAATGGTTTCTGCTCCGAAGGTTTTCTCTCACATCATCTACCACCGACAGAGCAATTGCAGTTTGCACTGGAGAGGAGGACTGGCTGGAGCATCCAGACTCGTGGAAGACAATCAAAGATTGCCTTGCTGGAATCCAAGAGCCTCAGGAGGAGCCTGAAGTGCCAATCTTGCAACTACCACCACACGTGCAAGAGGCTGACGAGGAAAAGGAAGAAGAGAAAGTCGAACAAGAGGAGGCGAAAGAGGAAGCGAAAGAGGAAGAGCCAGTTGCTGTAGCCGTGGAAGAAGTCACTCTCGAGACATTGTTGTCGGATGCAACACTTGCTGCCAAGATCAACAATGACGAGGAAGATGAGGTGGTTATGACAGTTGTAGAGATGCAATCCGTGCTCAGAGAGCTTGGCCATGATCTCTCCAAAGCAAAAGATCTTGTGAGGAAGGAAGCCGCTGACAGAAAGACATTTGAAGCTTGGCTGACCGTCTCACACAAGCTGAAGAAATATTGGTTCAAGAAGCTTTCGGATCTAACTAGGATCGCTGAAGGACTTGAGATTGACACCACCGTGGCGCTTGCGAGCAGGAACAAACGAGATGCGATTAGAAAGGCAATCAACGAGCATCTGCTTGCCAACCCAGATGCTGTCATTGATGTTGAAGAAGTTGTGCCTAGAGCCCGCCAGAAGGCGGACACTAGCAAGCTCTCCGACAAATTGAAACTGCAACATTCGGTGATAAGAGCTGGCTACCTGGAGCCGTTGTCAGCTGTCGCGACGAAGTACACTCGCAGAGGGCATCAGCTGGAATGCCACATCATGCGTGATTGTCTTAAGGAGCATGCTGTGGATGCAACCGAGTCTCCGTTGAAGCTAACAGCAGCCTGCTCTGCTCCGTTGGTGATGAGTCGTTCCCACAACTTCGCGAGAGACTCAATTGATTTCATTGCGATGGTTGCCGATGGAACTCTTATTGGAGTAGAGATAAAGGCACGGCTGGGAAAGAAGAAAGATCAACAGGAGACGCAACACGTGGATCAAATCCGTCGCTTGCTTGGACAAGATCGCACTCCACGGCAACGCAGAGTCAAGTACTTTGAGGTTGACGCTTCATCGGCAGAGTATGCAACTATGGTTGGAAACAAGCACGAGGCAGTACAGGTCCTTCACCATGCGTTTGTGTATGGCTTCGACTGCATTCTGTTGCTTGTTGGCGACACCTGTGGAGAAGTCATGTACGGTGTGTTCATTACAGTCTCTGCTGCTCTCCGAGAGGCTTATGGACACGTCTTGTCCGACATCTACAACAATACGCTCTCGTGGATACATGACCGCAACGAGGAAACAAAGCCCATCGACGAACAGTTGAAAGCAGTGCTGGATCAGATTGTTGTAAATGCTGCTGCTATCGACAACCACAGCTTTCGAATGGACCTTGCCCTGTGGCGAGATGTCGACCGTAACATCGACAAGCCGATCCCACGGCTTGCACGTGTCATTCCTCTTGTCTTCTCTTTCTGGAATGCAATCAAAGGAGGATCTGATGCGACTACCAACCTTCTTTGGCATTGCAACTACAGCGTCCCTTCTAAAGAGAATCAATCCATTGCTGTGGCGCGGATGCTGTCACTCAGCGCTGTTCACGTCCATCGTCTACTCCAGCTGTCGACGGCCAAAGAAGATCTCTCTTTCTATCCAAGCTTGAAGCGTTATCGAGACTCTGCCTCGGAGCGTCGACCATTCAAAAAGAGCCTCAACATGATGATCGGTGAAATGACAAATAAGAGAGCAAGAGCCGTGTCGCCACAAACACCACCACGGGAACAGGGCACCGGTCGCGCTACACGAAGCCAAGCCAACATTCAACGTCTCGATCTGCCGATGCTGGCAACAGGAAGGACTCCACACCGTAACGTGGCAGCCAAAATCATTAAGTTTGAGCAAGAGCAAGCGTCTGGAAAGATAGATGCAAAGAGCTCTGTTGTTGTTGACAGAACAAGGAACTGCCCTGGGTTTCCCATTTTCCGCGTTGGAGCTGACGGCTCAATCAATGGTTCTGGTAGCCGTGGCAGATGCGCGCATTGTGGGTGTCAAACTCACTGTTGGTGCCTCCATTGCAAGCGGTGGCTGTGCGACGGATTGAGCAAAAAGGCAGAGCAGCAAACTGACTTCAAACCACACATCGTTGTCAACGCAGACTCTGACAAGCCACTGTACGGTCAAAGCAGCTGCTTCTTTGTTCACCACTACGGAAACCAACAGAAGGCTCTTGAAAGGTTCAGTGCCGACGCCATGAAGAAGCTGGCGCCGTAAGCTTGTGGTGTGTTGCTGTCGCGGTCGTAGTGTTGTTGCCGTTGGCTCTTGTCGCCTCTACTATTGTCGCCTCTCTATCTATTGTCGCCTCTCTATCTATTGGCGCTGTTCCTATGAGGATGAACCCGCAATACCAATAATGTAATGCTTCTATAGAGCTGTGTTTGGTTAAGACTGCTTCTAGTAGTGGGCTGCATTGCTCCGTTTCGGTATAGCATTCTGTTGGAGGTAGGTCTCATCTTAGCCTCCCTCCACTCTAGCTAGCTACTATTAATAGAACGAATCAATGCATTGCCGGAACAAATATATAGTCTCACTACTAGTGTTACGCTACTATCTAGATGACTGCAGTACGTTCTTCGCGACGGACCTGATCAGCGTACACAACAGCATCGCTCCAACGACGGGCATTCTTGGAATTGCCTTTGACAATAGGAATGGTCAATTGCACAAAAGAAAGTCCCTCATTGCGCTCTTTGTTGGGGGTGAAATTGATGCGGATCAGCAAGACTTTACGACCACCATTGTTGTTGCTCTTGGAAGGTTGGATCACCAGCTCCCAGTCGTTGTCCATTGGCAACTCGTAGTGACGACGGAATGAGTGTCCGGTCTCGGTGTTGTCGAGTGGGTTGAGCTCCATACCGTCAACGGTGACACGAAAGGCCGACTTGAATCCAGTAGCATGCGGGTCCATCTGCATCAAGAGCGTCGCCTCTCCTACCGTGGTCCGGTACTGTCCATCGATGCATCCGTAAACAGTTGCATTGGCCACAACTGCGTTGTCTTGCAAGTCAGCGACGTAGAACCACATCCTTGTTGTTGCTGTTTTCCTGGACCAGGATTATGCGCTTGCCGATGGACCAAGGGCAACTTCAAAGCCAACTCCAAACCGAGGGCACCAAAAGCACATGTTGTCATTGGATTTGAATTCAAATTGGTTGCATGAAAACCGCGGCAACGTGAGTTGTCGTGTTGACGCGATCGATCCTTCTCATCTCATTCTTCCTTCTCGAAGCTCATTATCCAACCAGTCAACATGGACTCAGTACTCAATCCCAACCTTACCAACGACACCGTCTTCGCGAACGGCGTTCTCTACGCCGATGGTGACATCCATGCTGAGGAATTCAAGGTCCCAGGAGTTAACAACGGCGACCTCTTCCAAATGCAAGAGTGTATTGAGCAAGGATTTGACTTCGTTGCCGATGGCTCAAACTACACCGCCCTCTGCCACTCTCCCAAGATGCTCGACGCCTACAACATTGCGGAAATGAAGGCTTTCTTTGAGTGTTTCAACTTGTGCAAAGTGGACTATTTCGAAAACTGCGTCACCATGACTCGCCGTGGCTTGTGGAAGGGGGTGTTGAAGGTTTACATCCTTGCTGGTGGTTCCCTTGTCTCTTGGAAGCCCAAGCCCAAGCCCATCGTCGAAGCTGAGGAGGAGGCCTCCGTCGCGACGGATTGCAGCGCCGAGTTCGATGATGATTTCGTTGATATCACCGGTCAGGGCATGTCTCAGCAGACCCACATCATTTACGAGAAGATTGTCACTCCCAAGAAGATCGTCAAGCCCGTCAAGGTCACCAGTCAAGGAAAGCCCGCTGTCAAGGTCAAGGCTGAGAAAACCGTCAAGTTCGAGAAGGCTATCAGCGTGGAGAAGGTCCGCTCCATCGAGAAGGAAAACAATGCCGCGAAGGCCACGGCGTCCAAGAAGAAGACCAAAGCGACCGGTAAGCCCCTCGTCAAGCCCACCCGTGCCACCCGCCGCAGCAACAGGAACAAGGACTAGGATTCTAGCATAGTTAACAGCCATAGTAGCCCGTATTTGTGTGTTGAACAGCGGCATTTCGCCATCGTCGACTCTCTTTTCTTTATTGTGTCACTACGACTTGTTGGCTGTAACGTGTCACGGTGTCACCTTGACGTCACAACGTATTTATAGTACTTAGGCCACGTAGAAACTTTAAGTTGTCGCTGTGACACGATGATGTCATAATGTGTCACACCAGCGCGAAAAACCTGAGTGTGGATATTATACCCGCCACAACACAACAACACAACACCACAACCTTCGGCCCTTTGTCTACCTGAACATCTTGCTATCTACCAGCTAGATAGCTAGATAGCTATCTGTCTAGCTGCACTACAATGCCTTGTCTCATTCTGACAGGCCACCCCTGCGTGGGCAAGACTAGCTTGGCAGAGATTATCAAAGAACGAGCCCTTCAACACTCCTCCCAACTCATTTCCTCTGTCGTGATTGTCAATGAAGAAATGGCGTGTCCTGGTCTCACCAAGGCCCAATGCTACTTGAATTCACACAATGAGAAAAAGACAAGAGGAGCCTTGAAAACATGCTTTGATCAGGCCGTCATAGGTGGGTCTGCTTCCAAAGCTGCCAATGAAGGACAGACAGAAAAAAAGCATCAGCAACAACTCGTCATCTTGGACTCTTTGAATTACATCAAAGGATTTCGCTATGAGTTACACTGCATTTCCAAATCGGCAGGAAGACAACATGGTGTCATTTGGGTACTCAATTCCATGGATCTGGCCAAGGAATGGAATCAAAAGAGAAATAATCAACAACAACAATCCGAAGTAGCAGACAATGACAAACCCAACTTTTACTATTCGGACGCGACCATGGATGAACTCATCCTCCGATATGAGCCACCCGACGAACGAAATCGATGGGATAAGCCACTCTACAAGGTAGACATGAGACCACAGGAATTGAAGTCGCAGCAACAAAATCAGGAGGGAAAGACTGCGGGAGAGATATTGGAAAAGAGTGTCTACAATATGCATGCTTTGAGTGATGTAATGGGGTCAACTGGACAAGAAAAGGATCCAGCACAAACAGAGAACGGCGGAGTCACAATGAGAAACCCATCTGATACGACAACAACAGCTGCTGCCCCCAAGAAAAAGGCTTTCAAAGGTTTCAAACGAGCTCCAAAGACGGCCAAACCATTGGCGGCAACCGTGATATCGGCAGCTCCATCTACAGGCTCTAGCGGCAATGAAACCAACAATAACCCATTGCACTCCAACAATGCAAACAATTCCAACTCTCAGGATGAACCCATATTGTATCCCAAGGACTTTCTATATTCCTCCAAACCATCGGAACAACCAATCCATACAGATGCTTCGTCCATGGACGGAATCAACGATTTCAATACCATCAACAATGACAATCCGCAACAAAGAGGTGGCGATGCACCATCGATGACGAGACGAGGACCCAAAAAGGCACCCCGACCCGCACTCAAACAACCGGATCCCCTCACTTCTGTGGAGGAACAAGTGGATTGCATTCTGGATGCCTTTTTGTTGCATGTCAAACCATTGCAAGAAGGATCCTCCACACGTCCTCATGTGGCTGTCAGTGCCAATGCATTACATGAAATGGATGCCGTTACTCAATCAGTCTGTGATACCATTGTGCGAGCAGGAGGTGGAGTTACTGTTGGTCGGATTCCCATTGTCTTGTCACAGAGCAGCAAACAGCAACAACTGTTTCTAAAGACGCATCGAACACTGTCCCCCGCCGAGCTGAAACGATTACGACGTCAATACCTGCGATGGGTGGGGGCCCATCCACCGGAGGATTGTGAAACTGAATATGGAATTGCTGAATCCTTTGTTTCCTACATTGAAGCCCAATTATAGCGGCGCGCAAGTAGTACAAGGAGACACTCCACAACGGCATTGAAATGTGTGGCGCCAGCTAGGCGCAAACTGGAGACAGATCTCGGAATGAATCGGCAACACAAAATTGGGGACCGAGTCGCTGGTCACCCAAAATGAAGAGAGGGAGAGCCAGCAATCGAGCATTCCGGGCGGAGAAAGAGAGACGAATCTCAATCTTTTGCTATGGTCCGTTGTCGGGGTACTCAAAATGCAAAACTATTTTAACTAGACTAAACGAAGTTAATGCGTACAGAAGTCACGGCGCCATTGACCTAATTCCATCACTGTCCTTCTAACAGCACTCAATGTTTCCGCAGTCGGCTGTAACGGTGAGGGTAGGCACATTGCAGAGCTCAGTCGGGATGGCCCCGGAGACACTTGTGCCTTCTATGATAAGGGATTCCAAATTTGTCAGAGCCGCCCACTCTAACGGAATGGTCCCTGTCAGGCCTGCAATACCAAGAACAAAATAGAAATATGAGATACACAGAGTCAAGCGGTGTCACCATGGCAAAACACACTTTGTCAACATACCGATGTTACCACCGACGTTAATTTCCCTCAAAAAAGTCAATTGTCCCCAGTCCGCGGGAAACGTTCCAGTCCATTGATTGTCGTCAAGATGCAAGAACTGTAGGCTGCTGAGGCTGGAAATGGTGGATGGCATCGTTCCCGTGAGGGCATTTCGGGAAACGCTAAACAAGCGCAGATTGGACAATGCCGACAACTCCTCTGGAAGCACCGTGGTGGCATTTCCCGTCAATCCACAAAGATCCACACTGAGTTCCTCCAATTCTGTCAAGAGGCCCACCTCGGGTGCCACATACCCCGTCAACGAGTCGTCATTGAGCAACCCCAAGAACTCGATTTTATTTTCCAAATCACACGGCTGCGACTGAATCGACGCCCAGTCGCATTCGTGGAAATCGGCATCCAGCCAATTGAGTCGACGACTCAATGGCCACCTCCGACCATTAAAGGCATTAAAGAAGGTGGCCATGCCAAAGAGTTGCTGTTTCCTCCAATCCGGCAACTCTTCAAATCCGGGATATCCCTCGACAAAAAAGAAGGCTTGTCCCTGAGGGGTGCTAAAATCTCCCTGTTTGGCCACCGTTTCCGCGGACAACCCCGGCACAATGGATGTCGGTCCAATGGTGACGGGAGGCCCCGTGGGGCTCGACGTGGGAGACTCCGAAGTGGGGGCCATTGTTTCGGGTATGGCGGTGGTAGGGCTATCCGTGATTGTCATTGTGGGGCCTCCGGAAGGCATTGCCGTTGGTTCCTGTGTGGTTTCTCCAGCAGTGGGGCTGCTGGTGACGACTCCATCTGTGGGCGATGCCGTCTCCTCGACCATAATTGGGTCGGTGGGGGCAGCCGTCTCCACAACCATGGGATCAACCACTGGCTCCTCGGCGGCTGCGTCGATTGCTGGCACAGCATCTGTCACTGCGGGAGTCGGAGCAAGAGTGGTGTCGGGTGGAGCTGTTGGGTTTGCAGTGGGAATGATGGGTACCGGGGTCACGGGCACCGGTGTACTGCTTTCCTCGGCAAACATGGAAGAACTCTCTTCTTCTCCTCCACCACCACCGCATCCTCCCGTTCCACAAACAATTCCGGCAATTGCAATTCCACCCAGCAAAATCAAGGCAACAACTCCAATAGCAAACCAACGTACTCCGTTGTTTTGTTCCAGGGACAATGTGTAGGAAGCATCGGTCGTCTTGCTGGTGGCACTTGCTTCATTATTGTTATTATTATTATTTCCTCCGCTGCCTCCTTTTCCCTTTTCTTCGTCGCCTTTATCAACGGCCGATCGATTGGGCGTCCCGGGCTGGATGACTTCGTCCGTATTCCAGTTGGTTCGGGAGGAACTCATGCGAGTGGTTTCGGTCAACATGGTGGGTGGGCCGGAGGAACTGGACGCCGGATTGGTGCCACTATGGCTGTACACATCCCGGCTGCTGCCCCATTGACTCGTCACGGGTGTCACTTGGATGCGACTTGTTCCATCGCTATCGACTTCGTTCAATTTGTAGTTTCGCAATGCGGAATCACTAATGTGCATGGCGTCTTCATTTTCGACCCGCATCGCCGTCACCGGGCCCAGATCCACCTGGGGATCACCCGACATTTGAAACGGACTATCAATGGCCAAGTCCATATCCAAAGGCTCGTGTTCCGGGAGTTCAATGCCCTGGACGGGGCCGCTGCGTGAGCCTCCGACGTGGGATGGAGGATTGCTCATTGTCAATGTCGTTTTTTTGAATTTATTTATTTATTTGAAGGCGTGATTATGCGGCGAGGTGTGGCTCTGTCTTTCGCGTAGATTAACACAGGAAACTTCTGCTGACGAATGGCCTCTCTCTTTTATTAATTGTCAGTCCTGGAAAGGTTCGTCTTCCCAAGAGGTATCGCCTAGCTAGCTATAATAGCTGGTTGCTTCGGATGTGGTGGAGGAGAGAAGGGGTCCTGCTGCTTTTGTGGATTGTTGAGACTGGCAGGTTTGGTTGTTATTATCTTCAGCATTGTCTTGTCGAGACTTGGATTCTCACAAAGGTCGCGGGTGAAACATGCAAAATCCTACTGCCGGCGTAGAAACATACGTATGTAAATGTATTGCGCATTACATAAGTATTCAACAGCTACAAATGAATAAATGACGTCAATGGATTCGTTGATGCAGAAAGCTGATTTGGTGCTAAAGAGAAAAGACACCATGGGTAGCGGTAGGACAACGATGGGTCGTGGAAGAGTCAGCACCGTCTCATTTTTCATTCATTTTTATTTTGGGAAGCAGCTCGAGCCTTCCAGGTATTATTTTAGGTTGCGGAGGGCAATCTGCCTTCCGTACCAGTACATGTCCCTACTATCTAGCTAGCTAGCAAGCTACCGAAGTACCCGAAATGGACATTAGTCTTTGTTGGGCGCGAAGGCATCAGCAGCAAGAGAGAGTGTGTTTGCTTCATGCATTGGTTCCGACTGATCGATCGTTCGTTCGAGAAGGACAGAGTCACTCGACAATTGTACAGTATTTCATGGGCCGTCAGCAATTTTAGAGAATAGAAAGTAAGCAAGACCGCAAAAAAAATAGTGATTTACCCTGGTTCTTCAAATTCACCAACATGACTGTCATCAGCCGAGAAAACCAAAACCTTCCCAAGCTGGTATGTACGAAGGTACCGGTACAGTAGTACCGTATTTCAATGATGATGGCTATCAGCTCTGCATGGGAGAGGCTCGGAATGAAAGACTAGCTAGTAGCTGCATTATTACAGTCGTACCAGTACGAAGCCCGAGGGGCGAGGATTTGATTTGTGTAAAGTACAGTACGATCCTTTACCTTCAAAGATCTTCTATCCACGAATCGAATCGAATCGAATCGAATCAATCGAATCAGATTCGCCCCTGAATCTTTAGAAGCATCGCCAAAGCATCGCAAGGCACGTCGGGAGACGAAACAATCAAAACAATTTTGGCCAAGGTACTGTAGCTTGTTCCGGAACCTTCGTGCGGCATGCGGACCCTACGGCATAATATTTTCATGTATGCATAAGCCATGAGGTTGAGGAGGAAAAACCGAGCTGACAGCACGAAGGGTGCCTCTTCGGCTCGTGGCTGCTGCAACTCATGGAAAGACTCTCTTCTTCTGGTGGCGGCGGGATTGCTCTGGGTGGCAAGTCTACCAAGGTCGCAACTTTCAGCATACCGAAGAACCACAGTCAAGGAAAGTACAGTATCACCGCAGTCGTCGACGGAGACACAACAGCCCACCAATGATTCCATGAATACTAAAACGGTATCCTCAGGAGTTGTCTCCAATCCCGTGCTATCCAAGGCGCTGTCCAGAGTCCAAGGGACTGTTACAAAGGATAATGGTGAAAACATGACGTGGAGCATTACCGATTGGAAAACTGGCAGTGAGTTGGACCCCAACCATCCACCCGAATTCACGTGTCGATGGCTCAATTTCACCGCCAAAGATTCGGGCAAAACGATTGATATATGTGCGCACGAAAACGAATGGTTGAGTGGAACGATCGCACAGTATGGACGATGGGATGATTGCAATCCATTGCCGGGATTATGGAAAGACTCGTTGACAAGCGACAATAATCATGCGAACGATGCAATTTACGTGGATATTGGTACCAACATTGGGTCCTGTGTTTTGGAAATGCTCCTGTCCACGCAAGCCTCCATTATCGCCTTTGAACCCAATCCCAAGAATCAGTTTGCCTTGAAAAGTACAATGTCCAAACTTCCGAAAGAGCTGCAAGATCGTGTCGTGTTGGTACCTGTTGGGTTGGGGGCCGAATCCAGAGTGGATTCGTTGTACTTTGCCTCCAGAAACATGGGGAACGGGGTGGTCTCCAAAGTGATCAAAGATTATGTTGCACAAAAAGAGTCGGATTTTCACAAAGTCGACATTGTCATTGAACGTCTCGACAGCATTTTGACCGAAGACGCTACCATTCCATTATCAAAAATGGATGCTCAAGGATATGAATGTCATGTTATGGATGGGTTTTCATCGGGAATTGCCAACAAAATCTCACAAATCAAATTTGAAGTGGCCAACAAATGGTTGCGCGAGCAACGATGCCTTGACTTGTTTACTCGCATCCGCAATTTTGGATATGACATTTATGCTGGCACCAGGTTACTGACCGACGAGTCCAACGAGATCAAGGGCATTGAAGACACCATTGCCAAAAGGAAGGCTGCTACTAGCTAGTACGGCACAGCATGTGCTGCGAATACGCGCCTCGTCAAAGATTTGGTTGGGCTCAAAACTCTGTGAGCAACATAGGTCCACAGCACAACTGCAGATATTATCCAAAAATCCAAGCACTACCCGTAGAACTGTGACGACAGACACGACGGATGATTCCAAAAGAGAAGTCCAACCATAGCGCTTATTCAATCAACTTCATTCCGCAACAGCATCGCTCTTGGAAGCAACCTTGCTGCTTCCTCCATAGAAAAAATTCAGGCAGGATGTTAATCGCTGGAAAGCTAGCTGGTGAAGAATTGGCCTGAATGATCATGTTTCCCTTTCGACTCGAAAGTCTATTGCAGCCCGTTACTCACGCTTTCCTCGAAGTGGGTTACGAAGTTGATCCTTCATCAGATAGAAAAGGATACGGTACCGGCACTGTTCTGTTGGGCCAAGACCAGGTTTTCTACTCTTCCCAGTGAACCCAGGGCGGCTGGAACGGCTTGTATTAGAAGTAGTATAAGGGCATTTGTGCACATCACGAAACGGGCAACAGGAGCTAAAAGAAAGCCTCGGGACTTGCTTGTTTCATTGCGTCCGCGCTAGTGAATTGATTTCAGGACTTGCATCTAGCTAGAATGGACCCTCACTTCCCAAAGTCTGATGTTACGGGCTCAACAAAGTAGCCTTGCATTTGGGCAGCTGCATCCCCTTCAGCCACCACTGTGCGCTCATCCATCAGTCTCTTAATGCAGTCCATAGCCCGTGCTTCACAATGCGAGACTGCTTCTCCGTAGTCTCCAACGATGAGCGGTGTGTTACTTTTTGCATCTTGGTCGTGGCGTCCGTCACCTTGTGATTGTCCTCTCAAAAGAACCATTGATTTCCAGCCTTGTGTTTTGAGGTTCCTCCAAGAACTCGAATGCCTGAAAGGATCTCCTCCGCCTCGTCAATCTAGACGGTACTAGCTAGTAGTTCAACCAGACTGTTGTGGTCTCGCACTCTCTCGAGCATGCAAGAAAGAGCTCGCAGAGTTGCATCTTGATTAGGAGGACCTCGAGAATCAAGCCCCGGCAGCTCAAGGTCAATGATGCCGTGGACCACGTTGTCGGAAACAAGGTTGATCATTATTTGTGCACGGTTCGAGGTTCAACGCAGCAGCCGGAAACTTGATTCGATTCCGTACTATCTCTGATTAGCTGAATTGTGTCTAACGGCCACATAGATGCCTTCATCGTTTTTGGTACTATCGTGAACGTCGAAAACATGCCAACTCGTCCACTGCCACTCGTCCACATTGCCCGTGTGTCCAAGTCCGAATACTGTTTGCGAATGAAGGCCTTCACGACTTCAAGATTGACTCTAGGTAGCTGTTTGAATCGGGATCTGTAATTCTTCGGCGTGGAGTGACAGGGGAGCTTGAATTCCTTCACGTAGATGTTTCGAAGGCATTGTCCAAGTCACACCAGTACCGTATACAGTTCTGGTTTGGCGACAGCGATTCCACATTCCACCCCGTCCCGTTGATGTTGATGTTGATGTTGCGAAGACATCCTGGTGAACAGCAACGACATCAAAGAGAGAATGGACACTATGGGAATCGACTATGGTCACTATGGGAATCGAACCGAGCGCGATTTCGAGCCTCGCGACTCCGTGCCTCCACGAATGATGAATCTTACGTTGAGAAAAAGCCAACATAAATACTACGATCGATCAATGCAATTCAGTTCCTCACAAAGTTTTGAAAACAAGGGGGAAACAAACCTGCTGTTCCAGGCTGGATCCCAAATGCGTCCCTTCTGGACTTCCCTTCCGCTGTTTGCGAATGAAGGCCTTCACGACATACGGTAGAGGTGCAGCATTTTGCCACCCAATAGGTGCAGAAGCTGACGCCAACATGTGTGCCATAGAGGAGCAGAATTTTTGCCGCCAAGGTGCGCAACCCACCCCTCCCCCCACCGAAGGCGTCTCTGGCGGTCCCCGTTGATGTTGCCATGACATCTGATGAACAAAACACAAGCAAAGACACAACAAACAGTCCAAAAAGAAGCCACATTGGACATTATGGGAATCGAACCCATGACCTCATGCACATTAGCTCGGATGATGTTGCTAAGCATGCGCGCTACCAACTGCGCCAAACGCCCATTGGTGTTTTCCTTGCTTCTGACTACCTTGATGACACCTGGGTTTAAAGTTAACCCCTGCAACATCCATTCATCCTCGCGTTCATGTCGAAAATCATTGTTGATTGTCGATAGTATGATAGTATGATAGTATGTCGAAAATTAGTTGTTGATTGTCCATTCATTATTCCCCTTCCTGTCAAGTTGGCCTTCCTTCTGTGGTATTTTCCCAGCTTCTGACATCTTTGGCGACACCAGACATTATTAACGACGCCACAAACATCCAGTCTTGTTTCGTCATTCCCCATCGATCCCCACATGCCTTGATGATTGTTGGAACATTTTACCAGTAATAACCGATCTTGCATCTTGTGGCCATGCTATGAGACCGTCTCCACTTTCGAACTAAGCTTGGCGGTCCTCAGAACCACGCAAAACTTTCTTTACTGGACAGAATCAGAAGCTCGTCCACCCCATTCCGCCTCAGTCGGCAGGTAACCATGGTCGCAGTGAAGAACCTATGGGAGATAGCTAGCGAGTCTAGTAGCTAATAATGGTAAAAACCAATTGGGGCTTCTTTTATAGTCCGCTCCAATTTTGCCAATGTTACCTTCGGTACAGCAGTATCTAATGCAGGCCAATGCGGAAGAACAATTGAGCAACGCAGAACCAGCATCAGCGACATGGGGCAGCCTCATTGGATCTTTTCAGCTGCATGCCAAGAGAACCGTGAACCAAAAAGATCATTCCCGCGGCACTTTGTGTTTGCGACCATGATACTGGAAGGCACCAGGTTTTACCCGCTTCCCCAAAAAGTCGCGATAGTCGCGCTAAAGTCGCGGTAAAAGTCGCGGTATAGTCGTGCGCGACTTTCAGTTGGAACCAAATAGTCGCGATATAGTCGCGGTAAAGTCGCGGTAAAATACTAGTTATTTACAAGCAAAGTCGTCCTAAAGTCGTTCTAAAGTCGCGAAAGTCGTTCTAGTCGCGGTGAAAAGTCGCGATAAAGTCGCGGTGCGCGACTTTAGAACGACTTTCGCGACTTTGGAACGACTATTGACTATTGAGAGAACCTGGTGCCTTCCTGGAGGGGCTCCGGTTACGTCATCTTTTTGGGAATTTCTGGTGAAATCTTCTTTTCGGCGAGACTCGCATGACTCGCAAAGACCCGTTGCTTCTGACTCGCATGCATGCGAGTCAGTACGAGTCAGCAAAGGTTGTTGCGAGTCCGTGCGAGTCTGTGCGAGTCACTTCTTTCACACTCAATACCTTCATTGTCGTTGTTGCTTTCAAGTCCACAACAATGGCCGATGCTGCTCCTTTCCTTATCCACCCTCTTGTCTTTCTCAGAAAGGGACTAGAGATGTGCAACATTGACACGAAAGTACAGGCAAGACGGTACACCTCGACCAATATTCGCTATTTCAAGTCTCATTATGGTCGACACCCTCGCCACCTTGCCTGTGTGTGGAGAGATCTGCAGGTTGGTGGTTTTCTTCACCGGGACGATGCTGAAAAGGAGGATTGGTTTAACGGATTCTTAATAGCCTGCAACTTTCTTCGTTGCTACTAGACCAACGACGTCAGAGAAGCAAGGTTTCACAAGTACATGCATGAAGACAAGATGCAACAATTTACATGGTGGTTTGTTGATGCACTGGAGCAGCTTTATGAATGGAAAATCAAGTTTCCCACTGTGTGGCCAGTGATGTTTGGGGCAAGTGTGGATGGAACTCAGATGCCAACCAATGAGCCAAGAGATGCAGAAGTGAGACGCAATCCAAAAAACTATTGCTACAAATACAACATTGCGGGTCTCAACTACCAAGTTGTTCTTGCTACCTGGACAAACCGAGTGCTCTACTCTAGAGCTGATCCTGGGAGTACTCACGATATCACAGCTATGCGTGCCGAGTTTGTTGACATGGTGCCAGATGGCTGCCGTGTCATTGCAGATTCTGGCTACATTGGCAAAACAGCAAGAGAGAAGCGAGTGTTTGCTGTGAAGAGCAATATGGACGATGATGCTGTTTCTGAATTTAATGCAATTGCAAGAGCCCGCCAAGAGCAATTCAACTCTCGACTAACAACCTACAAGTGTTTGGCTCATAAGTTTGTTCATGGAGTAAAGAAACACCCCAAATGTTTCAAAGCAGCCGTGGTGATGTTGCAGTATGCAATTGAAGACAAATCGGACGCAGGTGAGCCTCTTGATACGCTTTGAGAAGTCAAGCAAGCAAGCAAACGAAGCAATAGATAGTGTTGAAATAGTACAAATTGTGCCAATTCATCTCTTCCTACTATCTTATTTTTTACGTCTAATTCAATGCTCCATGTCCTATTTCTTTGAGGCTGGCTCAGCAACCTCAGCATCATCAAGCTCTTCTTCGTCTTCGTTGTCGTCTGTATCATTGATACTACGTTTCTTTTTACTATTCTTGTCTTCCTGCTGGTTTAAGATCTTGTCCAGTTCTTCCTTTTGTTCCTGCACATAGCTGTCGAGGTTTTTGAGTTGATGCTCGATGAAAGAGGTGTCTTCACCATGGGCTTGGATGTCTTGGAAATAGTCAAGAAGAATGTTATGAGCTAGACGTTCACGAGCAGCATTCTTCTGTTGCTCCGCAAGCTCACGATAGTACTCTTCACTCTCGTAGTATTCTGGATCAACCAGGATTTCCTTGTCCTCATCATCAACATTGTTATTCTCATTCTGTTGGGCATCTTCCATTTGCTGAAGGAGTGCTGCTTCCAACTCGAGTCGTTTCTTTTCCTCGTCCTCGGCTTCTTTGTTTTCGTCTTCGACTAACTCCATATCCGATGTGCCATCACCATTTTCAATTGCTAGGTTACTATCTAAAGCGTTGTAGAAAAGAGATGGACACAAACAATTGCTTAGTATGATTCTTATTTGGCCATCCACAAGAGCAATAGATTGAGACTTCTAACTAATGGCCGCACCGTTCAGCATTTTCAGCATAATTTCGTAGTCGTCCTCTGTGGTGACTTCTTCTTCCACATCGACAAGGGAGTCGACAACGTAGGCACGCCAGACAACGAAAAGCTCGGTCACGGTACTTTTCTTGCTCGCCTTTGCATCGACAACAATCTCAAACTCATAAGGGATCGGAATCATTTTGAGGGCACCATCCTCATTGCCAACACCAGGAGAGAACTGCTCATTGCTGATCTCGAAATCAGCCGTGGCAAGATCGATGATTGTTGTTTTGGTCCGGTTAGAACGGCGATGTTTGGTTACCATCGCAGAGAGAGTTGATCCAAGCTTCTCGGCATGGAAATGATTTTTGTTCTTCTTGAGAACATTAAGCCATTTCGTCGAGTGATCAAGATACGACTTGCTCTTTGCCGGTCCTTGGATTTCAATTGTTTTACCAACAATCTTTGCCTTGAGATGACGGAGATCCGATGGCTTGGTATTAGGACGGGCGACAACAACACAGTGCGCTTGCTTCTTCCCAATCCGTTCATCAGTGCAAAGAGTGACGAGATATTCACCGTGCTGATCTTCATTTTCGAAATCGACAGGGTATGACTCCACATGATCGCGCCTATCAGCAGCACGGTTCAAACGCAAGGGACTTCCAATGACGCCGGACATCTTCTTGTTTGCTTGTCTCTTGATAGTGGGGGGGTGATTTGATTGGAACAGATTCCTTCTTCTTTGCAGCAGACGCAACAGATTTCTTCTTTGCTACAGTCTTCTTCTCCTTCTCTGGAGGCGGACAAGTACCAGTCGAACACAGCAAATCAGTGGAGCAAGAAGTCTTTTCGGAGTCAACAGGAAAGGAAATGGTCGATGATGGGTTGTAAGACATGAATTGCGAGGGAGAAGATGGAGTAGGCGTGAGATGAGGCATTTCAATGTTTGCTTTCGAAGCAGACGATAGCAACAATTGTCAGGTTTCCAAGAACGTCTTCTTCTTGTTTCGTTTCCATCTATCCATCATGAACCCAACACGCTGTCGTCTAACAGAGTCGTCACAGCCAAGCTGATCAGCATACTTCTCGCAGAGTTGGTACAACCATAGCGACTCTCGACTTGACACCTGAGGACCACCAGCTTCGTAGACGTGGCCCATGAGAAAGAGCTTGGTTTCCAGATCCAATGACTTTGCTGGGAGACTATGATCACAATCTCTGAAACAACTGCATCCTGACACTTTCCGTGTGACCATGGTGACAAAGAACTCGATAAACTTACCGAGCGTTTTTTCGAATATGGGCTTGCTGCGTCACCAAACTCTTCGTCGTCAAGGTTGAGCTCAAAGGTTTCGTCTCGAAGATCGCGACTGTCACTCATTATTTGTGAGCTTCGAGGGAAATGAGGAATGGATTGACCAAGGCTTTTAGCTCTGCTTCAAATTCAAAACGCAAATTTCAGTTTGGTTTGCATGAAAATCGAAAGCATGCCAAATGGCTAAGTGAGTATCAAAAAGCAGCAACGATCCAGAGAAGAATAGGAAGAAAGCCGGCATCAATAGCAACGAAAGATCAACAGCAGCAACGAAAGATTAACTGCCTGGGTTGATGGTTGGTTGATTGTCGTATTGTGTGCATTGATTTTGTACCCGCGCCATGTCACCGAAGCGGAAGAAACCCACCAAGGAAAATAGGCCGCCCTGCAGCCTCAATGGAGCCGATTGGGGTTATAGCGCTGCCAAGCGTCTTATTGCACAAGACATGATCGATGGACACGTACCATATAATGAGAAAATCAAAGATGTGCAGCGGTTGTTTGATCAAATGTATGCTCAACGTGATGAATTCAAAGATTTTCCATTCGATGAAGATCGGTACAAGGCCAGATTTGAGCGGATCCAAGCTTCTGTGAAGAGGTTGATTTGGGCATCGAATAAAGACAAGGAGTGTCTCAAAGAGTTTCGGCAGAAATTCCCAAAGCAATCGCATGGGCCAACCGGCAAACCACTGTGGCGTGATTCAAAAGTTGATGCACTTCTTGAGCAGGACATGAAAGATGGACTTCACTTGGAATTGAAACCAAAAGAGCTTTTCAATTATCGGAAAGAGTACAAGGACTCTGGCTTCGCGTTGCGTAGGTTCACCAAAAGGATCGATCAAAAGAGGGAAGCCGCGAAACCGTACGGAACAAACCCAATGCAAGCAGCGTCGAAAAGAGAGAAAAAGAAAAGCAGGATGACATGATGATCAAGGACCGCCCCGAGATTAGTCGCGAAGGAACCATTGACCCCTACAACAACAGTAGTTAATAGAATAGTAGTGTAGGTAGCGGCCAAATCACCATCGTCAACTAGCTAGCTTTGTTGTTAGTTGCGAGTGTTGCGAGTCAATGCGAGTCAGTGCGAGTGGGACGCACACTGGCGCGAGTCGGTGCGAGTCAAGTGTGCGAGTCGTGCGAGTCATTCCACGTGGAAGCCAAATGACAGTTGACCCAACCAGCGAGCCTCGCCAATAGTGACGTAACGGAGCCCCTCCTGGTACGTACACTGCAGTAATTTACACAGGCAGCACGCGGTTGTTATTAGTTGCGAAGAGAACTGCAAAGCTTTGGACAAAGCAAACAAGAAGAACCGCATGACTAGCAGTATTAGCGACGGCACGAATTCGAATAGCACCTGGCTTATCGAAGGCAAGCGTGTGGTGCTCCAGGGCCTAAAGGCCGCATCCCACCTAAACGGCAAAAAGGGCGTCGTGATCCGAGACCCGATCATAGAAGCTGCTGGCAGATATAAAATCCAGCTCTCATCATCTTCTTTGTCAGATGATGATGGCGAGGGAAATAAAGGCGGTGCCATTGCCATGAGCGTGAAACCTGTCAACCTAGTTCCGCTTGATCTTCCTCAGGGAGCAGCAGCCGAGGATGCCGATATGGATGCTGCTGCTGCTGAGCCACTGGCATTGACAGCGCAATCAGCTGCCGCGGCACCTCGCCAAAAGAAGTACCGGCCAAAGGTATACATGTCCGCCCGACCTGGAGCCTACAAGGCCAGTTACGATTGGAGGGCCGTCCTACCAGGTCAGCCGATCCCGAGGGGTATGGAGGTTATCATGGCGCTAACTTCTTCTTCGAAAGATGGTGAAGGTGACAACCGTGCCGCCGGTGGTAACAACAGTGACAACAATAGCCAAGACGATGAAGTACAACCAACCCTGGCACGAATACCGAGGGCATGGAAGCTCGACGTGAGGGTCCGACTACAAGTAGGTACTGGTACAAGTTCTTATGATATGGTGCGGTGCGAAGTCGAGCGAACCACGACGATGGCCGACGTAAAAACGGCGGTCCTTGCAGGGATGCGCCAAAAGAAGTTGGTTGGCAATGATGCCAACACAAATACAATTCTGGTACCGGTACTACTTTTCGTGGATGACGAGCCATGGGGTGGTACCGACGATGAGACCGTGGAAACAGCCATGCTGTTTGGAAAACAAGTCTCTTGCCAATACAAGAAGGTGTAGGTAGAGGCTACTAGTAGGCTTTGTGCCTGCACTCGTCTCTCCAGTGTATAGGACTTTTGTACTTGCCCATCCCACCGCCTCCAATGAATCGTATGACTCGACTCAAATTACGAAAGTGATGCATGGGCCAAACATGCCTTCAACGAGATGAGCCAAACAGGCATACACCACTAACAGCAGTCCGAGCGAGCAGGAGATTGTTGACATCTTCCTCAGGGGCATATATATGGCCAGCAGCACAGGAGTGTAGTCCAACTGTCATACGGGACGAGTCCCATAGCAATAGAGACCTACTGACCGATTTAGAATATTCTCGGAACGTGGAACGAAAGTTTCGCTGATAAAAGTGAAGGAGTGAACATGATTATAGCAAGTCAAGTCAGGCTCAGTTGGAGGCATCGCATCCATTGTCCATAATTTTTGTGGTTGTTGTCGAGAAGAAACAACATCACAAAGCCCGAACATGAGTGTTTGCTCCTTGTGCGGTGGAGATCGCGTGACCTCGACACAGAGACGAAAGCCGAGAGCTATCCGAAGGTGCTCGTCATGTATCCTAAAAAGTAATTCATGTCCAAGCATTTGTTCAACCGCCTACTCGAGCCATGAGGAGGATCCTCAAAGCATTTGCGACGACTATCCCGAAGGTATTTCTGTCGATGTAATCGGCAACAATGGTGCTACTATCCAGCAAACTCAGACAAACTTCGGCAGAAGCATTCACTCAGAACACGACAGCAATTACTCCATTGTCATTGACAACGAACGACGCCAAAAGAGCCACAAGGGAAAGGAAGAGCGCGAGCGCATCGCGGTGATTGTCAAAGTGGACGGCAGAAAGGTGAGTCCTTCTCCAATTCTGATAGGCAAACAAAGGGAGATTCATGGTTTCACCCTGACTCGAACGACCGTTGAAAGGCATGCCCGTGGTGAAGACAAAAACGATTACGAGATTAGAAAGAAAACCGCTTTGTTCCGAACGGTCTCTTCTGGGGATGAATGGTCCAAGCGCAGAGGCAAGATTGACAGCAAATCTGGCACAATTGAGTTGGAATTCTTCCGGCTTAAAATGAGTACCATCCAGCCAGGAGTTCGTACCCGGAAACAAAGAGCAGTCCAGCAATCATCATCTCCTGGACGGGCACGGGAGGGCCTGGTATCGACACGCTTTGGGGAAACCGTTACAGAGACTGATGGTTTTCACCGTGGAAAAGGAAACAAAAAACCAGTTGCAGATCACAGCAAATCTTTGGGGAAGATCAAATTGTTTCTGTGTGATCGACGTGTCGCGACTTTTGGCGACCACTTGCGCTAATAGGGTTGTGGCTGGGTTGCTGTTGCGTCTCCAGTACGGTTGACTGGTTATTCTGTTGCCCACACTAAATATGTCAGAGAGGATTGTTCCTGGATTAGTAGGTGGGAACATATCGTAGGTTAGCCCTATAAATGCATAGCAAGAGCAACAGCCACCTCGATTTCTGACTGTTAGTTTATCAGCTACCCATTGCTAAGAGCTACTACCAGGTACCAAGAGGATTATTGTTGACCCTTGTTCGGGGATTGTGGGCGCCTGGAACCTTTTTCCTTGCATCGAAGACCCTGTGCAGCCTGTAGGACTTTCAGCTGTCTCCAACGTAACTGTGAACCAAAAAGATCGTTCCCGCGGCATTTTGGTTCGTGACTAAAACGAACCTGCATCGCTCACAACATCAACATCACGACGCTTCAACCCATCCCCTTCATCTCTTCCATTTTCTCACTCTCTTGTCTTCGGGGCAAGCAACTAACGCAACCATGATCATCAGCAGAAGCACAGCAACAACAAACCTGTGTCAGCGGGCCAAGAAGTCACGGTGGAATTTTGTCAACAAGAGGAACTTGGCGGCGACGACAATCACAAGACGCCCACTGCAGCCGTTTCTCTTGGAACGGTTTGATGGATGGAATGATAGTACCATGTCCTTGTCGTCCAGTGAATGTGAAGCTCTCTCGTTGAAAGAACTGATGACATATGCCGATGACAAAGGATTGGAACGGTGGGACTCTTTGTCATTGGGATATGTGGAGCCTTCGAATGGCAGTGACTATCTACGAGAAGAAATTATCAAGTCACAATTCAACAACCAGCTCACACAACTGGACCCGTCCTATAGCGTCAATGTATGTGCGCCGCAAGAAGGAATCTTTCTGGCAATTCAAGCCCTCTGTCAACCGGGGGATCATATTGTTGCTGTGGCGCCGGCATATCAGAGTTTACACGAAGTCGCTGCATCGATTGGATGCGAGGTGTCACTGTGGTGGCCCGAAGAGCGAGAAATAGAGGTAGAGGATCGTCAGCAGACAAAAACTACTACTACTTGCATGCACTTTGATCCCTCCACTCTGGAACAACTGATCCAACCCAACAAGACCAAACTCGTCATTGCCAACTTTCCTCATAATCCCACGGGTGCGCTGCCATCCCTTGAAGAGTTCCGGGCCATGGCCGACCTGGTGGGTGGTATGGGTAACGCGTGGTTCTTGTTGGATGAAATGTATCGAGGGCTGGAACATGCCGGTGCGGACCATCGACTACCTCCCATTGCCACGGTCATGCCTCGTGGCATCTCGTTAGGAGGGGTTTCCAAGTCGTTCGGATTGCCCGGTCTCCGCATTGGATGGTTGGTCAACCAAGACAGAGACTTTCACAAACGTGTGTCGGAACTCAAAGATTATACCACCATTTGTCCACCTGCCCCCTCCGAGGCATTGGCATATATAGCCCTTCGAGCACAAGAGCAACTGTGGCAACGATCCCACAGTATTCTGCAAGAGGGTCTGCCGAGGCTGCGAGAGTTTGTACAGGCAACAACTGCAACGGCTCAAGACCGCTACTCGTTTGAATGGTGCGAACCAATGGGAGGAACCTTTGCCTGGGTCAAGTTCTCGGATCGCCATGGTACCACCACAGCCAGTGAGTACAGTGAGGCAGTGCGACAACGGACTGGGCTCATGATGGTCCCAAGTGGTCTCTTTCCCGAATGCTTGCCTGAGAATGATCGACTTCGAATGACGTATGGGAAGAAGGGGGTGCCGGAATTGCTGCAAGTGTTGGAACGAGACCTGGCGTTGTCACGAGAGGAGGATCTGTAGGACATCATGCAGCAAAAAGTCAAAGAGCAAAGCATGCATCTATCTTTTGAATGGCTGGGGACTGGCTTCAACGAACTTGCACTAGCTAGCTAACGTGAAGTGGGCGGCCTACTAACCGAAAAAGTAAGTGTACGTGTCCCAAATGGTGCCCGTGCCGATATCTCGGCCAAAACAGCAAAAAGGATATCCATTTCATTCTCTCGCCGGTCGGAGTCAAACTAACTGTAGACCGGCAACTCTTCGTGGTTTACATCAGGAAGTGCTACAATTCTGGTGCCTCCAGGTTTCGACAAGGGAGTTTGGCAAAAGCATGTTATTGTGAGAAGGAAAAGATAGCATTTTATTTGCTACCACTGGTACTATCTATCTACTAGCTAGAAGGAGAAGGGTTGAAACCACAAGTATGCACTTGCAGCTGCGAGTGTGCCAACAGAAAGGAGAGCATGAGCAAAGCTGGGGTTGTTGCTGACAGCTGCAGACTCGCCGCCACCACCTCCTCCTGCCTCTGGATTGCAGACAGAGTCTTCGATGCCACAAATTGTTGCTGTGGAGACAGAAGAAGAATCACCTGAAAGAGTCCAACGCTTCCAAGCTGTTTTATCATCACATTTTTGCTGCTCTGTGTTCACTCCTTCACAAACCCATATGAATAACTTGCAAGTGCCTGAATCAATGTCGCAATAGCTGTTGGGATTGTTGGGACACTCCCTGGCACCACAATCATAGAATGTTGGAATGCATTGCGTGATGTTGGCCTCAGCATCCTTATAGCAGTATTCATCTGCCGCATCACAAACTTCACTTCCGCAAGTGGCATTTGGTGGCAATGTAGTAGCATTCCTACCGGTATCTGCACCGGTAGTTGGCATAGCTGTCGTGGCGTTTCCAGTATCAACGGTGGCATTTGGCATGTCAGAGATTGAAACATTGTTACCAGAAGAAGGACCCATTGTGGGGTTGGCAGTACTCGTAGCGTTCGTTGTCATATTTGCGGGCATCATGCCGCTGGGAGACATAGTTGTTGCAGAGGGATCCCCGGCGGGAGACATGGTTGGAACAGTGGTGTTTGGTGCGGCGGTGGCTGGAGCGGTGGTATTAATAGCTGGAACGGTAATATTTGGAGCGGTGGTGGATGCGTTGTTTTCCGCAGGAGCACCAGTCGCATTGCCTCCGATATCAACAACAGCGGACGTTACATCTATATTGGGGTCACTCCCCAGCCCTGACACCTCAAATCTGACGTTTTGGCCCTCACCCTCCAAAACGGTGATGACGACTCCGGATTCTGCGATAAACCCATCGGCATATGCATCGGTGTTTGGAAAGACTGTGTTTCCTCGACCAGGCCCTAGAACCTGGCCAGGCTGCCACAAGTCTCCGGCGTCACCCTTATTTTCGCCTTTTTCCAGGTTGTAGTTTCCATCAGCCTGTAGCATGGCACATGCATAGTGCTGGTTATTTTCCGGCCAACCCTCTTGCCCTGGATAACCCCTTGTGTCCTGCTCCTTGGCAAAGTCGTCGATATGATAAATGCCAAGACCGCTGCCATACAAAAACTTGTCGAACTCCAGTTGTTGCCTGTTTTCCAAGAGCAAATATTCTTCTTTGGATCCAAATGAGTTGATCACAATCTTGTATGAGTCGTCTGCAACTTCCAGTGGCTGTAATGTGAAGACACCGTCATACTCAATCAGCTTTGGGGTACCCCAGCCCGCGAGGAACGTGGAGTACGCATTCAGGTGTCCTGGCAAATCGGCATCACCATTAGGACCGTATGGGTCCCCTGCGGCACAAAGGAGTATGGGCGGTCAGTTCACGTGTGACTCTGTCTAGGTGCAGTACAAGAACAACAAACCAGTTTACCTACCCATGATATCGAATCCGCCAATACCATTACCGAGGAAAGCGTCCTCTCCAGTTTCATACAAATCCTGTTCAACGAAAAGCAAAAATCAGCCGCAACCAGACGCATGGTGAGACAATGGATGGGTGGCAATTTCGGAGCAACAAATCTCTTTCGGTACGAGCTAGTACTTACAGGAAGCCCAAACGTATGCATATATTCATGCGCCGTCAGCCCAATCTTGGCAGGGACCACCCCTTCGGAGTCCTCAAAGGACGATGCGACGGTGTAACCCCACAATTTCAAGTCGAGTCCATCGCGCTTGGAGAGCCATGGATCATTCCCGCTAGTGGTAAACGCATGCGCCCAGATTCTGTCTTCCCACGGGGTATCAAATTCATCCGTTTCTTGCGTTTCCGAGCCATATCCACTGTGCATGCACACTACCGAGTCGATTTTTCCATTTTTGTCTTGATCAAATGGCGCCCAATCCCAAGAAGGGTCCTGGTCGAGTGCATCCAGGACCGGCCACAGTGCCTGTTGAAACTTAATGTCGATGCCTCTCTTGCCATCCAAATTATAGTGTAACTCTGTGTTGTCGGTGTCTAACCAATCAGTTACAACGGCTTCAACCTTGTAGACCCCATGGCTGTTGACTTCGAACCATCTCGCTGCCCTTTCGTTCCAAAAAGCCTCAATCTCTTCCTTTGGAACCAGGGGGCGCTCTTGATGATCTGTAAACCGAACAAGCAGGACCAGTACTCTGATGACTCCTTTGTTGGGATTGAAACCCTCAGGTCGGACGTTGGATGCCTGCACTTGTTTATGTTGAAAGATGTTGGAAAGGGCCCGAAGACTGGAGGCGTGCTCAATCATACCCTCGTCTGCGTTTCGGCATGCCTCCTCTGTCAAGAATCGACACGTTTCCTCATGGAGCAATCGAGGTGTATAGTTGAATGCCAAGCCTAAGCGTGATCTCATGGCTCGCACAGATTCCCACTCGTCTCTCTTGTGTGGCGGGGGAGGTATCCATGCCTCGACTTGGACTGGACCATAATACTGGAAATGGTGGCAGGCTGCAAGGAGGGGTAATACCCTTTTCAAAAGGGGAAACAACGGCGGAATCATCTTGATTGCATCAATCTGTTTGTGCAAATTAGACTATTGTTTGATGCGAGTGCAATGGTTGAGTTGCCAAAGAAGAGTAGTCTGATGGACGTGTGCTTTGTCTGGACCCACCGGCATGTGGTACAGGTCTGCACTTGCCAGGTTTTAGAGAAAGTTTCGCGAGAAAAAGTGGCGGAGTGACTTTTTCGACTCTGGGTGCTTGACCGGACCGTGAAGAATTAGTGGCCAGTTTTGGGGTATTTATTGCGCGATGGACTTCATTCGTGCCCAAAACAAAGATACCACTTCCGATTGACGTCTGAAAGACCGCCGATGTGGAACCGATCAACTTGGAAGAGCGGGTGGAGTCCTACGGCGGATAGCATGTCACCTCTACAAAGGCTACCAAATCTTCAACGTCGGGCTGGGAAAGTGCTACCGTACGAACCTCGAAGCGTTGCCAGTTGTGGTTTTACTAGCTAGCCTAGCTAGAGAGGAGGAGCTGGTCCAAGATGACGAATAAGGCATGGAAAACTGCCTTATAATGGTCACTCTACTTTGAAGCAGCCTTACCGCTACGTTTCGACGCAAGAGGTGCGTGAGAACACACTCTCCACGTACCCCTAGAGCTAGCTAGCTGGCTGTTGGAAACAACCTAGTGGTACCTGGACGCTGGTTGTGCTGTCTAGACCTACCATAACAGCATCTCTAGCTAGCTAAGTGGGGGCAGAATGGAAATGCAATTGACCAATTGATCCCAACTACGAAGGATTTTTGTTAGTAGCCACAGACTTTGCAGCCCGGTCTCATCATTCATCAAATTTGCTTGCAGTTTCCCTGAACCTGATTTTCCCACAAACAGCCTCGCGATCTTTCACATAATGAGTACCTGGATGCTGACTTTCAATGAGTTGCTTTTAGGGAGGATTTCTTCATGTCTGACATCAAAATAATCTGTACACTGGAGAATTGTTGAAAATACCAAAATGAAATTGTTCAGCCAATGCAGACAACCATCTAGCTAGACAAGACAACAGCTGGATTCTGATTTTCAAGAAAAGGTTGCTTCATACCTTCATTCTTTATGACCTCAAATACCATACAAAAAGGGAGAATTGTTGAAAACTACCAAAACGCAATTGTACTACCTGCCAAGAAAGTGATCATTGCAAAAACTGCCCCCACAGCGGTTGGTTTGTAGTAACAGTTGTGATTGGCCGAAGATGAGTTAAGAGAACTGCCACCACCACCTGCATCTGGATTGCAGACAGAGTCGTCAAAACCACAGACTGTCGCTGTGGAGACGGACGATTTGTCTCCCGATAGAGTCCATCGTTTCCAAGCAGTTTGATCGCCACAGGATTGCTCCACTGTGTTCACTCCTTCACAAACCCACTTGGTCAACTTGCAAGTGCCTGAATCAATGTCGCAATAGCTGTCGGGATTGTTGGGACACTCCCTGGCACCGCAATCATACATGGTTGGAATGCATTGGGTGATGTTGGCCTCCGTATCCCTGTAACAATATACGTCAGGTTGGTTGCAAACTTCCCCTCCACAAGAATCCGTCATGTCAGTCTGAGACGCAGCATCTCGTAGTAGAGTCAATAGTAGAAGTAGTAGTACCTTCATCATGGATGTTTCTTTCTAATGATTGATGGATGATGACGTAGAAAGACGAGGGTTGTATTTCGGAGAGGCCACTATCGGATAGTATCTTTGGGGCTTGATTGTGCCTTTTCGAATTCTTCCAAGCTTGCAAGGTGGATATCTAAAAGCTCTTCTTTGGATAAAGACAAGAAGGCAACAGCTGTGTTTGATGTGGCCCAGCTGCAAAATCGCAACACGTCGCCCACCCGCCACAAAGTAAATAATGAGGGTTCGGGAAAGCAACGGTTCGCTGCAGTTCGAAAGATCGCAAGAAGGCTCATTCAAGCATTCAAGGCATCTTACAGCCCACCACGTCATTTATTGCCTCACTTTCATCAGCCAATCAGAACGAATAATTAAGGTGACCATCTGAAGCTCAGCGCATTGCCCTCTAAATCCAAACCAACCTATCTTGTCACAGATACCAGCTTCCCAGCCGTTTCATTTTCGCCTAACTAATAACGGATCTTTCGCATGAACTTGCTTTGGCGCCTTTGCCCTCCACATGGGTGCGGTAGTGCGTGGTGCAAAAATGAAGGACAGGACAAGGGTTTTTCTTCTTCATCCTTGTGTACTCACTCTTTTTTCTTTCTCCCGGCGAGACAGTAACCATTTCTTGTTGCCGTTGGTATCTTGTGGTTGAAAATATATTTGGAAAAATGGTGGCCAAGATGTTTCGCAGGACGAAAAGTGAGGCGGTGCTTCAGGACAATGCTACCTTGAAGAGGTCGAACTCTCTCAAGGAGCTGATGAACAAGTCTCCTGCACCCAAGGTGCGAAGGTCCAGCTCGGTGACCAACTTGTTGCGCCGCAGCAGTCTTCGCAAGAGCAACAAGGATGAGAAACCGGTCGAAACCGTTGAACTTTTCGACTCTCCCAAGAAGAGCAAGAAGGGTCGCCGTTTGTCGGGTAAGGCCTTGTCCAAGTCTTTGAGGAACCTCTTTTCTACCTCCAAGTCCAAGTTGAACAACAAAGAGGAACCAGTGCCCCTGGTCGAGGTGTCTCCTGCTACCCCCAACAGGACTGTTCCCGCTGCCTTTGAAGACTCGACTCGCACGGCCGACATGACAGACTCTTTCGAGACTCGATCTGGCGGTTCAGACAGTGGCGGCTCTGTCACGGAAACTTGCTTGACCGTCACCCCGGAACGCCCCATTATGCTCGAAACTCCCGAGGAAGTGGACGAAAAGGTGGAAGTTGAGGGGCCCATCGAAGAAGCACCTCAAGACGACGAACTCTCCCGAGAAGAACAGCAAGACCTCCAAGAAGAAGCCACCCGAGAAGAATTGGAAACCACCCAAGAAGAAGAAGAAGAAGCACCAGAAGAAGAGAAGAAGGAAGAGACTGTAGACGGATACGCTCTCGTTCCCTCCCCTCCTACCATCCCTCGAGACGCGCTTTTGGACGGAACCTTTGAAGACTTCATGACTCTTGATGGCAAACCTGCCGATGAGGTTGATGTAGACGAGGTGGAAGCTCAAATGGAGGCTGATAACGAGTCCTTGGTTCAAGATGAAGACGAGGAGGCCCAGGTTGAGGAAACCGATGCTGAACCCGTCGCTGAAGAAGAGGAAGACGAGCAAGAGTTGGACCAACTTCCCACGGAAGACTCTGCCGCACCTGAACCGGAAACAGAAGAATTCGACTTGTCGGTTGCTAGTATTTTGGACGACATGTCCATTGAAAGCATCAAAGAGGAAGCTGACGAGGAAGAACCCGAAGCCCAAGCCGTAGAGGCAGTTGTCGCGACTGAGGCCGAGGCACTGATCTCCGAAGAAACGTTCTCCGCAGGAAGCACTCGTGATTCGATTGTGCTGGCCAAGGTGCTCGTCAAGTCCGATCCGCCGGCCGAAAGCTCTTTCTCCGTTGTCACCGTGCTGCTCGCCCTTGTCGTCTTGGGCGTTGTGACGGCTGTTGTTGCTCACCAAGTGGATCTTCTTGCACTTAACATTGTTGAGCTCGAGATGCCTTCTCTGGACTTGGAGATGCCCGCTATGATCAGCAACATGGAAATGCCTTCGATGCCTTCTCTGGACTTGGAGATGCCCGCTATGATCAGCAACATGGAACTGCCTTCGATGCCTTCCCTTGACTTGGAGATGCCCGCCATGATCAGCAACATGGAAATGCCTTCGATGCCTTCGCTTGACTTGGAGATGCCCGCCATGATCAGCAACATGGAAATGCCTTCGTTTGACTTGAGCGCCCTCGATGCCCACAAGGAGAACGTGTCCGCCTTCCTCGACATGGCCCAAGCCGAAGTGGAAGGATATGGCCGCATTGTGAGTGCCTACCTCAATGGTGCCGCCAACAACGAAGAAGCCGCCGAAAAAGTCGCTCGCCAAGTCATTCCAGCCGTGCTCAATCCTGCGTTGATGCGCGAAGCATGCAAGGGTGCTTACTGTGGATTCGCCTAAACGTGTTCTTCCTTATGGGGGACAAAGGCCATTTGTTGAGCTGAAGCAAGAGGTGCAAAACCTGCCGGGGCAAACCAAGATTTTATTGCGCCCCTTTCCCTCTTCCATCGTGTAACGAAGACGAGAGCACGACGATCGCCATTGCATCATTGCTGCTGCTGGTTGGAGGCGCCATGATACTTCCTTCTACTACTACAAACCTATTCACATTTGCATACTCGTCGGTTGACTCTACATGGGATACTACTACTACTACTTGCACAAAGAGCCGAGTCAGCTGGTGACACTTCTGTCACTGGAATACATTGACGACCATACTTCTCACAGAGACTTAATTCTACTAATTCCAAGTTTATTTCCAATCGAACGCTAGTACTGAACAGGTGATGTAGGACACAGGCCAATGGGGACTTGCCAGAGGTACCATGTGTCGTATCATTGTTACGATGTTTCCAACAAAACACACAACAATAGCCATGATGTTTCCAACAGAACACACAACAATAGCACAGCTCATGTAGTACGAAACCCGTGAGGAGAGGCGAAAGTGCGAGGGCAGATTGCTTGCTTCAGTTATCTCTTTGCACCCCCTAGCTAGCATTCCTTCTGTCGTCGGGAGCCACAGTTCCCACTGACGAGACTTCCGTCGTCGACGCAAACGCAATTCAGCCAGTCAGCTAAATTCATTTTCAGGAAAGTAATGTCGTGGGAGGAGGAGAAGCTTCCTGATCGTTTTGCCCCTTTGGCTTGTCTGTTGAAGCATCCTGTTTAGCATCACCTTCCACTTCCGCAACTTGCATCGTCACCGCTTCTTCTTGGATTGCCACGCTATTGATATTGTTGGCTATGCTCCCATCTGATGCCTCCATTGTCACCGGACTGGGTGCTGTGTAGAAGGACGTTTGGCTGCTTTGGGTGGAGGATTCTGGCCGCTTCTGCGAAACGACTTCATCCTTGCTCTTCATGGATTGCTGTGAGGGCAAGGAGAGTCTGCTGGACAACCAATCCTTGGCGGCTCGGAGGCTCTTTTGCGATCTACTAAGAGCGGGGTGCATGTGATAGTAGGGTCGTTGTTGTCGTTTTGTGGGGCTACCATTATCAAAGTCATAGGAGGCGCCAAGATCAGTGCTATCTTCGTCGTGTTGGTTCCATTCGATCGTAACATGGTTTCGACGCCGTTCAGACCACCTCAGAACACAGCTAAAAAACCCAAAGATGATCCCTGCTGCCAAAAAGATCTCGAACCAAACTTTGGCACTTGGACCATTGTGAGTACAGTGGTCTTGGTAGTTTTCGCGGCCCCGACATCGGAAAGAAAACGTGGTGTTGTTGTAGTCCCCCATTGCTTCCTTGTAAGAAAAGCAGTCAGCTAGCTATGCATGGCGCCCGAACGCCTCATTGCCGTGGAGGAAGCAATGTCGGTCGCTTGGCAATTGTCTGGCTAGCTAGTTAGAGCGGCACCATGTGCTGAAATCGCCAATGGACTGCTGGCGACAGCAATAAAAATAGTGATAAACATCGCGATAAAAAGATTTTTGTCAACGTAAGTGCGGCGTTGCGTACAGTCGTGAAATTCAGGCTGCCGAAGCTTTTTAATTAATTTAAAGGCATGAGCCCTACTAAGGGCACTGTCTACCGGAGGTGACTAAACGCGCGCTTAAAGATTGTTTAAGACTGGTATTTAATCGTGTGTTTAGTCGAAAAGCTTTAAGATCGTCAGTGTCTACCGTGTTTCGACTAACCATGCACACTAACGGTTAGTCGTGAGTTTTGTCGAAAATTTTAGACTGATCAGTATCTACCGAAACACGCCTAACGGTTCGACTAAAATACGTCCACTCGCTCGCTGGAAGGAAAATCGCAACCTCATTCAGTCATTATTATTATTCCTGTTGTTGTTGTGCTCTATTCCACTCCCTTTGTTGTTGCTTTTGACTCTATTGATCAGCACCATGGCCTCTCGAGATGATGCCTCTGCTGCTACTACTACTACTGATGATGGAAGTCAGTCTGCCGATTCCAAGGCTTTGAAGAAGAAAGATGATGGATCTATTGATACTGCAGATCTCAATATGTTTTCTTGGATGGGAGACATGTCAAATATCATAATATCATTGAGTGTACCGGCATATCCAAAGGCACCCCACCAAAGAAATAGATTATGGTCTCCCAAGCCTTCCAATGCAAGCGTGGGAATTTTCTTGGAGCCCTTGTAGGCACCTTGCCAACCAACTGGACAATTCTTCCATGCATTGTGCATGCAATCAAGGGATCCAAGCATCCCGGGAACACCGTGGACTTGCTGGTGTAAATCTGAAATTGCTTTCAAGTCTGCGGCAGTGGGCATTCGTAGGTATTCTTCTTGATACAACTGCCGCATAACGATGTCAAAGTACTTGCGGCAATCTCTGGCATGAGTTAGGGACATTTGAAAATACTCCCGAAATGCATTTACCGGAACACCGCAGGCAAGACACTTCAACGGGAGCAACACTCGAGCTTCCAAGGAAGAAATCTTGCGGTCAAAGGCATCAGTTTCCCCACTGTACTAAAAGAAATGGCCACTGCACTACGCTAAAAGCTAGTGTAAAGATCTTTCGAGTGTTTTGTGTTTGAGAGAATGAAAGTTATGAGAGAGATTAGAAAGCTATGAAAACTAATCAACGAGAGAGATCACCATCAAAGGATCGGAGACTATAAAGTGTGATAGAGTAGGTTGCGGTAGTAATCCTACGTATCTCCACGACCCTAAAACGGAACGCGTGGAAGATTCGTCTAGCATGGATCTAGTAGCGTGGAAGTGCTCCACGCTGGCTAAATATCTAGAGCGATGTTTCATCATCAACCTAGTATGACCAGAGCGGTCATTGAGAAGAACCCTGTCTCAAATGACTATTCACGAGAGACTCAGTCATGAGTCGAACTCAAACCCTATCTAGGATCGAGTCGCGAATAAGGCTAAGAGCCGTGTATTGCATTCGCCC